CGGTGTATTCTGTGCATGAATATGCAATAAAATCGTCTGCCTAAGAAAAATTGAATTTTTTATGCAAGTTTTTTATGCTTTTGGTACGTTTTTGTTCAAAAAAAGGGTCTTCCTCTACTCGGATCTAGGAGTCAATTTTTTTCTACACTTTTCGGTGTATTCTGTGCATGAATGTGCAATAAAATCGTCTGCCTAAGAAAAATTGAATTTTTTTCGTAAGTTTTTTATGCTTTCGGATGCGTTTTTGGTCATAAAAACGGTCTTCCTCTACTCGGATCTGGGTGTCAATTTTTTTCTACACTTTTCCGTGTATTTTGTGCATGAGCGTGCAATAAAATCGTCTGCCTAAGAAAAAATTAATTTTTTGGGTAAGTTTTTTATGCTTTCGGATGCGTTTTTGGTCATAAAAACGGTCTTCCTCTACTCGGATCTGGGTGTCAATTTTTTTCTACACTTTTCGGTGTATTTTGTGCATGAGCGTGCAATAAAATCGTCTGCCTAAGAAAAACTAAATTTTTTTGGTAAGTTTTTTTTGCTTTCGGATGCGTTTTTGGTCATAAAAAGGGTCTTCCTCTACTCTGATCTGGGTGTTAATTTTTTTCTACACTTTTCGGTGTATTTTGTGCATTAATATGCAATAAAATCGTCTGCCTAAGAAAAATTGAATTTTTTATGCAAGTTTTTTATGCTTTTGGTACGTTTTTGTTCAAAAAAAGGGTCTTCCTCTACTCGGATCTAGGAGTCAATTTTTTTCTACACTTTTCGGTGTATTCTGTGCATGAATGTGCAATAAAATCGTCTGCCTAAGAAAAATTGAATTTTTTTCGTAAGTTTTTTATGCTTTCGGATACGTTTTTGGTCATAAAAATGGTCTTCCTCTACTCGGATCTGGGTCTCAATTTTTTTCTACACTTTTCGGTGTATTCTTTGCATGATTATGCAATAAAATCGTCTGCCTAAGAAAAAATGAATTTTTTTGGTAAGTTTTTTATGCTTTTGGATGCGTTTTTGGTCATAAAAACGGTCTTCCTCTACTCGGATCTGGGTGTCAATTTTTTTCTACACTTTTCGGTGTATTTTGTGCATGAGCGTGCAATAAAATCGTCTGCCTAAGAAAAAATTAATTTTTTGGGTAAGTTTTTTATGCTTTCGGATGCGTTTTTGGTCATAAAAACGGTCTTCCTCTACTCGGATCTGGGTGTCAATTTTTTTCTACACTTTTCGGTGTATTTTGTGCATGAGCGTGCAATAAAATCGTCTGCCTAAGAAAAACTAAATTTTTTTGGTAAGTTTTTTTTGCTTTCGGATGCGTTTTTGGTCATAAAAAGGGTCTTCCTCTACTCTGATCTGGGTGTTAATTTTTTTCTACACTTTTCGGTGTATTTTGTGCATTAATATGCAATAAAATCGTCTGCCTAAGAAAAATTGAATTTTTTATGCAAGTTTTTTATGCTTTTGGATTCGTTTTTGGTCATAAAAATGGTCTTCCTCTACTCGGATCAGGGTGTCAATTTTTTTCTACACTTTTCGGTGTATTCTGTGCATGAATGTGCAATAAAATCGTCTGCCTAAAAAAATTGAATTTTTTTTGTAAGTTTTTTATGCTTTTGGATTCGTTTTTGGTCATAAAAATGGTCTTCCTCTACTCGGATCAGGGTGTCAATTTTTTTCTACACTTTTCGGTGTATTCTGTGCATGAATGTGCAATAAAATCGTCTGCATAAGAAAAAATGAATTTTTTTGGTAAGTTTTTTATGCTTTTGGTACGTTTTTGGTCATAAAAAGGGTCTTCCTCTACTCGGATCTAGGAGTCAATTTTTTTCTACACTTTTCGGTGTATTCTGTGCATGAATGTGCAATAAAATCGTCTGCCTAAGAAAAAATTAATTTTTTTGGTAAGTTTTTTATGCTTTTGGATTCGTTTTTGGTCATAAAAATGGTCTTCCTCTACTCGGATCTGGGTGTCAATTTTTTTCTACACTTTTCGGTGTATTCTTTGGATGAATATGCAATAAAATCGTCTGCCTAAGAAAAATTAAATTTTTTTGTTGAGTTTTTTATGCTCTTGGATGCGTTTTTGGTCATAAAAATGGTCTTCCTCTACTCGGATCTAGGAGTCAATTTTTTTCTACACTTTTCGGTGTATTCTGTGCATGAATGTGCAATAAAATCGTCTGCCTAAGAAAAATTGAATTTTTTTGGTATGTTTTTTTAATGCTTTTGATTCGTTTTTGGTCATAAAAATGGTCTTCCTCTACTCGGATCTGGGTGTCAATTTTTTGCTACACTTTTCGGTGTATTTTGTGCATGAATATGCAATAAAATCGTCTGCCTAAGAAAAATTGAATTTTTTTTGGTAAGTTTTTTATGCTTTTGATTCGTTTTTGGTCATAAAAATGGTCTTCCTCTACTCGGATCTGGGTGTCAATTTTTTTCTACACTTTTTGGTGTATTCTTTGCATGAATATGCAATAAAATCGTCTGCCTAAGAAAAATTGAATTTTTTTGGTAAGTTTTTTATGCTTTCGGATACGTTTTTGGTCATAAAAATGGTCTTCCTCTACTCGGATCTAGGAGTCAATTTTTTTCTACACTTTTCGGTGTATTCTGTGCATGAATGTGCAATAAAATCGTCAGCCTAAGAAAAATTGAATTTTTTTTGGTAAGTTTTTTATGCTTTTGGATGCGTTTTTGGTCATAAAAATGGTCTTCCTCTACTCGGATCTAGGTGTCAATTTTTTGCTACACTTTTCGGTGTATTCTGTGCATGAATGTGCAATAAAATCGTCTGCCTAAGAAAAATTGAATTTTTTTGGTATGTTTTTTTAATGCTTTTGATTCGTTTTTGGTCATAAAAATGGTCTTCCTCTACTCGGATCTAGGAGTCAATTTTTTTCTACACTTTTCGGTGTATTCTGTGCATGAATGTGCAATAAAATCGTCTGCCTAAGAAAAATTGAATTTTTTTGTTGAGTTTTTTATGCTCTTGGATGCGTTTTTGGTCATAAAAATGGTCTTCCTCTACTCGGATCTAGGAGTCAATTTTTTTCTACACTTTTCGGTGTATTCTGTGCATGAATGTGCAATAAAATCGTCAGCCTAAGAAAAAATGAATTTTTTTGGTAAGTTTTTTATGCTTTTGGATGCGTTTTTGGTCATAAAAATGGTCTTCCTCTACTCGGATCTAGGAGTCAATTTTTTTCTACACTTTTCGGTGTATTCTGTGCATGAATATGCAATAAAATCGTCTGCCTAAGAAAAATTGAATTTTTTTTGGTAAGTTTTTTATGCTTTTGGATGCGTTTTTGGTCATAAAAATGGTCTTCCTCTACTCGGATCTAGGAGTCAATTTTTTTCTACACTTTTCGGTGTATTTAGTGCATGAATGTGCAATAAAATCGTCTGCCTAAGAAAAAATTAATTTTTTTGGAAAGTTTTTTATGCTTTCGGATGCGTTTTTTGTCATAAAAAGGGTCTTCCTCTACTCGGATCTGGGTGTCAATTTTTTTCTACACTTTTCGGTGTATTTTGTGCATGAATATGCAATAAAATCGTCTGCCTAAGAAATATTGAATTTTTTTGGTAAGTTTGTTATGCTTTTGGATGCGTTTTTGTTCATTTTTTATTTTTTTTTTATACGCCTTCTGCACTGTGATCCTTTTTCTCGTTGCAACGCGAATTTCAATTCAGTATAACTCATCAAAAAAAAAAATTTTTTTAAAATCAAAATTGCAAAATTTTAAGGAGGATTTCAGCTTACATATGCATAACATGAAAACCTCAGAAAAAATTTGAGTACCTTAATAAAAAAGCAAAAAGTACCATAAAAATGGCATTTTTTCAATTTTCAAGGTCAAATTTCTCGAAAACCTAGGGTGATGGAGCAATTCTGATTACGGATTCGTGTTCAGCGTCGAAAAACCTATAAGAATCACCCTATGCGGTCTCAGAAATAAAAATGCTATTGCACTGTGGTATAGAAGCATTTCATATAAAACTTTAGGAAATATGATAATTTGAAAAAATGTAACTTGCGCGTCACCGTCACCGTAGTTAAGGCTCCATGCAAAAATAATTTATTTTATGTAAAAATATTATCAAAATTGTTATAACATTTTCTTTCAATAAAATGATATTTCCAATATAGATGTTTATAATGTTCATTAAAATAATATTAATTTAAATATTTCACTAAACTGTATGTATTCAAATTTTTTAAAATTTGTAAAATGGAACACACAAATAAAAATTATGTTAATTTTTATTACTATTGTATTTTTTATTATTATTTAAATATAAACATCACGGGCCATTAAACAAAATATGGAACAGTTTATTAGTTATCTTGAGTTTCACAAATAAAAATTTTTTATCGATTCACATATAATAAAATTAAATATATAATATAAAATATTCGTGAATGAAAACTTGGTAGTCCACTTTTAAAAAATTAAATTTTTTTATAGTTCTAACTTTCTGTAGAACAGTTTTAGAGTTTCTGATTGATTTTAGAAATAGTTCCGGTGATTAATTCTCAAAAACATGGATTTTTCAAAATGGGGGCTAACTTCACGCAGCAAAATAAATTTTTTTTACAGATCTAGAGTTCCCTTTACTTTTCAAAAATAGTTCTTCACATATTTTTTTTAATTACATTTTTTTTAGATTACAAGTTCCACGAGTTCTAATTGGAGTTCTGCATGCCCCCATCAAGTACTAATTCTAAAATTCAAAATTTTAAAATCTACAGGACTTTAAAATTTAAAAAAAATAATAATAAATTTTGAAAAACAGAAGTATAAAAAAAATTTAATTTTTTTAAAAATGGGGAGCCAAGTTTACATGCATTAGAGTTTACTTATATAAATTTTTTAAATATGCAAATATACATAAATATACATAAATAAACATAAAGATGTTACAATATATTGTGACATAAAAAGCTGTTTAAATAATCGAAATAGAAGTATATATGAGCGCGTACGGAAAAACACTGCTTTCGACAAAAAAACGTTTCGAGAAAAATGCGTTAAAAATAATCAGAGTACTTTTTTCTACTAAAATCATCAAAAAGGAGAAATTGATTTTTTGGGTCGTAAAAAATTTTTTTTCCAGTCGCAGTCAAATATAAGTCATAATGTAAGTATATCCACAAATTTTTTGTGTAAGAAAAATTAGAAAATCATATAATAAATATTTTACAGTAACTACTTTAAAAAAACATTTTCATTTTCATTTTTGACATCTACATAATGAACATCAGATATTAAAATTTTTACACAACTGTTGTAATTATAATAATTAAAACTTTTTCCTATAAAAAAGATATTAATAATCTAAATTCCAATTATTTAATTAATTAAATTATTTCCACAGATTGATTCAAATAAAAAGAAGATTGTCAAGGTTTACACATAAAAATTAATATTTTCAATTTAAAGTGTTTAAAGCAACAAAACAATTTAAAATGGATGTATTACATTTAAGTAATCCTATTGCAAGCGTACAACTTATACCAATTTTCAACTATTTGAACTTACTTAGTGATTTCTTATTCGCTGAAAATTACTTGCATGAAATCCAACAATACCAACAAATCGAAATTGTTAATTCACTTTATGATTATTTGGAAGACTACAATGATAATAAAACTATGCAAATGAAATTAATTCGAAATTTATTACGAAACAGTGATCTATACGGAGAAGCTAATGATGAAGAAGTTGACAAAATTTTCATTAATTCAATGTTTCATTACATCGTTAGTTCCCTTGTATTTGAAAAATATGGAAATATTTATGGATTTTTAGCCGAAACAATTCGTAATGTAGAAAGTATAAATTATGAATTTGTTTTAAAGATTATAAAGAAGAATTTAGAGAATGCAAAATTTCAAAATGAGAATGGAATTATATCAAGTCTTAATCAATTATCAGTCAATGCAATATATTCAGATATAATTTTGCCCATTTTTCCTAAATCAAAAACTAATCTTAGTATATTGTCTCTTGATTATATATTTGCACAAGCTGGTTCAACCTATCTTCGATTTGGAAGAATAAATGATTTCTATTCTTTTAATTTTGAAAATAATAATTTTAGATACTTTCAAGAAAACTTGTTTGATGAATATTTAATAATTGGACACATAATAAGCAACTTATTTTATCATAAACAAATAGATCCTATTACTCTAAGAGTTTTCGCTCTACCGGCTCTTTTATATTATACTACCACTGAAGATAAAGTAAAAAATGAAACTATAAGAAATATAATTTTCAGTCCACATCATTGGAAGACAGCATATAATAATTTTTTAGAATATGTAGTTGAAGCTTTCGACCAAATAGAAGATCAATTAAGGAATGACTATACTTATAAAATTCATGTAGCATTTTCACATTTTCAAAGTCGTGCTTCAATAGCTAAATACTTTATTGATTCAAACTGTAGATACTTGAGTGAGACACAAAGAGAAAGAAGAATTTATGCATATGTTCAACATGGTGAACAAATAGAATGTAAAAGTGGATTTTTTCTACCTACCATTAATAATTCGTATAATAACCAAATTTATCAATTAGGTGAATTATATGGAAATTATGATTTAAGAATAATGATGCAATATTTTAATGAATCTTTAATAGAAGATTTTTATAATATAAAAATAAATTTACTAGTTGCAAATGACCAAGTATTGGATAGTCTTTTTAAAAATTCAGATTATTTATCTTATGATTTACTTGAATTTGTTTACACTAACAATAAAACTCTAGACTATTATGCTTTAATAAGAAGAAACTACAGTGTTGAACTTACCAAAGAGACTGATGATCCAGAATTTTTCCTTCAGCAAGTTGGACCATCTCTCGGTGAACTATTACGACCTGCAAAAAGAATTACATTAAAGTTTCCCGAAGACAGCGTATATCAATTTTGTGAAGAGTTAATGAAGTATAAGAAAGAAAGATTCAAATCTTATTTGAGTCTTTTTGACTACAATCTACAAACTAATGAATGGTGGAAAGAATTTGGATTGTCTTTGGTCCCATATTATCCCTGTTTATCAAATGTTACTACATATAGTGATATCGAGAAGAATGTATGCGAAAAAGAAAATTTTAAATTTTTCCAAAAATTTACTCAAGATATATCGTTACAAATAGTACAGAAAAAAACGCAAACTTTCCTATCATCATTTGGTACAACTATCAAATCAGTATTTGTAAAGGACATGCTAGAAAAAACTGTAGAAGCACTGGTAATGCCTTATGAACAATCGAAACTCTCTTCCAATATTTATATATTAATGGATAAAGTTTACGAAACATTATCTTTACACATAGAAGAACCTAAATATGAGACTCTTTCCATTACTCAAGAAGGAATAAAGAGTGTGAGAACAATTATTACAGACTTAAAAACAAAATTGAATCGCAGCTTTAAAACTACTGAAGAGATTCTAAATAATATAAACATTTTGAATAACAAATTTATCATAGGTGTTAATATATTTGGCAGAAGTCGAAAACGAACATTATTTACAATTACTTATAATAATAAAACTTCTTATGGTTACCGATTTATAATTACTGATACATCTGACGATAAAACTAAAATTGCACTTATGAGAACTGGATATGAATTAAAAGATAAAATATTTATTATACCGGGAAATAATTCATCAGAAATTCAAAAAATATATACTAAATTAAATTTTGAAAATATGCAATCTGATTATTCTATATACGAAATTAATAATCAACTTCGAAAAAAATCTACAAAAGTTGTATTTTCTGGAATATCAAATGATAATGTTTCTGAAGATAAATGTATGCAACATGAATATTTAGATAAAACAGTAAATGTTAAAAACTGTTTAAGAATCGTGCATTATAATGTAAAACGTGATCAAATTGAAGATCTAGTAGAATTATTAAAAAATAAATTATCCCTAGATGGAGTACATGTAGCATCAGAGGAACAAATACGTGATAAATTAAAAATATACACCTTTCCAGATGACAAAACCTTCACAACACTCTTTGCCCAAAAATGGTTAAGTGACACGAAATTTGAAGAATCTGATTGGAGTAAAAGCTGTTTGATAGAAAATCCCGATCTTTTGAATAAACTCAGATACGATGTACTATTGGAAAACAATAATGTAACAATTCCTGATGGAAAATATAGAATCAGTTCTTCTTATGCATATAGAGAAAGATGTAAAATTGAAAAAGGAACATCGATAGAAAATATAATTAATGACTTCAATGAACGAGAAGAAGGTTTTTCGGTTTCATTTGAAGATTACTATGCCATACGAAATTTTGCAATGACTGGACATGAGAGAATAACTGCAGACACAAGTGAATCGAGACTTATGAAACTTGCTTTATATAAATTAGCTATAAGACAATCTGATGATTTAAGAGAAAAATATGATTGGACATTATATCGATTCGAATCAAAACCTGCTGAGATGGTAACTAAAAAATTATGTAAAGGAAAAAGAATTATTTTACAACAATTTACATCAACCTCAACAAGTATACAATCTGCCTTGAGATTCGGTGTAAAACCAGCTTCTGGATTTAGAAATATTCTGTATAAAATGAAATTTGTTGATCCATATTTTAGAGCAAAAATTAAAACAAAAGTCGATCAGTTTGAACCCATTAATGAAATGAATGTTATTCTTTTACCTGGCAGTGAATTTGAAATTGAAAACATTTCAATAGGGACCATGAGAGAAATTGATCACGTTTTCATAGTGATCATGACTTTCAATACAGATAATAGTAAGCACAATTGGTATAAACATATCATGAGTCACATAACAGAAATGAATATATAAACTTTTAATTATATTATAGAATATTAATTTACTTGAAAGTCATTACAATAAATATAATTATTTATTTTTTATTTATTAAAAAATATTAACTATGTCTGTATAGCTCCCTATTGAAAATCCCCACATGGGAAACCACATGGGAAACCACATGGGATCCTATGTCAAAAACTATGTAAAACCCCATTCCCCATATGGGAAACCACATGGGATCCCATATAAAAACTCATGGGAAATTGGGACAGGAATTGGCATAGGAAAATATCAAAACGAGGTTCCTCCATGTCATTTCCTATGTCAAATCCCATGTCAAATATCATGTTAAATACCATGTTAAATACTAATTGAGATCCTTTATCACCTTTTTAAAAAATTTTCCCATGTCAAACCCCATGTCATTTCCCAAGTAAAAACCTTTATCATTTTTTTGAAAAATTTTCCAATGTCATTTCCCATGTGAAATCTTTTATCATTTTTTTGAAAAATTTTCCCATGTCAAATCCTCTTTCGCCTTATCGAAAATACCCACATAGGAAAGCATATGGGAATCCACATGGGACACCATATTGGAATCCACATGGGAAATGGAATACGATTTCATGTGCATTCTTCCAAATAATAAAACAAATAGATTTAAGCATAGGAAATCATATAAGATTTCATATAGATTCTGAAATTTCAACCTAAGATTTCACATGGATTTACATATAGGAAACGATATAGGATTTTATTCGGGAATTTTTTAGTTGGCTGCTTTATGCAGGCGGCAGATTACAAAAAAAATTAATTATTTGATTAAATATCAAATAATAATACTTCAACTCATTTGAAAATAAAAAAAAGTTTACTTTACTTCTGCCTTAGACTCTCAGCTTTTATAGTATTCCAGACTGATCTCAACTGTGAGAGAAAATATTTTCACCATCTGGTGGTGAAACAATGAAACTATAATGACGATCAACATCTATATTGAAATTTCCTATGTCATTTCCCATGTAATTTCCCATGTGAAATCCTCTTTCATTTATTCGAAAAATTTTCCCATGTCATATCCCATGTGAAATCTTATCATTTTTTCGAAAAATTTTCCCATGTCATTTCCCATGTGAAATCCTTCATCATTTTTTTGACAAATTTTCCAATGACAAATCCTCTTTCGCCCTATCGAAAATACCCACATGGGAAAGCATATGGGAATCCACAGAGGAAATGGAATACGATAAAGGATTTCACATGGCAAATGACATGAGGTTTGACGTGGGAATTGTTGAGGGAAAATTTTTCCAAAAAATAATAAAAGATTTCACATGAGAAATGATATGGGAAAATTTTTTGAAAAAAATGATAAAGGAATTCACATGGGAAATGACATGGCAAAATTATTCGAAAAAATGATAAGATTTCACATGGGAAATGACATAGGAAATTTCAATATAGATGTTGATCGTCATTATAGTTTCATTGTTTCACCACCAGATGGTGAAAATATTTTCTCTCACAGTTGAGATCAGTCTGGAATACTATAAAAGCTGAGAGTCTAAGGCAGAAGTAAAGTAAACTTTTTTTTATTTTCAGATGAGTTGAAGTATTATTATTTGATATTTAATCAAATAATTAATTTTTTTTGTAATCTGCCGCCTGCATAAAGCAGCCAACTAAAAAATTCCCGAATAAAATCCTATATCGTTTCCTATATGTAAATCCATGTGAAATCTTAGGTTGAAATTTCAGAATCTATATGAAATCTTATATGATTTCCTATGCTTAAATCTATTTATTTTATCATTTGGAAGAATGCACATGAAATCGTATTCCATTTCCCATGTGGATTCCAATATGGTGTCCCATGTGGATTCCCATATGCTTTCCTATGTGGGTATTTTCGATAAGGCGAAAGAGGATTTGACATGGGAAAATTTTTCAAAAAAATGATAAAAGATTTCACATGGGAAATGACATTGGAAAATTTTTCAAAAAAATGATAAAGGTTTTTACTTGGGAAATGACATGGGGTTTGACATGGGAAAATTTTTTAAAAAAGTGATAAAGGATCTCAATTAGTATATAACATGGTATTTAACATGATATTTGACATGGGATTTGACATAGGAAATGACATGGAGGAACCTCGTTTTGATATTTTCCTATGCCAATTCCTGTCCCAATTTCCCATGAGTTTTTATATGGGATCCCATGTGGTTTCCCATATGGGGAATGGGGTTTTACATAGTTTTTGACATAGGATCCCATGTGGTTTCCCATGTGGTTTCCCATGTGGGGATTTTCAATAGGGCTCTTACAATATAATGCATTGAAATTGTTGAATATAACCTTTAGTAATTTTTCACAATCTTGTAATAAATGGTAGACTTATTAATTATTAATATTTCGATTATAAAGATAAAAGTTTTTCTTATGCAAAATGTATGTCATATATTTTAAAGAAAGTAAAATTTTTAGTTTATACACATTTCGCAAACAATAATAAATATTAATATTTTTTCAAACTGATATTTTTTATTGTACTTTAAAAAATAAATAAGTTTTTTAAAAACTGTTTTTGCTGCACGCATAATGAATTGAAGATAATATTTAGTCACTATTCAATAATACAATTTATCCTTTGCACACATTCGCCTAGTGACTAAATTTATAGTTTTCTAAACCATAAGAGATATTAGAAAAAATATTTTCTAATAATCGGAAAGAACAGGTGAACATAAACATACAAATATTTTGTTCGAATATTCTGCATTGGCAACAAATTACCTACATTTTGATTTTTAGAAACTAAAGCACTTTGCATCAGAAAAAACCAGGTATGAACCTATTTTATGATTGTAATATTTATAACGATTAAAATTGTGAAATATTTGTAAAGTAACAAAAATATCCCACATAGCACATAATATTTTCAAAACATTATTGAAATATTTCACTGAAATTTTGAAATATTTCAATGCAAAGTCCTTGAAATATTGCTGCAAACAGGAAAATTTCCGCTTATGAGGAAATATTGATGGTCAACTTGAGAAATTATTTCACTAAAATATTCCTACAATATTACAAATAATGACTTCTGAAATATTCAGGAAATATTTTACAAAATGTCCAAAATTTTTTGACACATGAAATCAATAGGTATTTTCTGAAATTTTTAACACCCTTAGAATTCTAGAAAACTAAAAACTACTGCGCAGTTGTACAGGCCAATAGTAACTGAGATCGACCAGTGCGCATCATTTTTAAGTTGAAAATTACCTCTCAAGTTGACCATAAATATTTCCTCATATAAGCGGACATTTTCCTGTTTGCAGCAATATTTCAAAGACTTTGCATTGAAATATTCCAAAATTTCAGTGAAATATTTCAAAAATATTTTGGAAATATTATGTGCTTTGTGGGATCATTGATTAAAGAAAATCACTTACTTGTCCGTATTTAATCCACTAATTTTCTTAATTCAAGAAAATTTACTGCAAACTAGTATAATTTTTTAGGATCAAGAAAATGTAGAATAAAATACTGACAAGTAAATGGATTTTCTTGATACAATGCTATTTTTTCCAATGTTGGATAAAGTCACTATAACAGAGTGTAAACCAAATGTCAAGGTTCATATTTATCAATTTTTAAGGGTACCTTAAAGAGCAAAGTGCAACAAAAAAATATCTTACGCGGCTGACCAGAGAACCCTTCCCCCCACGTACTATATATTTTTGACTAGCAGCACATTTTAGGAAAACTGTAGAAAAAAATTTGTTTTCACCAAAATCATCGCTGAAAACTCACATTTAATTTAAATCCACGAAAGTTAAAAGTTCCACAATTTTTTTCGAAGCCTATCAGTTTCTATCCGAATCTAAATTTTAATGTAACGCGACAAAATATTATATCCGAATCAATCCGTTTTATTCTGAAATTATATTTTAGTCTTTTTTGAATAATTTTATGCCGAATGAATCCGTTACAAATCCAATGTATTGATTCGTAATGAAATTATAGAATTTAAAAGGAATAAAATTCAGCTTCGGAATGAAACGTATTCATTTGAAAAAGAAAACTTTGTCAAGTTACATTAAAATTTATATTTCGTTGAAAACTGATTGACTTTAAGAAATATTTAAAAAAAATCCAACACTCCCGAAGCAATTCGTAACATAACAAATAACAAATACAATACGATAAAGGTAATTAATATTTGGAAAAGACAAATTTTTCTTAAAACTCAGGCTGACCACGTATAAACAGGTTGTTTTACGAAATGCAACTGATTAAATTTTATTATCTTTGGGATATTCAAATTCGCATTGTTTATGATCTTCAGCTTAAAGTATATTCTTTGTATTTTATTCAAATTTACGGTATAAATTAACTGTCAGAAAAATTATAGGAAATAATGTAGGAATCCACATACGTTTCTATGTAGAACCAAAATCGTAAATTCCCACATGAAATCATACTCCAAATCGTATTCCAATTTCACATGTGGTTTTACATGATATCTCATGTGGATTCCTGTGGGAGACCTAGGGTTTCATATGGGTTTTTATAGAGGAACCCATTTGGGTACTATCTATTCGATGCAAGTTCACAATGACGTAACTATTTTTTCTCGATAAAAAAGGATTTAACTGCAGTTTTTGCATAATTTATTAATTAATGTTAAATGATTTAGAAAATTATATTCTTTCAAATTTAACTATGCTTAATTTAATATAAAAGTAATTTTTTAAAAACTTAAAATTAAATTTGATAATTTATAATTCGAGAGATTAATTTGTTTTTAATTATTTATAATTTTCCCAATTTAATTTATATTTAAATTAAAAAAATTTTTCTATTTGTAAATTTTAAAAACTATAGTTATCTCAAAATGCAAATAACGTTTTTTCAAAGTAACCACAAATTTTCTAATATTATCTTTTTCGAAGTAATAATAAATATTTTTTTTTCAAATTGTTATTTTTTATAATTCTCTCATGCACTAAACATTTTAGAAAAAATATTTTTATTTCAACTGTCAAGTTTTATGCACCTTGCATCATAAATATGATACATCTATTTTATCTATTTGTAATAACTGTTTAACTATTTTTTATTTTAATAACAATGTATTATAAGTTATCAGAAATTCTTTTTTTGAAATAATCAGAAAGTACACGTGTACATTTTGAAAGTCAAGTATAAAGTAACTAAAATTTAGAATAAGACATTCCGTTACTAAATATTGTATATGGATGTTTTTTGTCTTGACAACGAATTACCTATACATTTAGATTCTTGTAAGCTAAAAAGCCTTTTACATCAGCAAATACCAGGTATGAATCTATTACTGATTGTAATATTTATAACGATTGAAATATTTATAGAGTAGAAGGCACTAATTACAGAGTGCATCAATTGTTGAAGTTAATATTTATCAATTTTTAAGGGTAATTTAAAAATGTTTGATCAAAAGTCAGGATTTTTTTTAACCTTAATAATCCTAAATATTTTATGTAGCATACGATTATTTTAATTTATGTATAAATTTTGGATTTTATGACAGGTCAATTTGTACTAAAATTTTCCCGCAGCTAAAAGGTTAAAAATTGATAGATTTAAATAAATAACGTACCGTCAAAGCGGGTAACTCCGGACACATTTTTGAAAATATTTTGTATTTTCCTTGTACCTAATAGTTTTCATAAGAAGTTGGCAATTATTTTATTTTATTGAACATCCAAGAAATATAATGTGACCGATTAAGAATAAAAATACTCAAAGAAATTCAAGAAAAAAATTAATTTGGTACACGGAGATAATTCTGTAGTGATTATTATACGAAACATAACCTAGATTAATCATATGGAAGAGTCGTAGCGACTTTTGCTTGAATTCAAGTGAAAGTCGCTACGACTCTTCCATATAATTAATCTAGGTTATGTTTCGTATAATAATTACCACAGAACTCTCTCCGTGTAGGAATAAATTTTTGGAGCTTATTGCACTTTGTAAAAAAAAACTTATTTTTAAACGAATATATGTAAAGTAAGTGCTATTTCCTTTTCAAAATTTGATCTACTATTCATTGACATAAAATTCACACTGATTTCAATAATCTAGATTCATAAAATATTTCGTATATCTGTGTCTTATTTAAGGAAATGTAATTTTGTAGGGTAACTTCGGACATATAGAACGAATATGTAACGTAGTTGGAAAAAAATCGTAATTAGTGTTATTATTCTGAGAGCACAATACAAAAAGCCCTTTCGGAGGTTAGGAGAAATTAATCGAGCATTCGCAAAGTATCTGAAAAATACAATGTACCGAAATAAAAAAATAAAAAACAAATAAAGAATTAAAATTAAGGATGCCTGTTAGATCTACAGATTTTGCAATAAATATCCGATTTGAGAAAAACAATTTTTATAAAATTAATATAACAAATTGTCATTTTCTTTTTTAAATTTTTCACAAATTTTAAACTAAATTATAATTTCAAAAAAATATATACCAAAGACATGTATTAATTTCTTCTCTCGACAATTGGTCCTTATACCCTGTAAACTAAGGAAAGTCAATTAAATTTTCAATTAGTCAAGTATCTCATAATATTCACAGATTGTTAAAGTTACATTTAAAAAATCAAGTGGCTACTTCCAAGGGATCAAGGGAAAAAAACTGATGGATAATGGATACCTTAACATTCAGCAATCCTCTTGCAACTGTACAGCTTATACCAATCGTCAATTACATAAACATACTTAGTAATTTTTTATATATTAAAAAGTATTTAAAATTAGAGGAACAACGAAATAAAATTGTAATTGTTAATGAACTTTATAAATATTTTGATGATCATCGTGATGACCAATCTATAATAGAAAACTTAATTCGAAATTTGTTACAAGGCAGCGATCTGTACGGTGAACGAGATAAGGAAAATTTTGATCTAGTTTTTGTTAACACCATGTTTGACTATATCATTAGTTCTATCGTATTTGAAAAATATGGAAATATTTATGGCTTTTTGGCAGACACTGTTCGTAAGGCAGAACAGTTACAATATTATTACGTTTTAGAAACAATAAAGAAAACACTAAAGAATGCAACATTTGAAAATGAATATGGTCCTAGTTCAAAGCTTTCTCAACTGTCTTGCAGAAGGATATTCAACGACCTGATATTGCCACTATTTCCTAAGCCCGTTACAAAAAATTTAAATTTATTGTCTCTTGATTATATTTTTACACAAGCTGGTGCGACATATCTTCGACCTGGGCTTTTAAATAACACCTACTATCCTAATTACAAAAATTTGATCTATAACAACATTGATAATGAAATCTTTAACGAATACATGGTAACAGGGTATATAATAGAAAATTTACTTTACCACAATAAAATTGATCCTTTAGCATGGAAAATTTTTGCTCTTCCAACTCTTTTTTATTATATTTCTAATGAAGATAAAGTAAAACAAGAAAACATAACAAATATAATTTTTAATCCACTGCATTGGGAAGGAGCTTATCATAATTTTCGAGAATACTTATTCAATACTTCGGTCAAAATTGAAAATCAATTAATGAATGACTCTACATATAAAATGCACCAAGAACTTAAAGAATTTGAAAGTCGTGCTTCGATGGCTAGATATTTTATACAAATAACTTGTCACAATATGGATGAGTTAACGAAAGAAGTATTTTTTTCTTATTATATCAAAAGTACAATACCACTTCAGTGCGGTAATGGAAATCGTCTGTGGGCCATAGATGATTACTTCCAGTACCAACTTTCTGATTTTCCTAAAGTATATGAAGAATATGAGTTAGGCATAACGCAGCAATCTTTTAACGAATCGATATTAGGAAGTCTTCGTGATGTTGAAATAAAATTGCTAATTACTAATGATAAAGTGGTAGATGGTGATTTTAATACTTCGCAGCATTTACCTTATGACTTACTTCAATTCTCTTACCCTAACAAAATGGTTCCATGGTACTACGCTTTAATACGCGAAAACAATACTGCTAAACTCATTAGAGAAGTTGATGATCCAAAACGCTTTCGACAAATAATTGGTCCATCATTAGATAACTTTAAAGATTTTGCAAACCGTACTATTCTAAAATTTGCGAATCAAAGCACAAACAAACTTCTTGAAGAATTAATGAAGTATAAAAAGGATCGCTTTATATCATACTTAAATTATTCTGACAATACTCCTGAAAAAAGTAAATGGTGGAAAGAATTTGGATTGTCTTTCGTACCATTTTACCCTTGTGTATCAAACAGTAGCAACTATAATGATGTCGAAAATCATGTGTGTGAGCAAGATGATGCAAAACTTCTTCAAAAATTCCCAGAACATATATTATTACATTTAATACATGAAAGTACACAAAATCTTCTATCATCATTTGGTACCACTATCAAACAAGTATTTATCAAGAAAATTGTAAATACAACTGTAACAAATTATTTTCCAGACAATACTAGCGAAACAATATTTTCATCAAAATTCGATACACCAATTAATGTAGTTTACAATACATTATCATTACACATAGAAGAACCTAAATTTGAGACTTTGTGCATTACTCAAAAGGAAATACAATTTGTGGAGACAATAATAAATTACTTAGAAAAGAAGATTAATCAATCATTTACATTTGTCAACAATATGCTAAAAAAATTTCAACTTCCAAAAAGTATGTTTACTATAAAAGTTGGTAACTTATATGATCAATCAAATCAACCTTATTTGCTCGTAAACAGTTGGGATAATGTTACTGGTTATGGTTACAAATTTGTACATAGCATTAACTATACAAACAATAAAAGTATAATAGCGCAATTGAGAACTTATTATGCAATAAAAGAAAAAATATTTATTACACCTGTACAGAATTCATCAAATAATGTAAAAAAATATATTAAAATAATGAACGAAAGTCTTGTAAATAGAAATCAAATTATAGATGTAATATTTTCTTCTCCTCTTCAAAATGTATCACAACAACGAAAAATTTTTCTTAAATCCAAAAATGATAAACTTATAGAAATAAATAAAAGAAAAATTTTCATGTATGAAATTAATAATCATCTTAGAAGTGAATCTATTAACATTTCCTTTTACGGTATTTCGAGTCATGATCATAATGATGATTATTGTAATATAGATGAATATGTACAAGAAAAGAAAAATACGATGTTCTGTTCAAGACATCGTCGTTTTATTGAAAAGACTAACTATTTTTCGACAATAATAAGGGATTTATTAAAAAATAAAAATGATACCTCAGTTGAAAAACGAATGCGAGATATATTAAGAAAATACTACTTTCGAGATAACTCAACAGTAACAATATTCTTTAAACATTGGTTAGAAGACGACAGGTTCCTAAATCCTGATTGGACTAGATACGTTATAATTGACCAGTCTGGTTTATTAAATGAATTATTGTACGTCCCAAGTTTGGATAACAGATTTATATCAATTGAAGAAGGTAAAAAAAGAATAAATTCAAATTACACGTATAGAGAACGATGTAAAATTGAAGAAGGAACGTCAGTGGAAAATATAATAAATAATTTTAATAATCAGAAGGCAGCTTATTTAGTTAAACTTGAAGATTATTATGCCATACGTAATTTTGCCACAACTGGTCATGAGAGAATAACTGGCGATACAAATGAAGCAAAACTAATGAAACTCGCTCTATATAAATTGGCAATAAGACAATCTGACGATAGTAACGACGAATTTGATTCAAAATTATATTATTTTGAATCTGTAACTAACGAATTTTATGACAGACATATAGCAGTGGGAAATATAATTGCTTTATCAAAATTTACTTTAACATCGACAAATAATAAAACTGCCATGAGATTTTCTGCATTTCCAGAAACTGGATTCCAAAACATTTTATATGAAATAATATTTAATGCTCCTTACCCAAGAGCGAAAATCAAAGTTGATGTCAATCAATCGTTTAGGGAAAAGAAAGTAATTCTTTTACCTGGTTTTGAATTTCGTATTCAGCATATTATTGTTATTTCCAATACAATAATATCTAACTATTTTAAAGTGATGTTAAATTGCACATCCAAAAGTACTGAAAAAGATGAATGGTATGAAAGTATCATGGGACAAATAAACGAAATCAATTCTTAAAATTGTATTTGTAATCAATTGTTTAAATATTTAATTGTCTCGCGTGAAGAGGAATATAAATATGTAGTTAAATTCCAAAAACTATAAATTCTTATCTATAAACTACATTTTTAATTCTTTTAACTACTTCTTTTAAAGGAATAAACAGTTACAGAATACATTTTCAAACAATTTGTAGCAAATCTATTGTTTGAAAATGTGTTCTGTAACTGTTTATGCCTATAAAAGAAGTAGTTAAATGAATTAAAAATGTACTTTATAGATAAGGATTGTCAGTTTTTGGAATTTAACTACATATTTAGGCAAAATAAACTAATAAATTATTAATTCTATAAAAAATAGTTAAAGTACCCATTAGACCAGATGCTTAATAAAAAAGTCAAATACAGATAAATTGTGACTATTGTGTTCTAGAAATGTTACATAACATTGTTACCAAAAATGTGTAACGAATATTAGTATATATACCTATGTTTGAATTATTATATTTCCGTAAAGTTGAGTGGTGAATATTTTTTCTCCAAGTTATAATCCAGTCAAATTAGCATTTTTAGATGTTTTAACTCAGGTCATCAATTTTTTTTTTTTTTTTGCTTAAACCCTTCATTTTAAGGTAAAAATAAAGTACCTAAATTTGTTATTTCAAGCTCCTACCGAAACCTAAATTTTTTTAAAGAATTAGGTGCAAATCAAATTGCTCAGAATTTTACACACTTTTTTTATGATAATTATTTTTATGCTAAAATGTCATGGAAAGCGGCAATTAAGAAAAAACTTATTTTTTGCACCTGTTTCTCAAAAAAAATTTATGGTTCCGGTAGGTGTTCGAAGTTTTTCGACTAATTTGACTGGACTATTATGATTGATATCGTTTACTGAAGTTATTGATTGATTTACTTCACCGAGAGAAATAGATGGTAAGAATTTATGATCTTAAGATGGTAAAAAGTAGATGTTATCCGGTACTATCATTATGCTACTCAGTACTATCAAAGATGTTACAAAAAGTATGGTTATGTTACCCACTACAATAAAGACGTTACTCCGTACAATCTTACAATATGTAAGATCAAATATGGTACCTGGTACTATCTAGATAGTACCCCGTACCATCTATTTCTCTCAGTGTTGATAATTAATAAATATATTAATAATTTAATTTTATGCCATTGAATTTAAATTGAGAATAATAATTATTAATAGTAAATTTTTGATTGAATAAAAAGATTCAATTCAATGAGTTGTAAAAGTAAAATTGTGAAAAAGAATTTTTTGCATTATATACAAATAGAAAAAAAATACTGTATTGTAATTTAAAAGTTTAAATGAATAAATTTTTTTAAAAATGTTTACTCATATTTCATTGAGTCTTTTATTTCAATACCATTCTTATTTGTTAAATTATTATTATTATTATTATTATATATATTATTATTTTTGTTAAAATACAGTCTATCCTGAATTACTGAATTAAAAAATAATTTGAGAGATAAGCCTGCAACCCTATTGAAAATCCCCACATGGGATCCTATATATGATTCCATATAGGTTCCTTTATAAAAACCGTTATGAAATCCAAAGGTCCACATAGGAATCCCCATGGAATTCCGTGTGAAATCATATATGAAATTCGGACACGATTTGGTGTATGATTTCATGTATAAATTTATGATGTTGTTTCCATATTGAAATCTATGTCAATTCCTACAGTATTTCCTATAATTTTTCTAACATATTACTTTTCTCAATTTCCTTCATAATTAACTCACATCAAATCTTATAAAAAATATTATATGAAATTCTTAAGATTTCCTTATATAAAATCTTACATACAAGCTTTAATGTAGGAATCAATATGGGATTTCATGTGCATTCTTACATATGATTTCACATGGATTTGAACATAGGAAATCACATGGGATTTCATGTAGATTCTGAAATATCATCCTAAGATTTCACATGGATTTATATATAGGAAACAATATAGGTTTTTATGTGGTATAATTTCAGTTGAATGCTTTATGCAGAAGGCAGTTAACAAAAATTAAAAATTATTTAATTAAAAATTAAATAATATTACTGCAATTTATCTGAAAAGAAAAAAATTTGTGCTTTGCAATACACATTCTCAGTTAAAGTCTCAGCTTATATAGTATTCAAGAATGATCTCAACTGTGAGAAAGAAAAATTATCACCATCTAGTGGCGTAACTGTGGAACTAGAACGATGATCGACATCTATATTGAAATTTCCCATGTCAAACACCATGTCAATTCCCCATGTGAAATCCTTTATAATTTTTAAGAAAAATTTTCCCATGTCAAACCCCATGTGAAATCCGTTATCATTTTTTTAGAAAAATTTTCCTATGTCAAATCACATGTCACTTCCCATGTGAAATCCTTTATCATTTTTATGATAAATTTTCCCATGTCAAACCCCATGTGAAATCCCTTATCATTTTGTTTAAACATTTTCCTACGTCAAATCCCATGTCATTTCCCATGTGAAAACCTTTATCATTTTTATGATAAATTTTCCCATGTCAAACCCCATGTGAAATCCCTTATCATTTTGTTTAAACATTTTCCTACGTCAAATCCCATGTCATTTCCCATGTGAAAACCTTTATCCCTTTTATGATAAATTTTCCCATGTCATTTCCCATGTGAAATCCTTTATCATCTTTATGATAACTTCTCCCATGTCAAACCCCATGTGAAATCCCTTATCATTTTTTTGAAAAATTTTCCCATGTCAAACCCAATGTGAAATCCCTTATCATTTTGTTTAAAAATTTTCCTACGTCAAATCCCATGTCATTTCCCATGTGAAATCCTTTATCATTGTTATGATAAATTTTCCCATGTCAAACCCCATGTGAAATCCCTTATCATTTTTTTGAAAAATTTTCCTATGTCAAATCCCATGTCAATTCCCATGTGAAAACCTTTATCACTTTTATGATAAATTTTCCCATGTAATTTCCCATGTGAAATCCTTTATCATTTTTATGATAAATTTTCCCATGTCAAACCCAATGTGAAATCCCTTATCATTTTGTTTAAAAATTTTCCTACGTCAAATCCCATGTCATTTCCCATGTGAAAACCTTTATCACTTTTATGATAAATTTTCCCATGTCAAATGCCATGAGAAATCCTTTATAATTTTTATGAAAAATTTTCCCATGTCACGCCCCATGTGAAATCCCTTATCATTTTTTTGAAAAATTTTCCTATGTCAAATCACATGTCAATTCCCATGTGAAAACCTTTATCACTTTTATGATAAATTTTCCCATGTCATTTCCCATGTGAAATCCTTTATCATTTTTATGATAAATTTTCCCATGTCAAACCCAATGTGAAATCCCTTATCATTTTGTTTAAAAATTTTCCTACGTCAAATCCCATGTCATTTCCCATGTGAAAACCTTTATCACTTTTATGATAAATTTTCCCATGTCAAATGCCATGAGAAATCCTTTATAATTTTTATGAAAAATTTTCCCATGTCACACCCCATGTGAAATCCCTTATCATTTTTTTGAAAAATTTTCCTATGTCAAATCACATGTCAATTCCCATGTGAAAACCTTTATCACTTTTATGATAAATTTTCCCATGTCATTTCCCATGTGAAATCCTTTATCATTTTTATGATAAATTTTCCCATGTCAAACCCAATGTGAAATCCCTTATCATTTTGTTTAAAAATTTTCCTACGTCAAATCCCATGTCATTTCCCATGTGAAAACCTTTATCACTTTTATGATAAATTTTTCCATGTCATTTCCCATGTGCAATCCTTTATCATTTTTATGATAAATTTTCCCATGTCAAACCCAATGTGAAATCCCTTATCATTTTGTTTAAAAATTTTCCTACGTCAAATCCCATGTCATTTCCCATGTGAAATCCTTTATCATTTTTATGATAAATTTTCCCATGTCAAACCCCATGTGAAATCCCTTATCATTTTGTTTAAACATTTTCCTACGTCAAATCCCATGTCATTTCCCATGTGAAAACCTTTATCCCTTTTATGATAAATTTTCCCATGTCATTTCCCATGTGAAATCCTTTATCATCTTTATGATAACTTCTCCCATGTCAAACCCCATGTGAAATCCCTTATCGTTTAATTGACATGGGAAAATTTATCATAAAAGTGACAGAGGTTTTCACATGGGAAATGACATGGGATTTGACATAGGAAAATTTTTCAAAAAAATGATAAGGGATTTCACATGGGGTTTGAAATGGGAGACGTTATCATAAAGATGATAAAGGATTTCACATGGGGTTTGACATGGGAAAATTTATCATAAAAATGATAAAGGATTTCACATGGGAAGTGACATGTGATTTGACATAGGAAAATTTTTCTAAAAAAATGATAAGGGATTTCACATGGGGTTTGACATGGGAAAATTTTTCTTAAAAATTATAAAGGATTTCACATGGGGAATTGACATGGTGTTTGACATGGGAAATTTCAATATAGATGTCGATCATCGTTCTAGTTCCACAGTTACGCCACTAGATGGTGATAATTTTTCTTTCTCACAGTTGAGATCATTCTTGAATACTATATAAGCTGAGACTTTAACTGAGAATGTGTATTGCAAAGCACAAATTTTTTTCTTTTCAGATAAATTGCAGTAATATTATTTAATTTTTAATTAAATAATTTTTAATTTTTGTTAACTGCCTTCTGCATAAAGCATTCAACTGAAATTATACCACATAAAAACCTATATTGTTTCCTATATATAAATCCATGTGAAATCTTAGGTTGATATTTCAGAATCTACATGAAATCCCATGTGATTTCCTATGTTCAAATCCATGTGAAATCATATGTAAGAATGCACATGAAATCCTATATTGATTCCTACATTAAAGCTTGTATGTAAGATTTTATATAAGGAAATCTTAAGAATTTCATATAATATTTTTTATAAGATTTGATGTGAGTTAATTATGAAGGAAATTGAGAAAAGTAATATGTTAGAAAAATTATAGGAAATACTGTAGGAATTGACATAGATTTCAATATGGAAACAACATCATAAATTTATACATGAAATCATACACCAAATCGTGTCCGAATTTCATATATGATTTCACACGGAATTCCATGGGGATTCCTATGTGGACCTTTGGATTTCATAACGGTTTTTATAAAGGAACCTATATGGAATCATATATAGGATCCCATGTCGGGATTTTCAATAGGGAACTAATGATAACTAATGTTATCCAATATTTTTTGAGTAACTAGCTTTGAATCGGAAGCCCAGTTTTCCAAAAGAGTTTGCTTCTTATTTGACTGTGATGAAGAATCTGAGAATTGTTCTTCGAATTTTCTCTTTTTTTTTTCTTTCGCTATAGCTGCTTCTAATTCTTTAACGCATCCATGTTTAACCTATCCAAATATTTATTTATAAAAATTTTAAAAATATTATCATTATTAGAAAATTAATTTTTATAATCATGGAATTTTGTTTGCCATTTTAAGAATTAATTTACAAATCAATTAATAAGGTGCAATTTCGACACGGGGTTGCTAAAAATTATTTTTATAAACTCTTAAATAAAAGTCTATATAAAACTTCCGAATACAAATAAATAAATTAATTAAAATGTTATTTTAAAAAATCTTGTACACTGTTTAAATTATGCAGGTAAATCCCCTACATTGCAACAGTAAACCAAACGAATACTATGGAACACGAGCACATGAAAAACAGAATGTAAACACTCGATACAATGCGCAGCATGCGAGCGCAGAGGCCATGTTCTTTTGCTATCACTTTGCGCGCTTTTTTTGAAATACAAAATTATTAAGTTTTTAAAGCAAAAAAAAAGTGCAAAGAAAGTAACGAAATAACTTAAAATTAAAAGTTACTATTAAAATAGTAACTAAGTTACGTTACAAGTTACTTTTAAAAAAAGTAACTTAGTTACGTTATAAGTTACAAGTAAAGTAACTTTTTCAGTAACTTAGTTACTAATAACTATTTACTACCCAACACTGTATCCAGTAATAAAAAATATTTTTCCCGATTAATTTTTTATGTCTTTCACCTATTATCATAAAATATATTATTAATTTATTGCTCCCATTCGTAATTTTTATTGTTTTTGTGCCATTCCAGGAGTTTTTTTTTATCACTTTTCAGAGTAACCTTTCCAAATTAAATAAAACATTTTTTATAATATTTATTAATATAAAGGTTCAAAATAATCACTTTTTAAGTAAAAACAATTGTTTATTTAAAAAATACAGCAATAAATAATGAAAAAAATTCACTTTTTTTGTTCACCACCAAATAAATTGCTGTATTTTGTAAATAAACAAATGTTTTTACTTAAATAGTAATTATTTTCAACATTTATATTAATAAATATTATTAAAAAAAATGTTTCATTTAATTTAGAAAGGTTACTCCGAAAAGTGATAAAAAAAACTCCCGGAATGGTACTTTTATAAAAAAAAAAGTTTAACACCCAAAAGAAGCTATTCAGTTCAAATATGAAAATATAAAAAATATATATGAACGTAGGTAAATAAATAATTTGCAATTAAATTAATTTTCTTTTGGTTTTTCCAAACTCGTTATTAATGACCTTTGCCTTAGTAGGCATTATTTATATAAACTTACAGATAGGAATGCAAATATAAGGGTAATAAAATTTCAATCATTTCAACAACATTTAAAATTCTTAGAAATTAATATTTTTTGAAATATTATTCCACAGATTGAATTACCGCAGGGATTTTTAATTGTAATACAGAATGATAATGAAAAATATAAAAATTATGATAATAATTTTTTTGTCAATTATTATTATTTAAAAAAAATAAATTTTCTTGCTTTGGGATCGGTCACATATTACGTCACGCTATTTTTCATTATTTTTTAACCCCCCCTCCCCCACGTCACACACTATTCTATACATTAGCGCCATTTTTTCTACAGGTCGTCACACATTCAACAGACCCCTCCCCCCCCCTAAGCGTGTGACGTAATATGTGAACGATCCCTTTACGTAATTTAAAAAAATATATGCGAATATATTTATATGCGATATAGGCAATTTTATTTCAATGTACCACTAACAATTATTATCCTTTATAAAACATTTTAAAACCAAATTTTATTTTATTAAAAATATTTTTAAATATTAAATATGAGTTTGAAAGATAATTTCATAGTTTTTAAAATAGTATTAATTTTTTTGTAAAAAAAAATAATGTAATGTTAAAAAAAAATTTTTGATAGAAAATACAATTGAATATACACTGAAAGAAAAATTATAACCTAATCATATTTTCATAAAAAAGCTAAAAAATATTTAATTGTCATAATATTTCTTTGAAACGGAATTAAAATATTTTTTATATTTTTTCTTTCAGTGTAATTATTATTAGTTATAAAAAAAAGAAATATCTTTTACCTTAGCCTGCAACCGATGTATCATATATTGTAGAAAAAAAGATCTGTTGAAAACACACGCGATTAAAAAAAATTTCAAATACTCAGGAAACCACATTTTTTAAATTTAGAAAAATACTTTTTTAAGCGATCGCGATTTTAAAGATTTCGAACACAATAGGAGAAAATTAAATACAATTTTTGAAAAAATAAGAAGAAACAGAGATGATATATGTGATACTCCACGGGAAAAGGGGCCTTATAATCCAAAAATGAATTTTACGGGAGAAGCGTTTAAATCGAAGGCAGAAATAGAAGTCTCGAGAAAGTAGGCGGAGCTTGTAAGAAGTTCCCCTTCTACCAAACTACTACATCGATGAGTTTGTATAGGTATACGAAACGAAAGAGGCTAACAGACAAGGAAAGTATAGTGGTAGAGTAAATGGTGGGGATGGTTCTCTGAGCTGTCTCGCGCCTGCGCACCGCACACGAAAAAATGCTCATGTTTCATTGTTAATTACACAAACAGTAATTAATAAAAAAAAATTCTTTTTTTGGACTTTTGCATGTAAAAAAGCAACTCAAAATCTATTGATTAACATCAGAAACTTAAAATTCATTTTTGTAATCATGAGATCCCTTTCTCGTGAAACATATATTGAACTTTTTGTAAAGTATATAATTTTTACAATTAAGGATTATAATTCAATTATATATTTACATATAAGAGTAAAAGTAAGGATAGCAAATATCTTTATTCTTCTCTCACTCATTCTTACATTTCCCTACAAAAATCTATTCTGCTATGGCCTTTAGAACACCGGAAGCGCCATATTGTTCATTCCCGTTTTTTAAAAAATTGGCGGGAAAAATCAAATAATTTAATGGGATTGAAATATATTGAATAATAAATTCAATAATTAATTGTCTATAATTTAAAAACATTTTAACGTACTTATTATTTTTAAATAAGTAACAAAAAAAATTAAACTTTGAGATTCTTGAATGGCATTTATTTGAAAATACAATTTTACGTACAGCATTAAAAATCTAGAGAATTTTTTTTGGGAAAATAAGATGTGATATATATATATATATATGTTGTTTATATGTACCTTAAGTTTGAAAATATTGACGCGTCAAAAGTTCCGGTACCTGAAAAATAAAAGGAACTCTCGTTTTGACGCTTATTGATCACGGTTAAAATTATTTATATTTATAAGCATGCGAAGCGACAAATATTATTAAGTTATTAGCTAAACAACGAAGAAATGAAGCGATTAAACGAAAAAATAAAATCTCGTGCAAAGCATATTTTTTAACTTATAATTATAAATATATGTATATGTTATTGATTTTTTTTTTCGCAAAAAGAAAAAAATAAAATGGAAATCAAAATGTAGCTTATTTGGAAAAAGAAAGCGAGTAGCATTTTCTCTTTTCTAAATGAAGCGAATACGCAATTAAATGAAGCGCAAGAGTAAAAAAAAGAATAGTAATCTTAAGTTTCAAATGGCCTAGAATCCCGTCATCTCGGCGTATGTCAAATCAAGATCATCGCACATCGCCCTGTATTTTTCCTTCTCTTCTCTTAATTCATCTGTAATAAAAAATCGTACAACGTTTGATATTGTTTTAAAAATAAATCATTAAAATAATAAATAAACAAAAAAAATAAAATAGTAGAAAAAAAGTAAATGAAAATATTAACTTTAAAATTATTGAAAAAATAATAATTTTCTCCAATCGTCTTTATGTTTCTATTAGTTTTGAGAAAATAGTAAAAAAAAGTTGTAGTTTTAGAAGTACAAAAATTTAAAAGAAGAAAATATTTTTAAAAATTATAAAAAATTATTAAGATGAATTTTTTTTTTAAGTTTAAATTAATTTCTATGATTATATTATTAGAATTTACTATTTAAAATATGTAATAATTGAAATTCATTTTTTTTCTTACCTTCTTTTCTGTCCACCTCTCTCATCAATTGCTTCACTGACCTCTCGGCATGAACAGCTCGTTTCTCTGCTAATTTCAACATCATTTTCAAATTTTTCAATTCCAATTTGAACTCCTCCACTCGACGATTTGCCTAAAAATAATGCAATAATTTTCAAAATTATTAATTATGAAATTATTATTTTAACCGAAGGAAAATATAAAAATTAAATTTTTTTTAAGTATCTATTTCAAAAATATAATTACAAAAAAAAATTTAATTCAATATTATTAAAAAAAAAATTTTTTTTGAACCCTAAAAATCGTCAAAAATGACTTTCAGAAAATATTGAAATGAGGAAAAAAAATAATAACCTTTTGTTCGGAAACTTCAAGAGACTTGACAATATTTTTAACAATAAAAAGTTCATCTTCTCGTTCAACAATTTTTCTGTAAGCAGACAAAAAAGAAAGGATAATAATAACATGATTTAGAAGCCATGAAAGAAATATGGAAACGCACTTATGCAGGGGGACTGCGTCAAAGGAACGGAATCGTTCCCCTTTTTTGATCACCGTAAAACAAATACTGACGCTTCGCTAGTCTTGACTCTCTCCTCCGCTGATTCCAGTTCTTCTTCAACCAATTGTAATTTCGTCTGAGCTTCCTCAGATTTTGTGTCAGCATCCTCAGCAATTAGTCTCGCGTCTTTCAATTCATTCGTCAATTTTTCAGTTCGCTCTTCGTCCGCCTTACTTCTTTCCTCCAGCACTTTACACATTCTAAAAAAAAAGAGTCAATAATATAATTACATATCATTTTTACCAATAATATTTTATTTTCTTTATTTATTTATTTTTTTTTTATTTATAATTTTTTTAATTAACATTAACATTTCTTGAGACGGAGAATTATAAAATAGAAACATTTTTAAATTTATAATTTTTTTTTTATTTTAACTGATTTCAATATTTTTATATTTATATTTACATCCACAAAAATGATAATATCTGTCTCAGAACTAAATAAATATTTTTATTTATTTCAAATAATAATTTATTTTAAATACAAATTTTAATTTGTTAAAATAAAAATTTATTTAATTTATTTGCGTTAAATAAATTGTTATTTGTGGTAAATAATTTTTTTTTTAAATTAAAACAAATAGATATTAGGTTCTTAGAAAAATATATTTTTATTTGATTTAAATAAATTTTATTTGTCTTAAATAAATGCAAATAAAAATTTTCTCTAAGTGATACTTATTATTTCTTTTTTTATTGAAACATTTTTTCTTCGTTTCTGTTTATTCAATTTCTAAATTGATTTTTTAATTTTCCATAAAAAAAAAACTTTTTTCCACTTATTGTAGATATTAAAATTACATTTTTTTATTACACAAAAATATTACATAAAAAAAAATTATAGAAAAAATGTAATAAATTTTTCTTTTTTTTTTTTGGTAAATATATAGGTGAGAATTTTTTTAATTGTGATTATTTATAATAATTTCTTTTATAAATATTTTGAAACAAAATTTATTTATAATAATTTTTTTTTTATTTATTTTTCAAATATAAATATTAAATATTTATTATCTTATATACCTTTTGGCATCGTCAGCAAGCTCTGATGCTCGTACTAATTTAATTGTTGCCGAGTCACGTAATTCCTCTTTTTTTTGAAGTTGTTCCTCTATTTCCTGAACTCTTTTTGTCAATGAAGTACGATCCTGTTCTGCCTGCACAAAAAATATTTACAAAGAAAAATTATTTTTTTTTCTTTTCATTATTTATCAAATTTAACAAACAAATATTGTATAAAACATAGAAATTAAAATCACAAATTTTTTGGAAACTCAAATTTTACTTCGTTAATGATTTTAAAAAATTGAAATTTATTTAGCTTTCAAAAAAAATTTGATTATCTAACCAATTAATTTCAAAAAAAAAAAAAAATTGAAGAATTTTAATTAATTAATTTTAAATAGTAAAATTAATTTTATCTCTAAACTAAATATTATTAATTACTAAATAATTATTAAATGTTAATTAATTAATTTATTAATTAATTCTTAAATTAATTTTTTTTCTACAAATTGGAATGTAACAAAAATTTTCGTTACTCACTTTAGCGAATTGTTTTTCACATTGTTCTAATTCCGCGGACGATGTATCGAAAGTTGTTTTAATCGTCTCAAAATCATGTTCCATTTGAACGAGTTTTTTTTCTAAATCACGCACTTCATCAAACAATTTATCAGCTCGTAAATTTTCTTGTTTTGCTTTTGTTTCATTTGATTCCACTGTTTCATTAGCGCCGTCCAATTCTTTTTTCAACGCTGCAATATTTTTCTTAATCGCCTCCATGATGTTCTTCTTTTACGTTGTTTCTCACAGGCAGAAGCTTCAAAACGACGCCCCTCCAATCTGCCGAAAAAAAAATAATATTGTCAATTTTGAAATTTTATTTTTCAAATTTAAAAATTTTTTTCTTCATTTCAAAAACATGCATAAAATTATTATTATTTTATTTATTATTCAGTAATTAATAACTAATTTCTTATTTAATAATTAGATAATAGTTGATTAATTTAAAATTAATATTAATAAATTAAAAATATTTTTTTTTTGCAATTATTTTCATGGAAGAGAAAAAAAAATCGTTTGCATGTAATTATATAACGAAATTAATTTTGATAACAATTTTTAATTTTTAAATGAATAGTAATAATTTTAAATGAAATCAAATTTAAATATAAAATTTCTCGTATGAGATTGACAATTTTTTTCGATATAAAAAAAAATTTCCACTTTTTTTTACACGTAACGAAAAAAAAGAGTTGACATGTAATATAAAAAACAAAAAACTTTCACTCAGAATATAAAAAATTTTATCGACTTTTTTTTGGAAAAATAGATTTTTTTTTTAATTACAAAAAATTGAATCAAAAAATTAATCATTGAATTAATTATATATTATGTATTAATTAGAAAATAATTACAAATTTCACTTGAGATTTCACTATAAAACTCTGAGAAGGATTTTCAACACAAGCACTAAAATTTGTCTAAACTCGATAAAAATAAAAAAAAATATATATATATATATTTTTTTTTTTTGAATAGTGAAAGATGATGGCACACAATTTTTAAATAATTGAAAATTTGTCACTAACAAATATTGTTTGTGATGCGCGCCCTTTATTGAAACTGAAACGCATAAAGGATGTTGACAAGTTTTTGGGGACAAAATTTGTGCAAAAGAGGCCAACAACTCACTATCTCGTCGAAGCGATGATCCGCGAGGAGAGAATGTACAACCGGATGCCTTCGAAAGCTAAGCTAAAATAAAACGAATCTGCTAGAGCGAACCTCGTCGAACGTTTCGATCGAATCCAATTCTATAATTGCTTTAGCAACTTTGGCTATCGTCCCGATTTTCACTCTTGGCTCTCTCACACTTTTGCTGATCAAAAACCCCCGTCGTCAACTTGCAAGTTGACTCTCGCCGAAATGCGATCTCCACCCTTCTTCAATGCTATTTTCGGCTAAATTCGCCAAAAGAAGAAAAGAAGAAGAAGAAGATGAAAAAAAACGCAATGCCTGTGTTGTAAACTGTTTATTGTTGCGATAATGCAATAGAATTTTTAAGTATACAGAAAAAAAAATAAAAAAAAAATAAGAGAGTAAAAAATAACATTATTTATCGAAGTTGATGTTCCAATTTTTAAATTCGAAACAAATTTCGGAACATTTTTCCATTTAGTTGGCACGTCTTTGAAAAAAAAATTTTTTTTTTTTTTTTTATTTTCCTAGAAAAATTATTAATTAGAATTTTCATAATTTTATTAGAAATAATTATCTTTTAGGTGAATTTTCATTATTTTCAAATTAAAATATGACAAATTTTCATTTTTATATGAATTTTTTCATTTAAAAAAATTTTTAGCTACCAAATTTTTTTTTTCTAGTCATTTAATTTACATGACTTTTTTATTTAAGAGAATTTTCAATTTAAAAGAATTCTCATTCAATCGAATTTTATGCGATTTAAATTAATAAATTACAGAAATTCCAAATATTCACCGAATTTTAATTTGTCCAAATTTTTAATTGATATAATTTTTAAGACGCCCAATTTTATATTTTTCTGAAATTACAAATGAACGAAGAAACAATAATTGACAAAAAGATTTTTGAATAATTTTTAAAATTTTCCAATTAGAAATTATGAGTAAATAATGATTGAAAATCCATTGTTTCTTCGGCCATTTGTAATTTCGGATAAATAAAAATAAAATAAAAATTCGGTGAATTGGAATTTCTTTCATTTAAAAATTCGAATCACACATAAAATTCGATCAAACAAAAATTCGATAGCTAAAAATTTTATAATGTAAAATTTTGTACAGAAAGAGAAAATCTGTAAAATTTCAATTTGAAAATTTGAAAATTCATTTAAAAAAAAAAATAATTATTTCTAATAAAATATACTTTAAAAATAAAAATTTTAATCAATGATTTTTATGGGAAATTAATGCTCGCTCCATAAAATAATAAATTTTATTACCAAATGATATTGGAATTTGTTTTCAAAAAAATATCTAGAGAAATTTATCAGTTTCTTTTTGAACAATTATATCATCTTTTTTGATACGAGAAAATATTTTTGTATTGTAATTTTATAACGTAAATTTGAAAAATCATTTTACTAAATAAATGTATTTATGATTTTAAAAATTTTTTTTAATATTTACTTTATACGAATTTGGGCTTCGCTTGTATGTTTAAATAAATAAATAGTGAAGAGTGGACGACAATGGATCACTGGAATCGAATAAAATTTAATTAATTTGCAATTTCAGGCCTCGGATTGACTTTAAGGCACAAAAAAAGTCGTTTTAGTCGATTTATATTCCAAAAAAAAGTCGAAAGAGTTGACTTTTTTTTTATTTTAACAAAATTTAATTGATTAATAAATATTTCACTTTGAATAACTAAAATTATTAGTTATTAAACTCATTTTATTAATTCTGTAATAAGAATAATTCTATAAGAATATTATCAAGAAAATTTATTTCGAATATTTCAGAATCAAACTAATTGTAAGACAAATTTTCACAAATTTCAAAAGATTTTTTTTTAATTTTTAGATTATAATTTTACAAAAGTAAAAATAATTTATCAAATAATTTTAGATAATATTTTTTAAAAGTAATTGGATTTTTAAAGATTTACAATTAAGATTATTGAAATTAATTGAACTTCAAGTGATTTTTAAATTAAAATTTTAGAAAATATGTTACTAAAAAATTTATTAGAAATTGTGGAAAAAAATACAATAATTTGAAAATGTTTTAAGCAAAAAAATGGTTTAAAATAGTTGAATTTTCGAAGAATATTAAAAAATTCATTGAAAATAATTGAATTTAATGAGAGTTATAATTGGAATTATTAAATTTCAAAAAATTTTAAATGGAAAAATTTAAAAATAATTAAATTTTATGAGCTTTTAGATTGAAAATTTTGAAAATAATTGAATTTCAAAAGATTGTGTTAAATTTCAGACAATAATTATAATAAGAGAAATTTTTAGTGATTTCTGTTGATGAAGAATTTATTAGAAATCACATACAAAAATTGAATTCCAAAAGTTTTTAATTGACAAATGCTTTCAGGTAATTGAATTTTCGAAGAATATTATAAAAATCATTTTAAAAAATTTGAAATTTTTGCAAATAATTAAATTTCAAATGATTTTGAATTAAAAATTTTTGATAATTTTTTTAAAATTATAAACAATTATTAAATTTCATAAAAAATTTACTAGCAAAATAGTTTAAGATAATTGAATTTGTGAAGAATCTCATTAAAATTATTAAAAATAATTAATTTAGTGAAGAATTTTAGTTAAAATTTTTTTAAATAATTGAAATAAAGAAGATCTGCATTGTATACTAAAAAACGGATTTTGTTTAAAAAATTTTTTTTAAAAAAGTCGCATTTTATTAAAATAAGTCGAAAAAAGTCGTATTTTTGAAAAATAAAATCGGAAAAATTCATATAATCCAAGGCCAATTTAAATTTACATTTATTAATATGGCCAAAATAATTTTGTATCCTCTAAATTAATATTAACTCAAAAAATGTTACAAAATTATTCTTTTTAAACTAATAAATAATTTTTAATATTCTTCAGAAAATCAATATTATTACATTGGAAATTCAATTATTTTTTTAAATACATCACATTAATCAAATCATAAAAAAGGTGAAAAAGATAAAAAAAAATTATCAAAATAAAATAGGTGACAAAATTTAAAATAGATAAAAATAAATAATAGCCTGTGTGATCCATGTCTTTGTAAAAATTTATAATTAAAAAATACACATTCATATCTTTTTTTGTGCTTCTAAAAAATATTTCACCTTAATTTGCAATAAAAATGCTATATAATTACAAAATTCTTCAATTTTTTCCACAAAAATTATAAAACTGTAAAATTATTTTAGAAATTACTTTTCGAATTGAAAATAAAGAATTCAGTTTGTTTCAAATTCAAAAATGGAACAATTTTTTTTTCTTAACGTAAATAAAACATATTTTGCGCAATGAGATTCGTTACAATTGTCACTATATATATATATATTTATGAATATTTATAAATTCTGTCGTAGCAAAAAGTGCGATAACATGAATGATTTGTAATAAAAATTGATGATATTTTGTCATTTTGCGCAATAGTAATACTTTCGGTGCAAATATACAATATATATATTATCAGAGAAAAAAAAATATTTAAATTTATCTTGAAAAATTAAAAAAGAAATCAAATTGTAAAAAATGTTTAAACAATTAAAAAATACATCAAATCGGAATGCTCTTTTTTTATTTTAGTGTTGTTTTTCGACATTTTCTTTTTTTTCTTACAATTATCATTGAATTTAATTTTTTTGAAAAATTGGAAAAAAAATTTACATACTGAGATGAGAAAAATTCGATATTTAAAATTTGCAAATATACTCAGCACACAACTTGTTAATAATTATTATTTATATATATATCCAATTGTTCTATCTAATGTTTAGCAAAATAATAATTATTTTTTTTTTATAATTAGAAATAGGTGGCAACGATGCACTTATTTTATAAGTGGAAATATAGAAAACTGGACAGACTAGCAACCCCCAGAAATTTATCCAAGCGATATTTATTTCAACATTTCCGCAAAAAATTCAACTATAAAAAAGAAAAAAAATAACTGATGATTTGTGTCATTTTGTTCCCTTTAAAAAATAAATTTCGCCAGGACAATTGTCATTGGAGGTTTTTTTTTCTTGTTTGTAATAACAATTATTTAAATTTTCGTTATATAAAACGAGCCTACTTAATTATTTTTTTTTTTTATTTTTACAAGAGGGCAACATCGACTTGATTTGTAAAGGTTTCTAAATTTTGTTTTTCATTCATTTTACACTCACACAATAAAATTAAGTGAAAAAAATTTTTTTTTTTTTACAAAACAAGCCAGACTTATATATTATTAAGAAAAAAGCGCGAGATTCTATTAATAATTATTATTAACATTAATAATAATAATATTATTTATAATTATTTTCGAAAAGTTCTATGGCACATAGAAAAAGTTACTTTTTTTCCAAACTAATTATATTCTTAATTAAAGAAGCCAGTTTCGATTGCTCGGTATCACAATTGGTGTCGAATGTTGCTCAAGTCTTTGCATAATAGAAAATGCATACACAACAATGCAAAAATTATTTCATTTGCATTGACAATGATGATTCTTAATATATAATGATTGCTGATCGTGAATTAATGATTAACGATTTTCGATTTAATTAACGATTGCAGTTATTATTATTATAATATTTTTATATATATATATATTATTTTACTTTAAATATTAAAGAAGGTGCATTTTAATGCAGTAATGTGATTATCATAGAAATTTTAACAGTGATATCGACAAAGAGAATAGAATGATATTTTGAAAAAACTTAACTGGGAATTATATATGTATACTATAAATATAATTGGTAATAATTATATATTTTTACTATCATTTATCGTTTTAATTAATAATAATGATAACAATAATTATATAGTTCATTATTATTCATGTAATTATAAATATATTTAAGTCCAAGTAAGATTTCAGTTATTTCAAAATAAGTAAATCAATTGCAATGAAACTCAGGAATTATTCAGCAAAATTAGATGCCTGCGCACACCTCTCCTTCTCATCAGCTGAGAGGATTAAGGCCAGGTCCAAGTCGAGTCAGCTGTTCCTTTGACGTTTCAATGGAACAGCTGACACGACTTGGACCTGGCCTTAAGTCCCTGTTACACAATGTTATAATTTATATAATATATAAAAAAAATTGCCTTATTTTTCATGCTTTAAGGGGTTACGCCACCCTGAAATTTTCAAAAAATTGATTTTTTTTTGCTTAATTTCAAAATTTATATTTTAACGAATATTTGAAGATGTCTCCGAAGACAATGTCACACTAATTACAAAAGTTATGATCTTTAGAAGTCAGCGGGTAGGGACGCGCCGAGAGCTGCTAGAAGCCGTCTAGCGCCTCCTTAACGACTTTCCATTTTCAGATCAGAGGACATTCTTTCCATTCTAGGAGAAGAGTATTATGGCCGAGGAATTGCTGATTAAATAGTAAGTTAAAAAATTTTCAAGTTATAATACACTAAAGTATATTTTTTTCTTTTGCGTTTTTCTCGAAACCACATTTTTCGAGACGGTGTACACGATAACTCAAAAACAATTCAACCGATTGACTTGCAAATTAATATACATCTTCCTAAATAGATTTTCCACAGAGTGACGTGGGATTTTTTCGATTGAATAATTTGAAAATTTTTTATACGGTACTTTTAGCCCAAAAAAAATTCAATTTTTGAAGTGCTTCCATTTGCGTAAAATTTTTTTTTTAAATGGCTTCGTCACTCTATTCAAAATTTGTCACTTTTTAAGAAAAATATTGTTTTACTTGTTTCAGACAAAAATTGAACTGCCAATCAGGTACACCATCAAGGAGTGCTCCGGAAAAATTGATCCACGCCAATACTTATATCTCCGCCATTTTTAATTAAAAACCATTTTTTTTAAATATTTATAAAGCTTAATATATGTATTAAAACATCAATAAATGTAAATAAGTCCTACCTCTAACAGTTTTGTTAAAGAAATTCCTAAAAAACCATCCGATTTTCATGCGTTCAGGGTGTGTCGTAACCCCTTAATACCGTACAAGAAAAATGAGGTGTTTCGAAATAGTTAACTCACAATTTATTAAACAATGTTTGTTTTCTTTTTTGTATTTTATTTACTGTGAAACGTCTGCTATTCCTGCGCGCGACGTTCGGAAGTTGTCGCTCTCGTTATTGAGCAGAAGCTCATTACACTAGCGTAGTAAAAAACATGTTGTGCAAAAAGTGAGCTTTTTCATCCTTAAAAAATGTTTTTTTTATGATTTTTTACTGCAAAGTAGATAATTAAAAACCATTCAATGTGATAAACAGAAATGTTTACGTTTCTTTTAATGACAACATAACCTCACTTTTCACACAACATGTTTTGTACTACGCTAGTGTAATAAGCTTCTGCTCAATAACGAGAGCGACAACTTCCGAACGTCGCGCGCAGCAATAGCAGACGTTTCACAATAAATAAAATACAAAAAAGAAAACAAACATTGTTTAATAAATTTTGAAATACATTATTTTTCTTGTGCGGTATTAAAGCTTGAAAAATAAGGAAAATTTTGATCTTTAAACCAATTTATTTGGTGGTGCAGAAAAAAAGTGATTTTTTTTCATTATTTATTGTTGTATTTTTTAAATAAACAATTATTGTTTTTACTTAAAAATTGATTATTTTGGACCTTTATAATTAATAAATATTATAAAAAAAATGTTTCATTTAATTTGGAAAGGTTACTCCAAAAAGTGATAAAAAAAACTCATGGAATGGCACAACATATATAATAATTTAACAAAAAACTGACAATTCTATTCGAGTGTGGAAGAGAAATTTGTAAACATTAGAATTGAATAACAGGGACTTACTCCTCTTAGCTAATGAGATAGTAGTCGTGCATTAATCATCAAAATTTTCACATCTCAAAAACTAGTGAATATTTTGACTCAATATTTTGTGGAAACATTTCTTTTTATATATGTAGATTAAAATTCCTGAGTTTCATTGCAATTAATTTACTTATATAACTGAAATCTTATTTCAACTTGCACCAGGATGGCGATAATTTTTATGATTATAAATTTTCGGTCATTTTCCGGTCAAAATTTTGTAAATAATTTAACTCTTTCATATAAATAAAAGTGACCATTTTTCTAAAAAAAAAAAAAAATTCATAACTTTTTTATTTTTTATTATTAATTCTTCTAATAAATTTTAATAATGAATTACTACAAAAAAGTAATTAGATATAATAATTTTTAGAATATCTAAAAAATTCCCGGTTTAACTATGAATTCCCGGTCATTTTCAGGTCATATCGCCACCCTCTGCACTAATCGTAAACATAATTGTAATTACAATTATAAGTATGATTATAAATAGGGTCAGTTAGGATAAATGGGGACAGTGGATAAATAGGGACAAGAGGTTTTAGAGCATAATTTACAGTTTTAAAATGAAGTTCAACGTCAATATTTTAACCTCAGATCACCTGCAAGAGGTTTTGAGTATTGTCAAGCTTTTATCTTGACAATTGGCAGCAAGATAAAAAAAAGTTATCTCTCAATGCATAAAAACTTGAAAATCAAAGTCAAAACTGTTTTAGTATTTTGTCTCGCATTTCAAAGAAAACAGACTTAAAAATCCACGAAGTATTATAAGGAGCACTCAATCTATTGGCCGTTTCGGAAAATTCTGCTCACATGTTTTTCCGATTCAATTAATGAAGTGTCTCATAACGACACTAACAACCCTAGCGGGAAAATTAATTACTACAGGTCACGTGATTTTATCGTCTGCTATACTTGAATGTTTGTTGTTTGTTTACACTGTATTCAGCAGCAGTATTTAGTACGGGCCGGTTTTGAAATTTAATTTTGATTAGTTTAAATAATCAGAAATTGTAACTTCGTTAATAAAAATCAATTAAAATTTACCCCAAATTAACTGTGGGTGAATGCCGTAAACGGCTATTTTACACGTCTTTATACTTCTGTTAATCGTGGACTTAGTGATCTTGAACAATCGTAAGTGCAATATGTAAAAACTTTTTAATTTAAAAGTAATAATGAGGTGTTTTGTGAAAGGGTGTACATCACCAGGCTACGGAAAGAAAAGCTGTAAAGAAAATGTTGAACGCAGACATATTGTGAAAAACTATAAAGTACATAGCTTTTCCTGTAAAGGCGTCCTAATCGTTATGGGACATTTCTGTAATTGATTGGCGAAACCGTGGCTATCTGCTAAAGTGGAGTGAGTGCTCCTTATTATACTTCTTGTAAAAATCATACCAAATTTTTTTATTATTCCTTATGACTCCCATAACATAAATTCACTTGAATTTTTGTTAATTTGGTTAATAATGACAAGCTGTTCCCATTTACCCCAAAAATTTGAAAACTCAGGGTAAATGGAAGGCTGATATCGAATTGCGTGCGCTTGGTTGAATTGCGTCCCAAGGGATGGCAGGTATAGTTTGAATTGCGTGCCAAGGGTAACCCAAATGTAGTCGAATTGCGTGCAGTGGTCGATGTCCTATATATATCATTGTAGGTTACACATTTCCCTTCGAACTCTACAGACCAACGCAAAATAGATTCTCAGTTTGAATTTTGCGAGGTTATTTTGCGTTAGCCTTATCCAGGCTTAGGACTTGCAGCAGTATTTACAACAAACAATAATTGGGGGTGAATACTGCTGGCGTGTTTAAAAATGTGATTTGGCATTAACTTAAAAATCGCAGATGGAGAGAAAGGTAAGTCTTGTCATTTGATAAATAAATAAATAAATAATAGCAGCAATAATGCCTTGTCATCTGTTAAATAAATAAATTAACAAAAATAAACAATGACAATAAAACTCTTATCTAGTAATTTTCTTCTTCAACGCTCTCTTTGGATTTTTTACCTTTACTTTTTATTTTTACGTAAACTTCGCATTGTATGCCCTTTAAAGCTTCAATAAAATGAAAAATATTTGGATTAATATATTCAAATTTAGTTGGCATTTAACGTTTGTTGTGTACGCGTGTATTTTCTGTGTTTATATTAGTTTTCTTGTTTGTTTTCCAATGGATAAATTTAATATTATGTTAGGAGAGAAAGTTAAGCCTTTAAATTCTTATCGACAATTTCAAATTTGGTTTTCAAAAAATGTTAAAAAATGACATTCAAAGATGGGCATGTACGAAAAAAAAATTGTAAAGCGTACATTAAATTAAATAATGATTATGACATAGTTACAAGTTATTAGAATCATATGGGCCATGATCCGGACAGTGAGAGTATGTTAAATAGGAAAAAACTTAGTAATTCGTTAAAGCGTAAAGCTGTTGACGATCCTCCTGATTGTCCAGCAAAAATTATTTAGCAAGAATTAAAAAAAGGTGACATTAATACTCTAACAATAAATGATATTCTCGCTGATAAAAGTAACATGTATTACGCAAGAAGAAAATTAATTCCGACATTGCCAGATTGTATCGATTCGTTATATGAAAGTTTGAATGACATTGATGTCAAAACAAATAACGACGAAAACTGTCTTTTATGTAACGATCAAATTAATAATATAATTTTATTTTCGACAACAAAAAATTTAACTTTTCTGTGCGATTTAGATATAGTTTTTGTAGCCGAGACATTTTATAGTTGGCCAACACAATTCGAGATGTTTTCCCAAATATTATAATTAAAGGCTGTCGCTTTCACTTCAGTCAAAACTTATGGAAGAAAATTCAGAATTTGAATTTAGTGCCGGAGTATAAAAGAGAAAACTCAATAATTGGAAGTTTTTTAAAATTATTTTTTGGACTTCCATTTTTAGCTCCGGAAGATGATGAAAATTGTTTTGTAGAAGATCTTATGACTATAATGCCACGTGACGAGAGAGTTACCGAATTTTGTGACTATTTTTTACAGTGGTATGTAGATCTAAATTCTGATTTTCCTCTAAATGTTTGGGCTGAATTTTCGAATAGCATTACACGAACCACCAATAACTGTGAATGCTTCCATTCTAAGTTTAATGCCTTATTTTACAAGGCAAATCCAAATATTTTTCATTTTATTGCAGCTTTAAAGGGCATACAATGCGAAGTTTACGTAGAAATAATAAAGTAAAGGTAAAAAATCCAACAAGAGCGTTAAAAAAGAAAATTTTTTGTTAAATAAAATGTTACTTTTTTATAGTAATTTCATAACGAGATTACAATTCATTAAAGAAGCATCAAAGAAATTTTTTACCTATTACTAGATAAGAGTTTTATTGTCATTGTTTATTGTTGTTAATTTATTTATTTATTTAACAAATGAAAAGGCTTACTTTTCTCTCCATCTGCGATTTTTAAGTTAATGCCAACTCACATTTTTAAACACGCCACAATATTCACTCCCAAATATTGTTCGTTGTGAATACTGCTGCCAGTCCTTAGCCTAGATTGATAACAAACCAAAGTGATAAAAATCAAAAATTCAACTGAATTTATGTTATGTGAGTCATAAGGAATAAGAAAAAAAATTTGGTATGATTTTTAAATCTGTTTTCTTTTAAATGCGAGACAAAATACGAAAATAAAAAAAAATAAAAAAATTTCAATTGGTTCAATTATTATATGTCTACTATAATTTTTTTCAATTTTTTTCGTCCCTTAATACAGTAATATACTTAAGGAAACTTTTTTCTTAAAAATTTCTTAGAAACTATTCTGTCCACATTTACCCCAAATTTTGTGAAATTTTCTAAATTTTGGGGTAAATGGGGACAGTCAATTCCAGGCATTTAAAGTTTTTCTAAATTTTTTTTTGCTGCATGAAATTAATCCTGGGAATATAAATAACAACTTAAAAAAAATAAACCCGCAAATATTTCCCTTTAGAGGAAAAAACTTACATAATTTGTGAAAAATAGCGATTTTGTCCCCATTTACCCCAACTGACCCTATAATGACAAATATAATTAAAAATATACTTATATTTACATAATTATCATTAATATTAATTAAATAATAATAATTCTAATAATTGTAAAAAGTCGAGAATGTCATGAAAGCGTATAACGATTTCAAAAACTGCAGCACCTTTTTAATTCGTAATTGCCATTTTTTTTGAAAAAAAAATACATGGCAACTTTGGTATCGTTAAAGTGGTCGTTCTCCAATATTGACGGCTAAAATGACGTCATTTACGCAAAAAGAGATACGAATAATTTGTTATTAAGACAATATTTAAAAAGTACGAAACTTGATGTAAAAAAATGCCCCCATAATATTTTTATATATAAATATGATTGATGAAGATTTTGTTTGCAAATATTAATTTTTTACATACGAAAAAATGGAGAATTGTTTAAGTTGTTGTTGTTGAGATTATTTCGAGTATAATTTTCGCTTATTGTAAATATAGAAATTGCTTTTTGTTATCGACGTGGGCAAGATGGTCATCTCGAAAGATCAGAACCAGTCTCGGAGCCCTGCGAAGTTAACTGGACGTATGTTGGTGTATAAGACAATAAAAGATGAGCCGCGTCTTCTCTGCCGAGAGCGCGAAGCTCACGAACTAGAGATCCCACTGTACAATCAGCTCCCGCTGAACCGAGAAGCCTGAAATTTGTTAAAATATTAAAAGTGTTCTATTAAACGCAATTTATCAGAAAAAAAAGAATTATCCAGAAAAATTAAACTGTTTTAATCTTAAAATTTATAAATATATATTTTTTTAAAATACTCAAGACTTTTTTTCTTATTTTTTTTCTGTAGATTACAATCCTTAAATATCGTTAAGGTAGTATTACACTTTACACCGTCAAAAAAATCGATTTTTTTTGCATTTTCCTATTTCAAATCATCTTGGAAATATAATCCCAAAATATTAAATCAAAATTCGACAAAATAAAAAAGTTACAGAATAAAATGCAGCGCAGTGTATTCACACACACAGCGCCAGTTTTGCGTTTTTTTATTTAAAGAAACAAGTATAATTTGTTGACTTAAAAATTTACAAAATTTTCTTATTCACCATTCGAAAGAGCGGTTCTTGGCACATAAGAAATGGCTATTGCAAATTTTTTTTATAGAGTTTAATTGCGAAAATACAGCGTCAAACTTTGATAAAAATTTGTACATTTGGGAGTTAAAACTTTAAATGCGTTTTTCTCGAAAAGATGTTTTTTCAACTGGCGGATAGCATAACTCGGGTTCTATTCATCTAAAAAAAAATAAAAAAATATCCTTTTCTTCGTAATTAAAGCCTGCAGGCATTATGCCTAAAACCGATTATCTATTCCTTTTTGGTTTTAGCTACTTCAGTGCCCTCTGGTGACCAGAAAGATCTAATAAAAATTTATTTTTTTATTTTTTCTTGAAGAACTAATTGTCCTTAATATTGTACAGAAGGTTTCTTTTCTTTAAATAAAGTAATTAACCAGAAAAAAAATTTTTGTTTGAACCCTTTTTTTACTGCTTCTAAAGTGTAATACTATCTTAATATAATATTAGAGTAAGAAGGTAAACGTATGTATTCGGAGCCTTGAACCATATTTGAGAGTAAATAAAGATTTTTTAAATTATCGAATTAACTATAAATTAAATTAATAAAAAAATACCTGAGAGTTGGACTATTGATTGTACTGTCAAATTGTGCAACTCGATCTCCCAATCCAAGTCTGACGGCTAATAAGCACCAGTCTCGTCCCTGTGGATCCGGTGGATCAAGTAATTGAGCCAATCGCCTTTGAACTCCCGGTTTAATGCTTTTCACTATTTGTCTCGGTCCCGGAATGCAATTATCCGATAAAACTAATCCACAGCCAATAATATCCCAGATATTTTCCTGTTTACCATTAAACGGATTTTTCAAACAAACCTCCACAAAACTTCGTTCCATTAATGACGACAGAATTGAAGCCGGTTCCCAAGAGTGAATAACCTTCAGAAAAAAATAGTTTTTCATTTAGTAAAAATATATTTATTATTGATGAAAAAAATACGATTTTCATGAAAAAAAATTATAAATACTTATTTTTTAAGAATTTCAAACTTTGTCACACAGTTATCAGCACAAAGTTAAATTTAAAAAATATATAAGTTAGAAATAACAGTAACTATACCAGGGACATAAGAGACTTTTTCTTGTCCCTTGTGCAGTGCAAAATATGATGTTCTCTCAAAAACTTTTAATTTTTACGCATTTAGGTATTTACATTTTTTGTTCAGAAGCTTTTATTCTGAAACATACTTCAGGTACAAAAAATTTAACTAGGGTAGAAATTCAATGCTTTGTGTGCGGGGTCCATTTTTCCTTGATTCAATTTAACTAATGCACTATATTTATCTCATTTACGAGATGGAAAGAAAGAAAAGCCACCAGAGAACCAGTGACACGAACAACTTTAATTTTTAAAAATTTTTCCTTTGCAAAATACTGAAAAAAATTCCTACATTCTTGACTGAATTGAATTAACTAAAAGACATGAAGAAAAAAATTTCTACTTTCTTGCCAACTAAAAAAAAATTGTTGTCTCTCTTTCTGAGGTGGAAAATAAGTAGAAAAACCACCAGAAAACCGGTGACAAAACCAACTTTTGTTTCTGACAAAGATTCTTCACTTAAAAACACAGAAAAAAATTCTACTTTTTTCCTTTTCTTGAATTAAGTAAAATATAATGTTTTCCCTTGTTCTGAGGTGAAAACACAGTAGACATATTACTAGAGAACCAGTGAAAAACATACTTTTAATAAAAAGTTGAGAAAAATTCGATCCTTGTAAGAAATAAAATAACATAAAAAATGTATGTTATTAATATTGTTTATTGTCACAAAACAAGAAACGACGTTTCGATGACTTCGTTCGTTATCATCTTCAGGTTAAATCTAATGAAAATATTTATAATTTTATTTATAACACCACATTATGTTTTTTTTCAAATAATAAAAATACACAAGTAATAACAATTACCAATAATTAGTTGAACCGTTACATCTTAGCGTTAGAAAATTTTATTTTCCTCAGACTAAGCTGGCACGTCAGGTTTATAGACCAGTATCGTCAAGACTAAATTGAAAATACAAAATTTAAAATCTAAATGAAATAGACGAGTCAATGAACTTAGATGTAAACAGCACGTGGAAGTGAAATATTTTCAGAAAAATAGAATCACGAGTCTAATTTGGAAATTAAAGGGAAGTATATTTTGTTTAGATACATTATGTCTTCTTTTTTATTAATAGTGGAATCATTAATCAATTATTTAGATATTTCTATAATTATAAAAAATAATAACATTACATATAATTGGTATCAAAAATCATCTTCTTCTGGAAAACTCGTCAATTACTTTTCGAATCACCCACTCCAACAAAAAATAAACATTGTATATTACCTTGTAGACCGAGCAATGTTATTATCACATCATTCCTTTCACAATGACAATTTAATGAAAATTAATAATATTTTACAAAACAATGATTATCCACTTAAATTTATTAAAAAATATACTAAAATTCGTTTAAATAGCATTAAATTTCATTAAAAAAATAATGATAATAATTCTAATAATATTGTAAATTCACAAGCACTTTTATATTAAAAAATTCCTAAAGTCAGTTTACCTTATAATTACTCAAATTTCATTAGATTGTCAAAAATTCTAAAAACATACAATATACATACTATTCCAATAGTTAATAAACCTTTAAGATCTATTATAAAATTCGGTAAGGATCCTATTGACAAGTGGGATGAAACGAACATTGTTTATAAATTTAATTGTAAAAACTGTCCAGCGAATTACATTGGAGAATTTAAGCGTTCATTAAAAACACGTATTTTTGATATGAAGTAAATTCGATCAATGGAAGGTAAAGAAAAACACATAAAACAGATTTATGTTATTTTGATAAGTTGCGACGTTTCGATGGTTTGGTTTACCATCTTCTTCAGGCTAATTTATTAAATAAAACACCAAATTAATAAATACACAAAATTAAACACATAAATTAAAACACTAAATAATAATAATACCTGAATATTTAAAATAATACTACATTGCAACTAGTCAATGTTAGAATCCATTTTTAAATTTATCTTCAAAAAATTAAAAAGTAAAACACTACAAAAAATTAGATACGCGACAATTTTCGTCATTTCGATGCGAACATCAAGTCAAAACTGAATTAAAATTTGTTTTGGAGGAATACCACACGTGTTAAAAAAGGAAGTCAATGAACTCATAGGTAAATAGTGTATAGAGGAAAAGACCTTCAAGATTCTATTATGAATTTAATTTTCTAATAAGAGGGAAATACGTTTTATTAAGAAAACAAATCATCGAAGACCAAGTCATCGAAACGTCGTTTTTTGTTTTGTGACAATAAACAATATTAATAACATACATTTTTTATGTTATTTTATTCCATCCAAAGATCAAATTTTTCTCAACTTTTTATTAAACATTCCGGAAGGGAAAATCCTTACTCTAGAAAAACATACTTTTGGTTTTGACAAAGATTTTTCCTTGAAAACTACAGAAAAATATTCCTATTTTCTCCCTCTATAGTACAGTCAAGTTAGCATTTTTAGATATTTTAACTCAGGACCTCAATTTTTTTTTCTCAACACAGTAAAAACCCGGGCTCAAATGATCCAGCCAGCAGGATCATTTTGATCCGCAGCAAAAATGAGTCAAGTAGGTGGCGCCACGTTCTATGTCGTTTAGCATTGGCTCATTTTGAACTGCAGCAAAAATGAGCCCAGGTATTTACTGTGAAACCCTTCATTTTGGGGTAAAAATAAAGTACCTAAATTTGGTACTTTGCACTTCAACCGAAACCTAAAAAAATTTTTTAAGAAATAGGTGTAAAAAAAATTTGGGTGGGCAGACGTCTCAGCGTTGAGAGCGCTGCGTTCCTTTACTCAAAGTATGACAGATATTCCGTTCGGGGAGCAGTGCGCTACCGGTACGAGTAAGCAGCTGTCTTATATAGACAAGGTAAGACTATGTAGTAATTTCAGCTCTACCGCTACGGTGAGTCTCAGCTCCCGAAACGGGATGTCAGCCGATCGAAAAAGGGTTCGTTAGCTTTCTTCGATTTGATAGAGCACCTGTACTCGCTGGTACTGCTGCTCACCCAAATTTCTTTCAGTGAGTTATTATAAAAAAGAAAGTGTATATAAAATTCTGAGTGATTTGATAAAAAATGAACCCTGTAGCTATAGCTTCCGCAAAAAACCCATTTTTTTGAGATTTTAGCCAAAATCAGGTATTTTTCAGTTTTTCCAATAAAGCTTTGAAACAAATGATTTCTTCAAAAAAATGATAAACAGGAAAGTTAAAGCTGACAACATTCCTGACAATTTGCAAATAAGAACAATGCAATAGCTCTAATAATTTCCAAGATACAGTCTCTCAAAGTTGATCCTTTTGAGATTTTACATACAATGGTAATAAAATGAGATTCTATGTAAAATCTCAAAAGTATCAACTTTGAGAGACTGTATCTTGGAAATTATTATTTAACTTTCCTGTTTATCATTTTTTTGAAGAAATCATTTGTTTCAAAGCTATATTGGAAAAACTGAAAAATACCTGATTTTAGCTAAAATCCCGAAAAAAATGGGTTTTTTGCGGAAGCTATAGCTACAGGGTTCATTTTTTATCAAATTTCTCAGAATTTTATAAACATTTTCTTTTTTTGTAATAACTATTTTTATACTAAAATGTCATGGAAGGCGGCAATTTGAAAAAAACTGATTTTTTGCACCTATTACTTAAAAATTTATAGGTTCCGGTAGGAGTTTGAAGTACTAAATTTAGGTACTTTATTTTTACCCCAAAATTAAGGGTTTAAGTAAAAAAATTAAGGTCCTGAGTTAAAACATGATACGCCTTGTTTTTCGACTAATTTGACTGGACTACTACTAGAATTAACTTATACACAATTTTTGTTTCCCTTTCTGATGTGATCAGGCAGTAAAAAAAACCTCCAGAGAGCCAATGAAAAATATACTTTTAGTTGGAATAAAGATTTTTTCCAGATAACTACAAAAAAATATTTTTACTTTCTTTCTTGACTTTAATTAACTAAAAGACAATTTTTCTCACACTTTCTGAGATGGAAAGAAAATACAAAAACCTCTAGAGAACATAATTTTGTATGTTCTAAAGTGATCTTATTGCTGAATATGTGCTCTGTAATATTGAAATTACTATTAAAGGTACAAAAATTAGATTTGCTTTTTTTAAAAAAGAAGAAAGTAATAAAATAAACAACCATTTCAAACCGTTCCACCATCAAAAGACGATCACAGCTGAGCAGTTTTTAAGGTAATTTTTTTATATAAAAAATAAATGATTTTTGTAATGTTACACATTATTTCGAAAGGAAATTTAACGACCTTTCAATTGGTCTTAAGATTTTTTTTCATTTCTCAAAATTTTATAAAGTAATTCCGTTTCGAAATATCAAACTCTTGATATATCAGAATACTCCCACTTAAATTTTCTTGTAACTTACACGAAAATAAAAAATATGTGTTTTTGAAAAATTTGACACGAAGTATGAAGCTGAATCCTAACCGATACAACTCAGCAAACACGTTCTATAATTGTTCTATTAAAATTAAAGAACATTGTTCTAGATCAATTGTGCCATCAATAACATGTAGCAGTTATAGAACCAAATGGTTCAGCAAACACGTTCTATAATTGTTCTATTAAAATTAAAGAACATTGTTCTAGATCAATTGTGCCATCAATAACATGTAGCAGTTATAGAACCAAATGGTAACCGTGTTCTAGAACAATGTTCCTAATATGTTACATAACTGTTCTATTTTTTTGGTCCAAAACTGTTCTTAGATATAAGTTCCACAATTGTTATAGAACATTTAAGTCACAAATGTTCTGGAAATTTTGTACTTTTTTGTTCTCGAATAATTGTGATATAACAATATTATGTCACCTTTCTAGAACAATATTCTCTTTTTGTTATAGAATAAATCCGGAAATTTATTCTTAAATTATTCTGTAACAAATGTTCCATAAGAGTTCTAAAACATAAATGTCACAAATGTTCTAGATATGTTGGTCGAGAGCTCGATTCTCGGGAGGTCAACCGGTTAAAAAATTTCGAGAATGTGTTAGGATTACTAATTTTTTTATTTTATTAACATTATCAACAACAATTTAAGACAAAATATGACACTCTCTTAATTTATTATATTAATTTTAACTGTATTTTTTTGTAACAAAGTTTTATATTACTGTTTCTAAACAATGAAATTCGTCTTTAATGAAGGTTGTATTCAACTTTATGCTTCGTGTCAAAAATTTTTCCACAACACATATTTTGAATATATGATATCCAAAAAACCATTAGAACCGTTTTTTCATTTATTAAAATAGACGTTTTCTTTTGTTTCTTTGTTATTATCAACCTAAATTTTTAAAATTGACTTAATAACTGTGTGACAGTTTCAGCATTATTTCTTTTTTGCAAAAAGAATCTTAATTTTTTACAAAAAATTCTTTTTTAAAATTTTTTCAATTAGAAATTAAATTACCTCATCGTAATCACGTAATTGACTAGGACTGAGCCAGTGTCTCTCGAGAATCATTCCTGGCGCAACAGTTTCGAGTGATGATTCAATAGCGTCAATTATTATATTGATAAGAGAAAAACATTTGGCTCCTGAACCTCTTGGTCCTCTTACTCGAACCTCAATATATCCTTGATCCTCTTCCTCTAAGGTGATCATACTCTCACACGGTCCAATGCACATTTTCGAACCTCGCCACCATTGATATAAATCCGATTCATTTGGATCCAATGACTGTGCTATTTTTCTTAACTGGACCTTAAATCAACCAAATTACCTGACTAATTAAATTACCGTCAACCGGGGCTATTTTACTTATGCAGGGGCTATTATACTCAGCGCCAGTTTTTAATAAATAAAATATTTATATTGAAGTATTTAAACTTGACGCTTGGTAAAAAAAATGTTTGATAATTTTATTATATAGGCCGCTTAATGTTGTTACTTAATTTTTGACAGAACAACAGTGGTACAAAATGATAAAATTTGGTTCAAATTAACTTTTAGACCACAATTATGAACCAAATTCAAAAATTCTAGTTTCTTCTAACTCAGAACTAAATTTTGAACCGATTTGTGAGAATCGATTTTTCAATTTTTGTTTTATAAATTTTCAATGTTAATGCAAACTGTGAAAAAATTAATATTTTTTAATCTTTTTGGTCTATTTTGCCTTCAAATTTTTTTTTGTACTTAATATTACATGCATTTAGTGTCTAAGGACAGGCAAATAGTAAAAAAAGTTTTACACTGAAAAAATGTTATAAACAAATTATATAATAATTGCAGTTTAAAGACTGTTTGTGGTAAAAAAAAAAATTTTCGAGTAAATTTACTTTTGATTAGGGTAAATGCACTAATTGCGGCACGATTCGAGACAAAACAGTCAAATTAAAACTAATACCGTAATTTTCTATTACGGCGCGTTTGTATCAGTTTGGATGTATCGATTTCGGCGACCAAAATTACGAGTATTTTGTAGATACTTTGCCCGCCAAAATTGGAGCCAATAAAAATATTAAAAATGTTTCAATTACGGCGAGAGTAAAAATTTGATCTCAAATAATTAAATTAATAATTGTTTAAATGTGCATATTTGTAAGTAATTGTATCAAAAAAAGATTAAAATAATTTTTTTTAATCATTTTGCAACAGTTATATTAAATATAATAGTAATAATAGTTCTTTCTTATGAACGCGCCGTAATTGGTACACGTAGCCTATTGCGATTGAACTTTTTTTTTATTAAGAAGTTGTTCTGCGATAAAATTTCTTATTTTTTTAAAACAATTTTTATAAGCAAATACACTTTACAGTTATTTTTAATTACAAATTAATTGAAGTTTTTTTCACATTTTTTTGCAATTAATTTTTATCATTTTTATTAACAAATTTTACAAACATTCACACTTTACAATTATTTATGGGCAGAAAAAATTGTTTTTTTTAATTTAGTTTAGTTTTTTGTGCTTAAATTTCCTTTTCATTAAACAATTGTTTTGCGATAAAAGTCCTCAAAAATCCTCACTTCAAAAATTTATATAAACTAATACAATGTTTAGAAATTTTTGGCCAGAAATTAATCGAATTTTTATTCTGTTCAGAATGGAATTCTAAGTTAGAGAAAACAAGAATTTCCGAATTTGGTTCATAATTGTGGTCTAAAATTTAATTTCTGATAAAATATTAAATTAAAATATTATATATATTCCAAAAGAAAAATAAGGAGAGATAACAACAATAGAATCGACTGGAAGTCGTCATAATAAACCATTTATGACACCCTATTGTATTAATTGTCCTTCTATACTTGAATATTGAAATTATAATAGTAATATTACTTGAAGTATTTGTTTATGTTTCGTTACGTCCTGTCGCCACCAGAGGGCAGAAGCATGCAGGGAACACATTTTTGTGGAGAAATATTAAATTAAAACATTAAATTTTCGACTTTAAATAAATAGAAAAAAGAATTTTCGAATTTCATAATTGTGGTCCAGAAGTTAATTTTTGTTAAAATCTTATATTAAAATATTGAATATTTAAAAGAAAAATAAGGAGAAAAGGGGACATAACAACAATAGAGTCGACTGGAAATTTAGTCATAATAAACCATTTATGACACCCTATTGTATTAACTGTCCTTCTATACCTGAATATTGAAATAATATAGTAATATTACTTGAATTTTTATCGTTACTTCCTGCCGCCGTCAGATGGCAGAAGCATGCAGGGAGCACAAAGTCGCAGCTATTTAAAAAAAACTTTTTTCAAAAATAAACTAAAGAATTATCAATTGAATAAAATATTTAAAATAAAATATCTATTATTATTTTAAAAAATAAAAACAGTAAATCCATATATTGTTAAAAAAAAAATTTTCAATTTTTTCATTTTTGAAAAATATTTAAAGAACATATTTTTAAATCAATTCATACTATTAATTTATACACAATACAAATCAATGACCAGGAATGTAAATCAATTATATGTTCTATCATTTAGCTATTTAAATTTTTTTAATTCAATTATTTTTTTGAGTAAATTTGCTTTAAATTTTTCGGCGTAAATTTCCATTTTATTAATGAATTGTTTTGAAATAAATTTTTTTATATTTTGTAAACAATTTGTACAAACAAATACATTGTTCGGAATTTAATTCCGAGTTAGAGGAAACAAGACTTTTCAAATTTGGTTCATAATTGTGGTCTAAAATTTAATTTGTGATAAAATATTAAATTAAAATATTGAATATTCAAAAGAAAAATAAGGAGAGATAACAACAATAGAATCGACTGGAAGTCTAGTCATAATAAACCATTTATGACACTCTATTGTATTAATTGTCCTTCTATACCTGAATATTGAAATTATAATAGTAATATTAATTAAAGTATTTGTTTATGTTTCGTTGCGTCCTGTCTTGCCGTCAGATGGCAGAAGCATGCAGGGAGGACAAAGTCGCAGCTATTTAAAAAAAACTTTTTTCGAAAAAAAGTAAGAATTATCAATTGAATAAAAGATTTAAAATAAAATATCTACAGGGTGGAGATAATTTTTATAATTAAAAATTCCCGGTTTTTCCCCGGTCTATTTTTTTTCCCGGTCAAAATTTTGTAAATAATTTAATTTTTTCACACAAAAAATGACCATTTTTCTAAAAAATTCATAACTTTTTTATTTTTTAAAATATTAATTTTTCTAATAAATTTTAATAATGCACTACTACAAAAAAAATAATTAGATAATTATTTTAAAAATACATTTTTCTGAGAAATTAATGCAATAAGATGTAATAAACGATATAAATTTTTAGAATATCTGAAAAATTCCCGGTTTAATTATTAATTTCCTGGTTTTCCAGATCACATTTTAAATTCCTGGTCATATTGACTCCCTTATCTATTATTATTTTTTCAAATTAAAAATAAAATATCCAAATTGTCTTAAAAAATTTTTCATTTTAAAAAAATATTTAAAGAACATTATTGAATCAATTTATACTATTAATTTATTCATAATACAAATCAATGGTCTAAAAATGTAAATTAATTAGATGTTCTATGATTTAGCTATTTAAATTTTTTTAATCCAATTTTTTTTTTTTTGAATAAATTTGCTTTAGATTTTTCAGCGTAAATTTTCTTTTCATTAATCAGTTGTTTTGAAATAAAATTTTTTTTATTTTGTAAACAGTTTATATAAATAATTACAATGTACCGTATTTTTTGTCATAAATTAATCGAATTTTTATTCTGTTCAAGATTGAATTCTAAATTAGAGGAAACAAGAAATTATTTTCGAATTTGGTTTATAATTGTGGTCTAAAAGTTAATTTGTGATAAAATATGAAATTAAAATATTAAATATTCAAAAGAAAAATAAGAAGAGATAACAACAATAGAGCCGACTGGAAGTCTAGTCATAATAAACCATTTATGACACCTTATTGTATTAATTGTCCTTCTATACCTGAATATTGAAATTATAACAGTAATTTTACTTAAAGTATTTGTTTATGTTTCGTTACGTCCTGTCGCCGTCAGGTGGCAGAAGCATGCAGGGAGCACAAAGTCGCAGCTATTTAAAAAAACTTTTTTTAAAAATAAACTAAATAATTATCAATTGAAAAAAGATTTTAAATAAAATATGTATATTATTTCTTTCATTTTAAAAAAATATTTAAAGAACATTTTTAAATCAATTTATGCTATTAATTTATTTAAAATACAAATCTATGGTATAAAAAAGTAAATTAATTAGATATTCTATCATTTAGCTATTTAAATTTTTTTAATTCAATTTTTTTTCTAATAAATTTGCTTTAGATATTTGTGCGAAAATTTCCACTTTATTAATTAATTGTTCAAAATTTAATTCTAAATTAGAGGAAACAAGAATTTTCAAATTTAGTTCATAATACTGGTCTTAAAAATTAATTTTTGATAAAATATTAAATATTCAAAAGAAAATGTAAGGAGAGATAACAACAATAGAATCGACTGGAAGTCTAGTCATAATAAACCATTTATGGTGTTATTGTATTAATTGTCCTTCAATACCTGAATATTGAAATTATAATAGTAATATTAATTAAAGTATTTGTTTACGTTTCGTTACGTCCTGTCTTGCCGTCAGATGGCAGAAGCATGCAGGGAGGACAAAAGTTATTATTTTTTCATCTAAATAATAATAATTTGAAATAAAATAACTACAATTAATAATATATTCTTTGATATTTAATTCAAAGATTTTTTTTAAAAGGAAAATGCTTTTAGATAATTGAATTTTCGAAGAATATTATAAAAATCATTTTAAAAAATTAAAATTTTTGCACATAATTAAATTTCAAGTGATTTTGAAATAAAAATTTTTGGTAATTTTATTTGCTAATTTTTTAAAAATTATATACAATTGAAGAGCTCCACGGAATAACGATCTATGGCACAATTGAAAAGCTTGGTTATGAGCTTTCAAAAAATATAAAAATTTTATAAATTAATAGCTGTAACCGAATTATTCTAACTAATAGAATTAATAATAGTTACCAAAAGTGTAATAAATAACAATTTACATATACATACTTATTACAAATTTCATGAAAATTTACGTTTTTTAAAAGCTCATAACCAAACTTTTCAATTGTGCCATAGATTGTTATTCCGTGGAGCTTTTCAATTATTAAATTTCATAAAAATTTTTATTGAAAAACAGTTTAAGATAATTGCATTTGTGAAGAATTTCATTAAAATTATTAAAAATAATTTTTTTAGTAAAGAATTTTAGTGAAAAATTTGTTAAATAATTAAAATAAAGGACATCTCATAAAATTATTTATTTTTAAAAAATAAAAAAATTTTGTACGATTGTAAATAATTTTTCTTCAATTTTTCATTACGGAATGTGATTATAGTTTTAAAAGGTAGAAAAAAATGTACATTTTTACATAACGTAAAATTTGAATAGGTAATTGAAATTTTAATAATTTTGATTTAGTTCTGAATTAGAGGAAACAAGAATTTTCGAATTTGCTTCATAATTGTGGTCTAAAAGTTAATTTGTGATAAAATATTAAATTAAAATATTGAATATTCAAAAGAAAAATAAGGAGAGATAACAACAATAGAGTCGACAGAAAGTCTAGTCATAATAAACCATTTATGACACTTTATTGTATCAGTTGTCCTTCTATACCTGAATATTGAAATTAAATAAAAATATTACTTGAAGTACATATTTGTTTATGATTCGTTACGTCCTGCCACCGTCAGATGGCAGAAGCATACAGAGAGCACAAAGTCGCTGCTATTTAAAAAAAAATTTTTCAAATATAAACTAAAGAATTATCAATTGAATAAATGATTGTAAATAAAATAATATTGTTTTTTTAAGTATAATAATAGCCCCTGATGACGGTAATTAATTCTTATTTATCAATACTGTTATTTAAAAAAAATTGTATGTGAACAAATTTTTATTCAACAGAAATTCTACTTATCTGAATGTTTAAGTGAAAGAATTCCTATTTAACCGAGACTCCATTTGGCCGAATTGTCTTTTGATATAACTGTTAAACCGTGAAATTCCTATTTGATAGAACTTTCACATATTTGATCATACACCAGACCGAAAAATTTCAGCGATAGTTTTCAAATCGAACAATCACAATTTTCTTGATAATTTTTTATTGGTGTATTTTAAAGCTCCCACTGAAATGTTACGTAAAAGTTCTATATAAAATGAAAATTCGACGTTTTAACAATTCTAAAAAATAATTAAATATTCAGAAGTTGTATTATTTGAAAAATTTGATGCATTAGAAAATCTGTTATACTATAGTTTAATTAAATAAAAATTCTATAAAATCAGAACTTAGTTAAATAGAAATTCTTTGATATGAAAATTTGGCTTACTATTAACTCGACTTTATAACTTTGTGCTAAATAAAAATTCGATAATTTTTCATTTGAAATCACAAAAATTTCAACAGGTCTAATGTAGGGAATATTGATGCTTTCCAATTAGTGTGTAATTCATCCAAAAACAGTTTATTGTTATTAAAATTGAACGAATTTTTGTGTAAATTATTCGAATAATTACTCAAATGTAACAAAGAATTGTTACTTTACCTGTAAATGTGGAAAAATAGGTGAAAGATGATAAAGTCGAGCTTCTCCTGGACAAAGACGAAGTCCAGCGTGCGGTAGGAGTGCCGAGCAAGATTTCCAAGGTTCCCATAAACCTGGTAACCTCTCAATGAGATTTAAGCATGGAAGTTCGTATTCCAATTCATTGTCTTCGACTTCACACTATCAAAAATCAAACATTACAAATTTTATTATTTTTTTTATAATCCTTTCATTAAAATTTTCCATAACTATTTTTAAAAAGGAAAAAAATAATTGTTACTCACAGAAATGCAAAGATTAATGGCTTGCAAAATATTGAGAGCTTGATTAGCGGGACAAGGACATCTTGCTTGAAAATCTTCAATTGCATAAACTCCAGTTGTTCGTCCACCGAGTCGACCACGTTGATCAGGATTCAATTGCCATCCAATAACATCACGCCAAAGCCATTCGGGATTAAGAACAAGTAAATCGCCCGGTAGTAATGAGCATTCACCTAAAGCCTGAAATATAAAAATTATTTCACTTTTTTCATATTTCTTTTTAACATTCTCATCATAATGAGAAGGTATTTTTTATTTACACTATTAATTAATTATTTATACAGAGTTGCCTCAATTTTGACTTTCTTAAACTTTCAATTATTAAACGAGGTTATATTTTTTTTGAATTATTTGGGTCCTAACAACATACAGGAAAATCAAAAAAATAAAATTTTAATTTTTGACCATTTTAGAAATTAGTTTTAAAAAAATTAATATTTTGACCACCTTATATGTTTTTAGGTCCCAAATTATGCAAAAAAAAAATATAACCTTGTTTAATAATTTAAATTTACGTGGTTTAAAATTAGGGGTGGTGCTTACATATACCTAAGAGTGTTGAACGGTCTCTGAAATTCTTTGGCCAGAAGTGACTTTTAATTATCGCCCTATATAAAAACAACACTGAACGTGAAAATAATAAACATTGATTTTAAAATACTTTTTTCTCGAAACATGGACAAATTGTGTGAATCCATAAAAAATTTGGACCAAATTTTTGCTAAACAAAAAGTAAGAAAATAATATAATGACAGCTTCATTACACCTTGCCGCCGTCAGATGGCAGAAGCATGCAGGAAGCAACTGATATTGTATAACTTTACTACTTTTCGTTTTTCAATTGCGTTTTTGTATGGTTTCGCACAATCTTTTGGATTTAGGAAATTTATAACATAAGGATCATTGGCGTTTTGGCCAATTTTGTAAAAAAAATGTCCGTGTTTCGAGAAAACAATATTTTAAAATCAATGTTTATCATTTTCATCTTCAGTGCCGTTTTCAAAGGGCGATAATTTATTTATTTGTAGAAAAGTTATATTATACATTTTTTTTTAATTTCATTGTATATTATTAAAAAAAAAAAAACTTTGATTACAGCACTTCAAGATATTAATTATTTTCAAATATCGAAATGAAATTTTTACAAAAAACTTTTAAAAAATATTGCCAAATTTATTTGTAATTAGTCAAATTATTAATGTTGGTTAATAATTTATTTTTATTTCATTATTTTTTTGTATATTTTGTTTATGTTTATTTTTTTTTATATTGTCTGCTTTAGTTTATATTTTTATTAAAATTTTTTTTTCGTACTTTTTTAAAATTTTGCTATTTTTAATTTTTTATTTGCAAAAATTTTTATTATAAAACCATTTCTCTGCAAATTTCATTGTTTTTATTATCAACTTACTTGTAATTGTTGTGCCAAATGTTTGCAATGCTCCAAAGAAACGAGGGGATTAACTTTTCGAACATCCGTTAAAAATTCTGACAAATTATACATTATTGGCGGTTCCTCAAGTGATTGTACATGAGTCCTCCATGCTTCAGCAAGACCTGTCCACACCATTGCACCCTAAAATGAAAAAATCCATAAGAACACAAATAATTCAAACACTACATCAATGAACGCAATAAATTTTGATATTAAATTTTTTCAAGACCAACTTCGTCCAAGTATTTGAATAGCTTCTTATTTGCCTCTCAATTTTTTTTTTTTTTTTATTTATTTTTGTAAAAAAAATTGTTTTTGATAAATATATTCTATTTTATTACTATCTTGTATTAATATATTTATATTTATTATTACTTTTATTACTTTTTTTTATTATTCTTTATTTTTTTATTATTATTAATATTCTTATTATAAATAAACTTGAAAGCCATCATCAACGTGAACGAAGCAAAGGAACTTGAAAAGAAACTTTATTTTTTGATTAATAAAGTGCAATTAACAAGTGTATTGGGAAAAAATATATGTAATAATAAAACATCTACTATATATATATATCATAAAAAATATCACAACACCGATATTCATTTTATAAACGAAAGAAAATGATAAATGGATCGACCTGTTTGTCAAGATTCGCCAGAGGCACGTACTTGGCCGCTGCGCGCAGTGTGTCATGATGAAGAAAACTTTCTGCAACGTCCGGTCCATCCTATATCATGCGTTGCATGCATTAAAGCTGTTGTCAGTAAAAAAATAGTTTTTTTTTTTTTTGTTTTGCGACCAACCAATTAAGAACCAAAAAAAATTTTATTTCAAAAACAGAAAAGAAATAAAAAATTATATTTTTTTTCCTTTTATTACATGATACATTCCACCAAGTGTTGGCTGACGGAGTTTTTTTTTCTCTATTTGTTTATTTTTTTTTTTTTTGTTGACATTATTAAATTAATAATAATTAAATTAGTAAAACAAATTGAATTTGTATATATAATAAATTTTGAGATTCTGTTATTTTTTTTTTAAGCCCACAAAAAATAACCATGCGTCGGGATCAACGACACAGGATACGTAATTTAAAAAAACATGCCACTTTTTGTTTGCATATATATAGAGAGAATAAATTTTAATTTATATAGAAAAATTTTCAAGAAATCCACTATTTTCAAAATTACGCTGTTTGTCGAATTTCTCAAATGTTTTACGTTTAAAGAAAACGATAATTTATAAATATTTTTTTTTATATATTGAAAAATAATTATATTAACTTATATTTTTTATATTTATTTTATTTACATTACGTACTATAAATAAATGGTAAAATTCTAACTTTTTTATTAGTAATTATTAATAACATAAATAATAATAATATTATTATATTAATAATTATTAATTAATTATTAATAATCCCGTGTGGAAAAGTGATGTGGGCCCCCAGCGGGGGCCCTTATGGATCGCCCTCATGCCATGAGGGGCGCATATGGATGATCCATAGGGGCCCCTCATGGAAACGACATGCTCATCGATGAGGGCGCCCGCATGGGCGATCCATGAGGGTGCCCCTACGGGCGCCCTTATGGGCCCTCACGTTTGCCCTCATCTTGCCCTCAAGTTTGCCATAATGTTTTTTAATCAATAATATTAATAATAAAAGTTAATTGATAATAAATAAGCTTAAGTTATGAATAAATAACATATTTATTTAATAATTATTCAATTTTAAATTAAATTCTTACTCAAATTGAATTTATTAATTAACGTTCTAATTAATTAACTGTCGGATATAATTAAAAGTAATAATAAATTAATTAATTAAAAAATTAAAAAATATGTAATTTATGCATACTATTAACCGATATTTTCATTTTTCAATTAATTCATACATAGAATTAATGATTAAACGCAAACCTGAGAAATAAATAAATCTAACGCATGGGGGGAATCGAACCTACGACCTACGGACTATGAGTCTAACGCTTTACCAACTACGCTACGCACGCTACTTCAAAACGAATGCTAACTTCTTGATGCTATTTAAACTTGAAAAATACCTAACAAAGAAAAGTGCTTAACATCATTTAGTTAAAGTTAAGATATTAAATTATATTTTCCAATCAAATGCAATTTATAAAATATAATTAATTATATGCTTTATGATTATTATCATGAATCATCTCAGGCGAATTTTCAAAAAAGTGTAAATATATTTTTATTAAAAACGCGTTTTTCGTTGTTTTGAATCATTGGAAACATTCATTTTTTGTTGATAAAAAAATATTTGATTTTTGGACTTAGAAAATTTTGCTAATCGATCATGAGGGCGATCCATGCGGGCCCCTACGGTGGCCCTCATCTATTTTGCCATAAGTGTGAGTGTTATTTTCAAAAAAGTGTAAATATATTTTTATTAAAAACGCGTTTTTCGTGGTTCTGAATCATTATAAACATTAATTTTTTGGTGATAAAAAAATATTTGAATTTTGGACTTAGAAAATTTTGCTAATCGATCATGAGGGCGATCCATGCGGGGCCCCTACGGTGCCCCTCATGGATTCGCCATAAGTGTGAGTGTTATTTTCAAAAAAAGTGAAAATATATTTTAATTAAAAACGCGTTTTTCATTGTTGTGAATCATTATAAACATTAATTTTTTGGTGATAAAAAAATATTTGATTTTTGGACTTAGAAAATTTTGCTAATCGATCATGAGGGCGATCCATGCGGGGCCCCTACGGTGCCCCTCATGGATTCGGCATATGGATCAGCCCTCATGGGCCCCCGCCGGGGGCCCCGAACTCTTGAGGGCAAGATCGTGGCTTTTTCCACACGGGATATTACTAAATAAATTATTATTTATTCTGTCATGTTCTTAGATACATCGAAATGAAATTCGAGAAATTTTTTTTCTCGCTTTTAAATCTAGATTTTTATTTTGAGCAAATATTTGAAAAAAAAAAATTATTTTCAACATAAATTTTTGAATAATTTAAAATTTAATGTAAGAAATAAATTTTATATAATTCTTACAAATTAAAAAGTTAATATTTTTAAATTTTTTATAAAAGTTTTTGCAAGTACTTTTTTTAAATTCAACAAATTTAAAAATTAATTTACAAAAAAAACTTGCGGATAATATTTATATATGACGTGAAATCATAACAATCATATAACCATAAGAAGATTAATAAATATAATTTAATATTGAATTTAACAATAATTAATTTTAGAAAAATTAAATTTCTCAAAATAATTTAATTTAAATAAAAAAAATTTTAAAACAATTTTTATTACAAATAATTAAATTTGCACAGAAATAAATTTTAAAAATATAATTTTTCAGATTTTTTTTTATTTTAAATTCATGTTTAAAAAAAATTATGTTATTCAATATTATTTGTTCATAATAAAATATGAAAGAAGACAAAACAGCGAATTTTTTTCGTAATAATGAATCATTCGACATTTATAATATAGAATTGAACAAAAAAATGATACATTATTTATTTCCCAAATATTATCAAATTAATAAATTACAAAAAAAAGAACATTGTGCTGATTTAAAATACTGCGTGATTTGATTACTGAACTTTTAAATCTTGAATATAAAGAACGGAAATCAAAGCATGCTATGATACCGTGCATCTGCCAACATACCTTTGGGTGGATTCACAATGGGTCAAAAAGAAAAGAAAAAAAAAAGAGAAAAAAAATTAAAAAATTAAATCATTAAGTGTGGAGAATATAGAGAATATACAAAATGATGGCACAAAAAAGGTTACAGCAACAAAATATTCGATACCAAAAAATTGAGGTTTTAATAAAGTGCTGTAATTACTATTTTAATCATTTTTTTCTTTTTTTTTTTTACTTTATGAGATATTATTTAATTATTATTTTTTTTTTCAATATTTATATATATGTAGTATATTTATGAAACTATAGTTACCAAGAATTTCAGCTCGTTTCAATGATCTCACCTCAAAAAATTCAGTTCTCGCATTATGTAAATAAGTTCTAAGAATTTTTAAGCCAGGACTTGATGGATTTGTTGCATCTAAAACAACCATTAATGGTTCTTCTCCTAAAATTGGCGTAAATTCTTTTAAGCAAGGCAACAATGGTCCAAGAAGATTGACTCCATTTGAATTTGACGTTAACGCCTCTGGCGCATATGTTCCAATTAAAATAACTTTAACTTCTCCACATTTTCCTGCAAATCCTTTATGAAAAAAAAAACAAATTATTAATATCTCTTTTAATATTTATCATTCTTGAAAAAAAAAAAATAAAAGTTACGAACGGTCTTTGAAATTCTTTGGCAAAGAGGGACCTTTAATTATCGCCTTATAATATGGTACTGAACGTGAATGATTATGAACAAAAAATTTTTCCAATTAACTTTATCATTTATATAAACAAATATTATAAACAAATTTAATTTAAGGCTATTTGTGGGTAAAAAATTTGTGTTTTTTTTTAATAAATTTGATTGAAATTTTTGCGCGTAACTTTTCTTTTTATTAAACAATTGTTTTGCGATATTTCTCATATTTTTAAACAATTTATATATATGAACAGCAATTTTTTGTCATAAATTAATTGAATTTTTAATATATTCAAAATTGAATTCTAAATTAGAGGAAACAAGAATTTATTTTCGAATTTGGTTTATAATTGTGGTCTAAAAGTTAATTTGTGATAAAATATTAAATTAAAATATTAAATATTCAAAAGAAAAATAAGAAGAGATAACAACAATAGAGCCGACTGGAAGTCTAGTCATAATAAACCATTTATGATACCCTATTGTATTAATTGTCCTTCAATACCTGAATATTGAAATTAAATAAAAATTTTACTTCAAATATTTGTTTATGTTTCGTTATGTCCTACCGCCGTCAGGTGGCAGAAGCATGCAGGAAGATTGAAAAACTTTTTTCGAAAATAAACTAATAAATTATCAATTGAGTAAAAGATTTTAAATAAAATATCTATTATTATTTTTTCAAATTAAAAATAAAATATCCAAATATTCTTTAAAAAATTGTCACTTTTTTTCATTTTTAAGAAATATTTAAATAACATTTTTAAAACCTTTTATACTATTAATTTATTCATAATTCAAATCAATGGTTTAAAAAAGTAAATTAATTAAATGTTTTATCATTTAGATATTAAAAATGTTTTAATTCAATTATTTTTTTGAGTAAATTTGCTTTAAAGGCTACGTAAATTTCCTTTTAATTAATAAATTTATTTCAAATAAATTTTTTTTAAATTTTGTAAACAATTTTTATCGAGTTTTTATAAATAATTACAATGTACCGTATTTTTTGTCATAAATAAATCAATTTTTATTCTGTTCAAAATTTAATTTTAAATTAGAGGAAACAAGAATTTATTTTCGAATTTGGTTTATTTGAACCAAACAAATAATGTTTCGTAAAAAATAAAATATTTAAGTGAAATACATAAACTAACTGGGGACGTATAAATATTTTTAGCATTTAATTTAAAAGAATATTTACGGTGTCAAATCTTAAATTATTAAATTTTTATTTAGTAAAATTATATAAAGCAGATTTTCTAGTAAATTGAATTTAAAAATTATACAATAATTTTAATTTAACGGAATTTATGTCAAGAAAAATTGTATAATGAACAATTTTTTTAACAGAATTGTTATTTTAGTAAATTTCGATTTATCAAATTATTTACTTAACAGAATTGTCATTCAATAAATCCACAATCAACAGAATTTCTATTTAACAAAATTCTAAATTAACAAAGTTTTTATTAAAGAAAATTTTAATTCCAACTAATTCTTATTTAACAGAATTCACATTTAAGAAAAATTCTACTTAGTTCTTTTGTTGTCAATTTTTACAGACATAAATTTCGTTAAATTGAAATTATATATTAATTTAAAATTTTTAAAAAGTATTTAAAAAAATGCTTTATAAAAATTCTGCTAAATAGAAATTCTTTTAACTCGAATTTTAGTTAAATGTAAATTGAAAATTTTGCATAATATAAAATCCACTTTATACAATTTTGCTAAATAGAAATACGATAATTTAATATTCGACGCCGTAAAAATTTTTATAAGTTAAATGTGGTTATTAGCATTAAATAATAAATTATTCGTATTAATGAATAATTTACTTTATTTGTAGTTAAATCGATAAAATAAAATTTTATCAAATAATTTTTATTTATAATTTAAAAACCAAATATTTCACTGAAAAAAATTAATTGTTATCCAAGTTTAAAAAATCATTTATTGTATTCAATAAATAGTAGTAAATAATTATTTACGTAATGAATATAAGATATATCACATGCTTAATAAATGAGTGTGAAGGTCAACTTTTTAATTTGCATTTGCTTTAGGGAAAAAGTAAAAAAATTTTTGAGTTACTTTAATTAATTTATAAAAAATTCCAGAAAATTAAAGAAATTTCCTGACTTTTCCCTGACCATTTAAATTCCATGATTTCCCTGACCGTTAGACACCCTGTTTAAGAACATTTTTAAATTAATTTATACCATTAATTTATTCACGCAATACAAATCAATGGTCTAAAAAAGTAAATTACTTATTTATGTTCTATCGTTTGGCAATTAAAATTTTTTTACTTCAATTAATTTTTTGAGTAAATTTGCTTTAAAGTCTACGTAAATTTCCTTTTCATTAATAAATTTATTTCAAATAAATTTTTTTATATTTTGTAAACAATTTATATAAACAAATACAATAAAACGCAACTTTTAGTCAGAAAGTAATTGAATTTTTATTCTGTTCAGAATTGAATTCTAAGTTAGAGGAAACAAGAATTTTCAAATTTGTTTCATAATTCTGGTCTAAAAGTTAATTTGTGATAAAATATTAAATTAAAATATTAAATATTCAAAAGAAAAATTAGAGGAAACAAGAATTTATTTTTGAATTTGGTTTATAATTGTGGTCTAAAAGTTAATTTGTGATAAAATATTAAATTAAAATATTAAAGATTCAAAATAAAAATAAGGAGAGATAACAACAATAGAGTCGACTGAAAGTCTAGTCATAATAAACCATTTATGACACCCTTTTAAATTAATTGTCCTTCAATACCTGAATATTGAAATGAAATAAAAATATTATTTGAAATATTTGTTTATGTTTAGTTACGTCCTGACACCATCAGATGGCAGAAGCATGCAGGGAGAACAAAGTCGCAGCTATTTAAAAAAAACTATTTTTCAAAAATAAACTAAATAATTATTATCAATTGAATAAAAGATTTTAAATAAAATATCTATTATTCTTTTTCCAAATTAAAAATAAAATATCCAAATATTCTTAATAAAAATTTTACTGTTTTTTCATTTTTAAAAAATAATTTAACAGTGTTTCTAACAACTGCTAGGAAAAAAATTCTCTGACTTTTCACTTTTACTATTTCTTAAATTTTATTAAATATATCAATTAAAAAAAAAAACTTTTTTGAAAACAGTAAAAAAAAAAAAAGAATATAATAAAAAGAGTATTTAAATTCAAGACCATGGAATTTATTTTCCATTACTATTATTAAAAATAATATAGAAATAAAAAGAAAGAAATCACATTGGAAAAAAATAAAAGTTTACCAATATTTTTCGGTGGAATACGATCCATGATGAAACGAAGCCAAAATCTAGCTTGTTGTACTTGAACGGTCAAAGGCTCACGGAGACTTATCGTTATAAGATGCACCGCTGGCTGATTGAAAGTTAGAACTTGATGATAAGACACGAGAAATTCTTCACGTCCACAAAGTTCCCAGAAAATACAATCGCCACCTGAAAGAAAAAATAAAATTTTCATTAATTAATTATTTTTTATGTACGAACAACAATATAGAATAATAATAATAGAAAAAATTTTTAAACAAATTTTTTTTCAAGGTTGCCAGAAAAATAAAATTTTCAACTTTTTAATCAACGTCTGACATTGTCAAATTTTTCTAAGAAAAAATTTTTTTATTTAATATTAATCAATTTTAATAAAGAAATATAATAATTTAAAATTAGAAAAATGTATTTTCCTATATTATATTTCACTACTGTTTTCACAGTACCTTTTTTTGATAATAGATAAATGAGTTGATTATTTATCGAAAATAGTAACAAAATTTATATTTTTATCAAAAAATTGATACTTAAATCTATCAAAATTTGAATAAATTGAAATTCGGAAAATTTAAAACGTAAATCTATCAAAATTTGAAAAAATTGAAATTTGGATAATTTGAAACTCAAAAAATAATTAAAATTTGAAAAATGTTAAACTTAAAGCAATTAAAATTTAGACAAATTGAAATTCAGATAATTTGAAACTCAAATCAATTAAAATTTGTCCAAATTAAAATTCAAATAACTAGAAATTTAAATCAATTAAAATTTGAATAAATTAAAATTTGGTTAATTTGAAACTTAAATGGATTAATCTATTAATAGAATGAAATTTCGTTAATTTTAAATTTCTATCAATTGTACTTGCATGTGATTAAAATTTTAATTAATAAATTTATTTTGACCAATAAAAATTGATTGAAAATTTAATTAATCATGATCTTTATAATAATCAACTGTATAAATAAAATAATGCAAATTTAATTTAAAAAATTGTCTCACCGACATTTCCCTTGCTACATTCAACACCTAAAGTGCTTTCGTACTCGTTGTCGCTGTGTTCGAAACTCAAAGAACCGTGTTTACTCGTCACGTCCAATTCGATGCTTGGATCTCTCTAAACATTTTTTTTTAAAATGACAAATAATTATTTGTAAATAATTATTTATTTAAATTATAATTTATCTCTTATTAATCATTTCTATAATTATATTACACAGAACAATAGTTTAAAGTAAAACATTTTTTAAAAATACAATTCAAAAATATTAAGAATTTCAATGAAAAAAAATTTATATATATTTCTCACCTTACAATTATAATTTTGACTTTTCGATCTGCGGAAAAATCCAAAACTAAAAATTCCAGATCTCAAAGAATTGATTAACGATGTTTTACCAGATGCACAATGACCTAAAAATCTAATATGAAGACGATCTATTGGCCTATGAGTAGGTTTTAATTGCTTTATATACATCTCGCGTTGAGCTAGCTGCAAATTAAAAATTAAACGTTCGCAAAAATTTCATTTTTATAAACTTTTAATTCTTTGTAACTTATTTTCACAAGCTTTAAATATTTTTGGCCATCTTTTTTATTAGCAAAATTTTTTTCTTTTTTTTTTACTTTAAAAATTTTTAAATTTACAAATTCTATATGACAAAATTTCTAACAATCAAATTTACAAAATAATTGAATTAAAAAACTATTTAAATTAAAAAATTTTCACTTTTAAATAAAAATAATTGAATTTAACAATAATTAATTTTGAAAAATTATATATTTTTAATTATCATGATACTGTATATATTTTATTTAGAATTTTTTAATGATAACTTTTTTTTAATACAAAATTCCACGAGTTTTACATTAGTTCCAGGAGCTAAGTTTTACAATTTCCATAATATTAAAAAAAAATGACAATACGATTAAATAAAAAATCAATGAAAATCAAATTTGTTTAATTTAAATAAAGCATTTGATGGAATGAAAATTATATTAAATACAAATTTGGTTAATTAAAAATTCGTTCAATTTGAAAATTCCCCCAAATAACAATTCGGTTTAATTCAAATTTTATCCAAATAAAAATTAGTTCAAAAGAAAATTTCGTTAAATAACAATTATATCTTTAAATTCAAATTTTATTCAATAAAAATAAGTTCAAAAAAAAAGAAACAACAATTCCATCAAATAACAACTTGATAAAATTTAAATTTAATTTATTAAAAATTTGTTCGATTTGAAAATTTCGCCAAATAACAATTCAGTTAAATGCAAATTTGATTAAATAATAAAAACAAATTCTTCAAATAATAATTCAACTAAATGAAAAATGAGTTCAATAACAACTCGTTTAATAGAAACTTCCTTTAAATTCCAAAATTGGGTCAAATGAAACTTTGATTAATAAAGAATTTAATTAAATGCAAATTTAGGGGGTGATAGCGATTCAAAATTTAGTTCAATAAAAATTCCGTCATCAATTATTTGGTTACATGAAAATATTGTTGTACAAACAATTTGTTTAATTAAAAAAACTAAAATTTATTCAAATGTAATTTTAATTAAATAAAAATTTGGTTATACGAAATTCAGTCAAATGATATTCGGCTATCAATAAAAAATTCCACGATAATTTCATGGTTCAATGAATCAAAAAGAAAATTCCATGAAAATTACAAATTTTCCAGGTGTTATAGAAACCTTGATAATTTAATAAAAAAAAAAAAATTCTAAAATAATTGTTTCCTTTTTTTTAAATTACATATTAATATAATTTTTCCTAATAATGTTTAAGTAATTGAAATATGTATATTTTGTTGAATAAAATTTGAATGATAATAACTAAATAAATAAAATAAAAATACTTACGTTTCTTAATTTATCTAATAAATTCGCAATCTCTGTGTGGCCATGTTTAATAGCAGTTATATCCGCTCGAATACCGTGATTTGTTTTATTAACATCGCAACCAGCAATGCAGAGCAGTCTTACAAGGTCGATGTAACCATTTCTAGCAGCAATATGCAACGGAGTCAGTCCCTGTTTATTGGCTACATCCAATTCTATTCCACTATCGATAAGAAGTGCAGTCATTCCCTCATCACCACATTCACAGGCAATATGCAGAAGTGTCTCATCTTTCTAAATAAATCATTATTAATTAAATCCTTTCAATTTAATTTTCAACAAAATTAATAATTTAAACAAATATTTCTATATTACTAAAATTTGCAACACTTTTATTTACATTTTTCTTTATTTATTTACTAATAAATTGATTCTTATTCTTTAAATTATTTTTTCGTCACAAAACAGAAATTATTTATCCTAAAAAAATAATAAAATAATTTATCCGAAAAATAAACGATTTTCATTAAGTTATTTAATTCAAAATTTACAAAAAAAAAAAAAAATAAATTACCGAGTCTTTAACATCCAATGGGGCGCCTTGCTGAAGAAGTTGCGAAACCGCTTCAACACATCCTCTCTTAACAGTACTGATCATTGCTCCACTGAGACCTTGAGAAGCTTTCGTTTCCTGTATAAATATTTCATTAAAAAAAAAAATAAAAAATATATAAAAAAAACAATTATACCAAATAAGAAAGACTCACTCGTGAGTGAATAAAAAAAAATACTCACAAGACAAAATAGAAACATTCCTCAAAAGAAGACAAAGAAAAAAAAAAGTAAACATACATATATATATAATAATATAAATAAAGAGAAAAGCGTGCTTCAAAAATAATAGAGAAGAAAAATCTGCCGCGACGCTAATACCAATCGGTGATGATAATAAAAATAATAATGAAACTTAATTATTCAATTAATTTTTTCTTTTATTATCTAATCCATCGATAATAATGTCAAGTACCGCACCTAAGCGTCTATTCACAGCGAACGAACGGAATGTACATGTACAACTGGCATTAACGTCAAACAGTTGCGAGAGAAAAAAAAACAACAACGTATATAGTACAATTATAAATAAAAAAAAATTAATACATCAACGTAAAAATCTTTAAAAAAAAAAAATCTAAAGTGCGAACGAGGATCTTTGAATTCGGGAACACACCGTGAGAATCCAAGGATGCGTTAAACACAACTCCGCACTCCCTCGTTCTCTGTAATAAAATGAAAATAAAAAATATAAACGAAAATTGTCAACAACAAAGAATTCTTCCAATAAAATTATTATATTTTTCTTAAATTTTCTGATTATTTCAAAATAATTTCCAATTAATTTCATTTGAAAGCGATTCTAAATATATTTTTTAAAAATCTAATTTTTAAATATCTATTTAAAATACCTATCTATTTTTAAACTCAGATATTTTCTGAATTTTGCAGATAATTAAATATTAACACAAATTACCTGATATTAAAAAATTTACTAAAGTATTTTTATTTTGTACCTGCAGGCCTCGGATTATATGACTTTTTTTTATACTTTTTGTACAAAATTCTTCTTTACATCTTCTTTATTTGAATTATTTAACAATTTTTTAACTAATATTCTTCTCTAAATGAATTATTTTCAATAATTTTAATGAAATTCTTCTTCACAAATTTAATTATCTTAAATTATCTTTCAATTAAAAATTTTATGAAATTCAATAACAGGGTGAGACTATACTGAAAATCTAATTTGAAATTTCAGAACATTTTTCAGAACTTTCCAGGACATTTAATTGAATAGTTTTACATTTTTATTTCACTTAACAGGTAAGACTTTAAAACAAAATTTATACCAAAAGAAGTAAAATTGTAATGCTCTTTAAGAAACAATAAAATAAATTAATTAACTAACAATAAGTATATTCGATTGCCGCGTAATTTGAATCAAATTATTAAAAACTTAAAAATTTCAAGGAAAATAATTAAAATTTCAGGACATTTCTAGTACTTTCAGGACTAGTAAACATCCTGAATAATTGTTTATAATTAAAAAAAAAACAGCAAATAAAATTACCAAAAATTTCAATACAAAATCACTTCAGGTTCAATTATTTTCAAAAATTTGATTTGTAAATCAGTAAATAAAATTCTAAATAAATTGTAAATAGAATTAAATTATTTAAAAAAAAAACTGTTATTTAAAATTATTTGATAAATTATTTTCAATTCTGTAAAATTTAAAATTATTGTCTGAAATTTAACAAAATCTTTTGAAATTCAATTATTTCTCAAAATTCAACTGTAACTCTTCCAAAATTAAATTATTTTAATAATTTTAATATTTCTTTAAACATTTAATTATTTTAAAAATGAGAATTTTATAAATTTTCAGAATGAAAGAAAAAATTAAGAATTTCTAACTAGTTTGTAAAAGTATATGAATATATATATAAATTTTATGAATTACAAAAAAAGGAAAATTTGAAGGAAAAATCGCTTTAAAAATGAAAATTTTTAATAATTATAAAAAGATTTAAAAATGATAAAAAATATTAGACAAAAGAAATTTCAATAAAATCTTCGAGTTTTGAAAAATTAGAATTAATGATAAAAAATCGAGATCTTTGTTTAGTTTGTAAAAATATTTTAAGAAATAACTTAGTCTTTTAGAAAATCTTAATAATAATAACTCAAGGTTTTGTTATAAAATTCAAGGTTTTTTTAAGATATAAAAAAAAATTCAAGGATTTCAAGGTCCGCTGGACACCCTGATTTATATTTGAAATGTAGAATGACGAAAGGGGACAAGCGATAATTTTTCGAAATTGAGGTTTTTTCATAAAAAAAAAATTAATTAACTTCATTTACACATTTCTGTGAAAGGATTTTCTTTTTTATTGCGTTTTTAAATGAGTTTTTAATCAATAATATTATAAAATAGCCTCAAATTTAATTCATTACAATTCGATTGAAAAATAAAAGAAAATGGTAAGTCAACAATATTGTGAATAATTTAATACCTACTTAAAATTAAAAACATAGCTTTTAACAAAATTAAAATAAATAAAAATAACAGTATATTAATCAAAATAATAATAAATTATTAATTTTAATTTTTTATAATTTTAATATCATTTTGTTATTAGTTTTTAACTATTTTTATAATTATAATAATTGTTAACAATTAAATTTAAATATAAGATATTGGTTGATTGCAAAGCAAGAACTTAATTCATAGTTTTTTCGAAAACCAACAACCTTTTCTCAAGCAAATTTTTTTTCATTCAACTCGTCAATTCAATAGAAAAAAAACTAATTATCCAGTTTTTCTTTAAATTGTATATTTTTTCATAATTCATGTTTTTTTTTTTTTATTTATTTTTCTCGTTAATATGTAAGTTTATTTGAGCAAATTATTGTTTATTTATTAAAACATAATAATATTTCGAAACGGTTTTCTTAAGTTTCTTTTTAAATGACCTGCAGAATTTTTAAATATATATTTTTCACTTCCTGTAAAAACAGTGAATTGGCGCTTGTCCTCTTTTGTTATTCTACCATTCATTTATAATTTTGTAAAAAACAAAAAAAACATATGCAGAAAAATAGAAAAATTTCACGTACTTTGGATTTTTAATTAATAACGAACGAATAAAATCCTTGGCGACTTCGGACACTTTGCAGAAGAAATTTTCATCAAATTGATAATTACACGCTGCTACATTTGAATATGTCTCCTGTTTGTCATCGCCCAAAAAAGGAGAGGCGCCAGTTAGAAGAATATACGTTAATACACCAACAGCCCATAAATCTGTTCCTAAACACAATGGTTCGTAGTTGACAATTTCCGGTGCTACGAATTCAGGTGTTCCAAAAAGTGCACGATGCTGTGATCCAGGTGTCAATCGAAGCGACAAACCTAAATCTGAAAAAAAGTCCAACTATTTACTAATTGCAATGAAATAAAATATAAAAAATTAATAAAAAAAAACAAATATCGACATTTTTGTTCACTAATAAAAAAGAAGTTTAGATCAACGAAAATTAGAATTGTTATTAATTAATTTAAATTTAAGTTTATTCAAAAGAAATTAAATTTACCCAATAACATTAAATGGTTCCCAACCATTTTACCGAACGTCCTAGCTAATTAGTAATTAGCTATTATGAAAATATTCAAGTTTAATTATTAATAAATGTAATAAAAATTCTTTTTAAAATTTTTATATTAGAGAATTCGACTATTTTCTCGCTCCTAATTATATTATTCGTAAATATTTTGAGACAGTGAGTTAGTATTCTCGTAAATCTCTTAATAACATTATTATTATTTTTTTTTATATAAAATAAGGGCATTGATTAATTTTGCTTATCTATTATCGCAAATACCTTTTTATATTTCACATTATTATAGACGATCTATGTTATTATTCTCAATACAGTTTCACTAACACTATTTATAGATTCCTTCAAACGTTCAATAATTTTATACTATTGGTATTGTTATTCCTTTTATATACTTTTAACATGTCTGTCTATTATTCTCTATTTATTTAGCTTATATTGTAAACTGCAGTTGTCAATAAAAATGAATTAATTTTTAATAATAAATATTAAATAATATAATAAAAATTAATTAATTTAAAAAATTAATTAATATTCTACAATTTTATAATCATATTCGCCTTATTGAATGTTAAATTCTCCAAAAAAAGGGATTATTTCAATTAAAAATAAGTTTGAATAAAAAATTTCGTATGAATTTTTTTTTAAATTGAAATTGATGAATTACCTATTAATTTTATATTAGGCATGGGTGGAGGTGTAAATAGAAGAATATTCTCTGGTTTAATATCAAGATGAGCCACTTGATGCGAGTGCAAATGACTTAACGCCATTAACACTTGGCGAACCTTGAAAAGAGCAAATAGATGAGAATTCTCAATGACAATATTGTGCGCTTACAATTTTAATAATTAATAATACGGAAATTGTATATATATACCACATGAGCTGCTTCAGATTCATTAGGTGGTGACCAATGAAATAGTTCGCCTCCAGAAATCAATTCCAAAAGCAATACTACCGTTTTACCAGTGTCTATAACTTTGTGCAACGAAACTATATTAGGATGCCTTAATCTAGCCAATAGTCCAGCTTCTCTTGCTGTAAAATATTTTATTGTTTAAAAACAAAAACAAATTATATTTAAAAAAAGAAACTGTATCTATTTTTTAAAATTTCGAAATATTTTTTTTAGTCAATTTTTGTTTAGAGTATTAAAATAAAGGCCTTGGATCGACTTTAAGGCATAAAAAAAGTCGTTTTATTCAATTTATATTCCAAAAAATATCGACTTTTTTTATTTTAACAAAATTTAATTGGTTAATAAATATTTTACTTTAAATAACTAATGTAATTAAATATTAAATTCATTTTATTAATTCTGTAATGAGAATAATTCTATAAAAATATTATTAAGAAAATTTATTTTGAATATTTCGGAATCTGACTAATTGTAAAACAAATTTTCACAAATTTTATTTAAATAGGGTAAATTTCGACAAAAAAAAAAATTCTTAAAGTTCCATTTTTATCATTTTTTGAAGTCTGCTTTAAGCAATTTATTCGAATTAAAAATTTTGTACTTAAATAAGTTTTACAGATTTTTAAATAAAAATTTTTTTAAAATAATAATTTTGGAAGAGTTAAAGTTGAAATTTTTTTTGAAATAATTGAATTTTAAAAGATTTTGTTAATTTTCAGGAAATAATTAAATTTTACAGAATTAAAAATAATTTATCAAATAATTTTAGATAACATTTTTTAAAAGTAATTGAATTTTCAAAAGATTTACAATTTAGATTTTTGAAATTAATTGAACTTCAAGTGATTTTTAATTAAAAATTTTTCATGATTTCTGTTACTAAAAAATTTATTAATTATATAGTGTAAACCAAGTCAACTTTTGGGACAATAGACTAAAGTTTCAATAAATATTATTACCTACTAAAAAATTTATAAGAAATTGCAGTCAAAAATACAATAATTTGAAAACGTTTTAAGCAAAAAATGAGTTTCAGATAGTTAAATTTTCAAAGAATATTATAAAAATCTTTAAAAATAATTGAATTTCAGGAGAGTTATAATTGAAATTATTAAATATTTTAAAAAATTTTAGATGGAAAATTTAAAAAAAAATAAATTTTAGAAACTTTTAAATTGAGATTTTTTAAAATAATTGAATTATTATTAATAATTGAATAATATTATGAAAATCATTTAAAATAATTGTAAATTTTGCAAATAATTAAATTTTAAGTGATTTTGAATAAAAAATTTTTGCTAATTTTATTTGCTAATTTTTTTTTAAATTATAAACAATTATTAAATTTCATAAAAATTTTAATTTGAAAAATAGTTTAAGATAATTGAATTTGTGAAGAATTTTATTAAAATTATTAAAAATAATAATTAAGTGAAGAATTGTAGTTAAAAATTTGTTAAATAATTGAAATAATTATCTTAAAATTTGCATTGTATATTAAAAAAATGTATTTTGTTCACCAATTTTTTTAAAAAATGTAAAAAAAGTTGCATTTTATTAAAATAAATCGAAAATAGTCATATTTTTGGAAAAAAAAAATCATAAAAAGTCGTATAATCCGAGGCCTGAAAAATACATAATAAAAAATAATGCTGATAATCATGAAAAATAGATACATAACAAAAATAAATAATAATATATAATAACAAAACCAAAGAGTTTTGTTACGTTTTGATAAAATTATTAAATCAGAGTATAAAAATAAAAAAAAAAGCTATTTAAAGTATTAAAAATCTTTTCTCTTTAATTAAAGTTAACAAAAATTGAATATAAATTTACCAATGTCAGCTGTTGCTACTCCACGAGCCACTCTTCTTTTTCTCATTATTTTTGCCGCGTAAACGGCCCCGCTTTTTATTTCTACACATTTTCGAACCACTGCAAATTGACCTCTGTAAATAATAATAAGCAAAAAAAAAAAATTATTAATTTTTCGTCTATAATAAATTTCAGCTAAATCTATGAAAAAATAATTGAATTTAAAATTATTCTCAATATTTATCCTTCATAAAACGATTTTAATTTATTAAAATTACATGCAAAACGTGCGGTTAGTTTTTTTTTTTTTTTTAGCAAATACTATATTTCCATTGAGTAAAGTATTAAAAAAAAAAAATAGTTATAAAATTTTAATTTCTCTAAACCAGTTCCATTTTATTGATAATTAATTTTAATGCAAAAAATAAACTTCAATTTTACTCTATAGAAAATTAAAATTTTTCCATTCAAATTTATTTTAAAAAATATTTTATTTTTTCAAAAATAATTAAAAAATTTTTTTCAATAGCAAAATATTTACATAAAGAAATATTTTATTTTTTTCAAAAATAATTTTCAATATTCTTTTTTTCAATTTCAATATATATATTTACACCTGGGAAAAAATATTTAAATTTCTAAAAAATAATTTTCAATTTTTTTTTTTTTTGCAATAGAAATAATTATTTGAAGAAAATATTTAATTTTTTTCAAAAATAATTTTCAATTTCTTTTCAATAACAATATATAATATACAATTTGGAAAAATCTAAATTTTATAATGTTTTTTTTTCCAACAAAATTGAAAACATATAATCCAACTTTTTATATTATTAAAAGAAGAATTTTATTTATTGTACAAAAAAATATTTTTAAAAATTGCAAAATAAAATGATTATGAAAAAATGTGAAAATAGAAAAAAATAAGAAAACGTGTATAGTTTCTTTGTTAACTATTATTATCTCATTAAAAGCTTTTAATTACTTTTTTTTTTTTTTTTTTTTTTTTAAGAAAAAATCTTATCAGAAACAATTAAAGCGATAACTTACTTGCCGATTTCCTCAAGCAATTCATAATTCTTTTCTATGGGTTCGTGATGAACTTCCATCAACGTGTCCCACTCGGACCCTAAATTAAAAAAAGTATATTTTTTTTTTACTAAAAAAAAAAGCACAATCCATAAAAATCATGTAATTTTAAAAAGCACAAAATTTTTTCGTCTTTTTAAAACAACGCATACATTATAATGTCACACTGCATATATATTAAATATATATCGTGTGTAAGAAAAAAAAACCATTGGAATCAATTCGCAAAGATAAATAAATAATGAAACTGCCACTATATACACACACACACATATATATCTGTATATAATACAGCCGTGAAATAAAATGCAATGCGTAAATTTCCTAAAATGGAAAGATGACGTTCTGAACACACAAAAGGAATGAGGTAATGCGATGTGTTTACAAACAACCTACAAACAATTTAAGTTTGCCTTTCTGCGTTCTTTCGCAATATCATTTTTACAAAATAATAAAAGAATGTTATCCGGAAAACAAATTTTTTAAAAAAAATTCCCCCACACAAGATTGACAAGAGAAAAATTCTAGAACAAAAAAAATTTGCGAATGCAAAAAAAAAAGGATTGTAAAAAACTTTTTCTAGAACGCCATAGTAAAATGTATATTGCACAATATTTTCTCACTTCGAAATTTCATACACGATTCATATAATAATCACTTATAAACGAAGCACTTAATATTTTGAAGAGGGGAAATAAACCACCAAATCCTCATCACACACGCGATTTAATCGAAATGTATATATATATATATATACGTCAAACATCTGTCAACTTTGAATAAATATTCAATTGCAAATCATTGAAATGTCAATCGCGATAGGAAATAATTGTCAATATTTACCATCGTTGGAAGTCCCCGATGGATAGGAGGTAGTTGGCATCATCTCCTTTTCATGCTGAACGTTTTTTTCAAGCCAGGTAAATTTTTGACGAACATGAAAAAACCGTTACTATCCTGGCATTTGTCGGCCTTTTACCTCGCTTTTGCCGGCCACCCCACGCACACAATCAATATACATATGCGACGCCACCTACTCTTCGTGTATCTTGTTCGATCATTACAAATACATATATATACATACATATATATATATATATATATATATATATATATATATATGTACCTTTATATGTAAAGCAGTTAAAATTCAAAAAACACGTATCTCTGCTATTATTTTTTTCCCATATATTAAATGTAATAAAAAAAGTATTTCGCACAGTAAAATATCAAAGTCACGTTTTTACTGACATTAGTTAAAATTTTTTTTTTTTAATAATTTATACCGAAGGAATGTGCAATAAAAACAGATAACACAATTCTTTATAAATATGTTCGAGTATACAAAAATAAGAAAAAATTGAAAATATAAAAATCGCGTAAAAATTATATAGGTTATGAAAAAATAAACACTATTGATATTATTGACCAATTGCTGTTGAGAATTTCGTCCTTGGACATTGTGATTGGTGGGAAATTTGTCTCTCTCTCTCAAGGTGACGACGAACCATTTTTCGCGGGAAATTTGAAATTATGATTTTAATAAATAAACTTTTTCTCTATCATTTTGAGGATCTCCTTTTAACCCCCTTGTTTTTTTTTCAATAGCAAAAACATTTTTCTATAAAATAGCACGTCATTGAAATTCATTAACATTTATGATCAACGAGTGAAAAAAAATATATATATATTTTTCAATTTGAAAAAGAATAATTTTTTTTCTACAAATTTTTCTTTTATTATTATTATTATTATTATTATTATTATTTATTTAATTAATATTGATTGAGAAATGTTGAAAAAAAAATTCTTTAAATGAAAAATTCTTATAATTTGTATAGAAAAATATTTTTTTCTTCTAAATCGTTGTGAACTTTATTTATAAAAAAAAACACAAGCAACGATCCTGAAAAAAAATCTATTTTAGTCAACTTTGAATTCTAATTTAAAAAAAAAAATTCTTCATATTTTAAAGTGATAAAAACTTTAATATTTTTTTTTGTTGCCTATTGTTCAGAGCGCCAAAACTAATAATATTCATTGACATTTAATATTGTTATTATATATTTTCAGTAATTTAAAAGATATTCTTTAGAAATACAATTATTTTAAATAATTTTTCAATAAAAAAATCTGCAAATTATTAAAAATTTTAATATAAAATCACTTGATATTTAATCATGTATTTTCAAAAATTTCAAATTAAAACCTGAAATTTTCCATTTAGAATTTTCTGAAATTTAATAATTTCAATTATAACTCTTTCAAAATTCAATAATTTTCAATGGTTTTTATAACATTCATCAAAAATTCAATTATTAGAAAGCGTTTTTTATTTAAAAACTTTTGAAATTCAATATTTGTCTGTAATTTCTAATAAATTCTTCATCAACAGAAATTACGAAAAATTTTAATAAAAAATTACTTGAATTTTAATTATTTTCTAAAATCTGAATTGTAAATATTTGAAAATTCAATTTCTTTTAAAAAATGTTATTTAAAATTATTTGATAAATAATTTTCCATTCTGTAAAATTTAATTATTGTCTGAAATATTTAACAAAATCTTTTGACATTCAAATATTTCTGAAAATTTCAATTGTAACTCTTTCAAAATTTAATTATTATTTAAAAATATGTAAAACTTAATTATCCTCCGAAAATTTTTTTGATCATTAAAACAATTAAGTATGCTAAAATTTTCAATATTTTATTTAAGTAGGATAAATTTCTAAAAAAAATTCTTAAAGTTCCATTTTTATTATTTTTTAAAGTCTGATTTAAGTAAGCAATTTATTCGAATTAAAAATTTTGTCATAGTTTTTAGTTTTGATGATCAAAAAAATTTCAGGCCATATTGAATCAAGTTTTACAGATTTTTAAATAAATTTTTTTTTTAAATAATTATAATTTTGGAATTGTTAAAAGTTGAAATTTTTTGAAATAATTGAATTTCTAAAGATATTGTTAATTTTCAGCCAATAATTAAATTTTACAGAACTAAAAATAATTTATCAAATAATTTTAGATAACAATTTTTTAAAAGTAATTGAATTTTTAAAAGATTTACAATTTAGATTTTTGAAATTAATTGAACTTCAAGTGATTTTTAATTAAATTTTTTTTGATGATTTCTGTTATTAAAAAATTTATAAGAAATTGCAAACAAAAATTACAATAATATGGAAACTTTTTAAGCGAAAAATTGGTTTCAGATAATTGAATTTTCGAAGATTATAAAAATCATTAAAAATAATTGTAATTTTTGCAAATAATTAAATTTTAAGTAATTTTGAATAAAAAATTTTTGCTAATTTTATTTGCTAATTTTTTTAAAATTATAAACAATTATTAAATTTCATAAAAATTTTAATTTTGAAAAATAGTGTAAGATAATTGAATTTGTGAAGAATTTTATTAAAATTATTAAAAATAATAATTAAGTTAGTGAAGAATTTTAGTTTAAATAATTGAAATAAAGATCTGCATTGTATACTAAAAAAAATGTACTTTGTTTAAAAATTTTATGAAAAAAATGTAAAAAAAAAGTCGAAAAAGTACGAAGCTAAAGTACGCAACGTTTATGATAAACAATTTTTAAAGAAATAATTTTTTAAAATGAAAAATTCTATAATTTTTTGCTTAAAAAATATTTTTTTTATAATTTGTTGATTAATGAAAACTACAAGAAATATTTTTTAGGCAAAGAATTATAGAATTTTTCATTTTAAAAAACGTTTATCATAAACGTTGCGTAGTTTAGCTTCGTAAAAAAGTCGTATAATCCAAGGCCTGTAAATAAATATAATTTTTAAGTTTACCTGTCAAATAACCTAATTTTGCGATTTTTATCAATTAATTATGAGAAAGGGAAATCATTAAATTAAATAAAAATTTTCCAAATATGAAGTCATTGCAATTAACTTTAAGATTTTCTTTGTACTTTTCTTCACCTTTCTTCATAAATATAAGAAATTTCAAAAATAAAATCGCCACTTTGATGATTTTTGTGATATTCAAACATCAATAATTTTTTTTTTTCAGTAGAATCAAAAAATATGATTCTAAAATTCTCCCATATGACGAGAATATAAAAATATTTTAATTGGAAAAAAAGAAAAGGCATAGATTATGAATATTTTATAAATTTTTAATTTCGTAAAAATGCCGCTGTTTGAAAATGCCAGTGTATTCTTTATAACATAAACTATAAGTTAAGCAAATAATGGATGTGATGAGTGTAAAAATTCAATTATTTTATAATAGCGATAAATTTTTTAAATTCGTGTAATTATCGCATGTGTATTATTATTATTATTCATTATTCTTGCATAGACGCTTCTGTCACTTGTGCATTTTGTTGAGCTGGTGCATTATCAGAGCCCTTTTTTTTGCTACCAGAAACAATATCGTCAATTCTCAATAATAAAATTGCCGTTTCAATTGCAGTTTTATATGTTTGCAATTTAACAGCAAGTGGCTCCCAAATTCCACGTTCTTTCATATCAACCAATTGACCAGTTTCACCGTCAATACCCCATGATGTACCACCTGATGCATGTTTAGCGCGTAACGCTGTCAATGTACGAATTGTGTTTGCACCACAATTTTGCGCCAAAGTCCTTGGAATTATTTCAAGTGCCTGTGCAACTGCTTTATAAGGCCATTGTTCAACTCCAGCGAGTGCTGCCGCTTTTTCAGTTATAAGACGTGATACTGCCATTTCCACTGCACCACCACCTGTAAAAAAAAATTGTTTTTCAATATTATTTTAGACAATCAAATTTCTCTTCATATTTAAGGAACATTTAAAAAAAAAATTAATTTCCAAATATTTTGTTCCTTCTAATAAACACTTTTTAAATGATAAATAAAGTTTTGAACGTTCAAATGAACGAAATATTTTAATTTTTGTTTTTAACTTCAATGATGATTAATTTATAAAATATTGCTTTCTATATTCAAAAATACATTAATTTTTAATGTATTTTTTTATATTTGTAGTAATTAAAAAAAAAATGATTTCGTTTATTTCAACATTCACAACATCAATAATAAAATTCTAAAAACCTGGCACAAGTTTAGGTTCCATTAAAAGATTCTTTGCAACATGAAGTGCATCCTGAAGATTTCTCTCAGTTTCATTTAGGACATCTTTACTGGCGCCACGCAACATAATTGTACATGCCTTTGGATCTTTGCATTCAGTGATAAAGCAAAAATATTCGTCACCAAGTTTTTTAATTTCAAATAATCCAGCACCAGTACCAACATCCTCCTCTCTCAATTCATCGGTACGATTAACAACAGTTGCACCACATGCGCGTGCAATTCTATTGATATCAGTTTTTCTTAAACGACGAACAGCCGATATATTTGCCTTCACCAAATAATGTTGCGCCAAATCGGAAACACCCTTTTCCGTAAATACAACATCTGGCTTTAATGCAATAATATCCTCACACAATTTTCTCACATTCTCCTCTTCCATTTCTAAAATTTTTGTAAAATCCGTCTCCTTCATTATTTCAATATTTGTCTGTGATTCACCTTTTTTATATTCCAATGGACAATCAATAAGTACAATACGTGGATTTTTAATAAGTCGACGCATTTTTGGATGTGTCACATCTTTATTGACCATTACACCTTTTAATACGGAACTATCCTCAATACTGCCACCTGGTATTTTTTCTACTTTTGCATAACGTTTAATATCAATTTCACGACGTCCATGCTCCTCCAACATAACAGTGTGTACAGCGTCAAGGGCAATTTCACATGCAAGATCAGACCATTTACCAATGAATTTTGTACCAACGCATGATTTTACAACTTCAGCAAGTTTCTTTCTATCGGCACGATCAAGTTCAAGGCTTAATTCATCATTTAATACAGTCACCATGTCCTCAAGTGCTTGACGATATGCACGAATAATGACTGTTGGATGCATTCCTTGACTGAGAAATGGTTCAGCAGTGGCGAGAATTTCACCAGCGAGAACAATAACCGATGTTGTACCATCGCCAACTTCTTCATCTTGAGTACGGGCAATTTCAATCATTGATTTTGCCGCTGGATGTTGAACAGTGATCTCACGGAGAATTGCATTTCCATCGTTGGTCATTACTATTCCACCCATTGGGTCCATCAACATTTTTAACATTGCTTGTGGGCCAAGACATGTTCTTATTACGTCGGCAATAGCCTTTAAAAAACGAAAAAAAAGAGAAAGATAACATTTTTAAATCTTTTAATTTATTTTTTTTTTCTATAGAAAAAAAAATTTATTTCGATTAAATAAAAAAGTATTTGAACCGAATATACATTTACTAAATCTAAGTATTTTATTTTATCGTATCAAATAAATTGTTATTTGAATCAAATACAAAATATTTAAATCAAATAAATGGAATATTCAAAGCTAATAAATAATTATTTTAATCAATTATGAAAATTATTTCATTCAAATAAATATTTACTAGACATAAGTATTTTATTTTATCGTATCAAATAAATAATTATTTGAATCAAATACAAAGTATTCAAATCAAATAAATGGAATATTCAAAACAAATAAATAATTATTTGAATTAATTATGAAAATTATTTCATTCAATACTGCATGTGTTTTGATTCAAATAAATATTTATTTGCATTAATAAAATATTTTTCTTGAAACAACTAAAAATTTTCTTGAATGAAATATTCGATTATTTGTCATAAGTAATTGTTTTAATTGAAACTAAAACCTCTTTAATTGCGGCAATTATTATTTTATTTGATCTAAATACATAATTTATTTGCATAAAATGTAAGAATTTTTTTATTCAAATGAATCAAAATTTGAATAAAAAAAATAATTAAAAAATATGTGATTTCCACATACTATGATGTGAATTTTCAAAAAAAGTGTAACATTTAATTGATTAAAATATTTTATTATTTGCCTTGATAAAATACTGTTATTAAATAATTTAGTTGACTTGAATCAGTTAAATAAATTTATTGTATCAAATACTTTTTATTTGTTTCAATAAAACGAAATATTTGAGTGAAATAAATAAATTAATTGTTTCAAGTAAATCATTATTATCGTTTCAAATAAATATTTAATTGATTGAAATAATTTTTTTTATTTGTCTTGATAAAATAGTGTACCTATTAGGATTAAATAACGAATTATTTGTATTAAATAATTCAGTTTATTTGAATCAATTACATAAATTTATTGTGTCAAATACTTTTTATTTGTATCAAATAAACGAAATATTTGAGTGAAATAAATGAATGAATAGTTTCAAGTAACTCATTATTTGTATTAAATAAATTCATTTATTCAATTCAATTAATTATTTAATTGAACCAAATACGATTTATTTGGTTCAAATAAATGCGATTCAAATAATTCAAGTTATTTGAATCAAATACATATTTTTTTGATCCAAATAAAAAGTATTTGAACCAATTAAATATTTTTCAAATAATTTGAAGTATTTGAATCAAATAAATTTTTTTTTCAGTGTATACGATTCTAAATAATTTGTTTATATAAAATTACAATCATGTCCACTAATTTAGTTATTTTAAATTAGTTATTTTTTAAAAACATATTTTATGCTGAATTGTCCTAAGCGAGCTCAAAAACGATTAAACCATGAACTCAAAATTAAAATTTTTTGAAAATAATTCAATTTTAAAATTCATAAATAATACTTTTTTTTATCCAAAAACATTCAAAAATTATTATTTTTCAATAACAAAATTTGCACTAAATTGTTTTACTCCTGAAAAATATTAAAATAATCATAAAATTTATGAAAAATGACAATTTTTTAAAAATAAGTCAATTTTTAATTCAAAAAACCTTTTTTTTTAATCCGCAAAAAAATACAATTGTAACATGTACGCAAAATTAAATTTTTTGAAAATAATTCAATTTTAAAATTTATAAATAAAAATTTGTTCCAAAATATGTATTCAAAAATTATTATTTTTTAATAAAAAATTTGATACTGAAACATTTTACTCCTCCAGAACTCCAAAAATATTGTTAAAAATTATTATATTTCAAAAACTAATAATAATAATAATTTTTTAATATTTCTAGGTTAAAAAAATTTTAATTAAATTTTAATTTTACTTAATTTGAATAATTTATTATTAAAAATTTTGAAAATTGTTGTAAAAAGAATTTTTTTTCTCATCTAGAACAATATTATTTATTTTTAAATGAAACTGAAGTTACCAACGTTGATTCAACGAAAAAATAAAATTTAAGGATACTAATTCTCATCAATGAAATTTGATTATTTTCAACCTTCTGAAATCTGAAATAAAAAAAAACAATATTTATCATTGTTTTGTCACGGATTTTCCGAAAATTTCGATATTTCAAATAATTTTGATATTTCCTCAACTCGGAAGCAATTTTTCTCGTTTGATAATTATTTGTTTCAATGCTAGAAGCATTTTAAAAAACAGAAAAATTGCTTCCAAGTCGGGGAAAACAGTGATTTTGACTTTTTTCTCACAGCTTTTTCCGAAAATCCCGAAATTTCAAAAAAATTTCTATTTCCCCAACTTGGAAGCAAATTTTCTTTTTTTTTAAAGGCTTCTAGCATTGAAATAAATAATTTATCAAAACAAAAAAATTGCTTCCGAGGCGAGGAAATAACAATTTACTTGAAATTTCGAGATTTTCGGAAAATCCGTGACAAAAAAATCAAAATCACTGCTTTCCCCGACTTGGAAGCAATTTTCCTGTGTTTTAAAACGATTCTAGCATTGAAATACATAATTATCAAACGCGAAAAATTGCTCCCGTGGCGAGGAAATAGCATATTACTTGAAATTTCGAGATTTTCGAAAAAATCCGTGACAAATAATTCAAAATCACTGCTTTCCCCGACTTGGAAGCAAATTTTTCTGCTTTTTAAAAGGCTTCTAGCATTGAAATAAATAATTATCAAACGAGAAAAATTGCTTCCGAGTCGAGGAAATATCAAAATTATTTGAAATTTCGAAATTTTCGGAAAATCCGGGACAAAACAATGATAAATATGGTTTTTTTTTTGTATTTCAGATTTTAGAGGATTGAAAATAATCAAATTTCATTGATGGGAATTAGAATCTTTAAATTTCATTTTTTCATTGAATCAACGTTGATAACTTCAGTTTCATTATTTTCAATTACATTTAAGTGGCTTTTTTAAAATTAATGTATTTTTATTTTTTGAAATTCAAGTCCTAATTAATAATTATTTAAAAAAAAATGTTTTGCAGCACAAATTAGAAAAAAATTACTTTTTTGTAAAAAATAAAATGGCTTTGCTAATTTATTTTTATATTACACATTAATAATTTTGGTGGACTAAATTCACGAAATCGCATTATTTTATCAAAAGATTTGTTTATTTCATTAAATTTTCAAAATTTTGAATTATCAACAATAATTTTATCATTTAATAATTCGAATTTTTAACAATTCGATAAAATGACGTCAGATTGAAAATTGAATTCTTTTAAAAAGTCCCCAAATCAAAAGAAAAATTTGCCATTAAAAATTAGAATTTTAAGCCGCAATTTGTAAAAGTAAATTAATATATAAAGCAAGTTTAGGATTTTCAAATAAAAAGAAAATTTTAGGGGCAAAATAATTATTAAAAAAACAAAATTTTAAAAAATCGTAAAAAAAGGAATGAAAAATTGAAATAAATAAATAGTAATTTCAAAAAAAAAAAGAAAAATTTTACATTCTGTACTGTTTAGAATTATTTTTTATTTTGAAAAAAAAATTTACCAACTTTTTCTATTATTTCTTTTGTAAACTAAATTTCAAATAACCAAAAATAAAATGTACCTATAATTTTTAAATAATTATTTTTAATCGAATATAAAATAGTATAAATATTAATAAATAAATAAATATATTATTAAATAATTAATTCTTATGCTTAAAAGGGCATTTTTATATTTATAAGGTATAATTAAATTAAAGTTTTAATTTATTTGACCAATTATGTTTTTTTTATAAACGAAATATATAAACCATATATTTTTAGGTTATGAGCGAAAAAGCTTCATACGTTGTTTGAAAAAAAAAACAATGAAAATTTAATCAAAATTCATACAAATTAGAATTTAATTATTAAACTAAATTTTTCGACACATAACTAATTAAATCAATTACTAAAAAAACATTTTATTTTAATTTCCATCTATAACGTCCGGTTATATTGGAAAATGACGTCACAACTTGTACAGAAAAATGTTTCAACTCCAAAATTTTAAATTTCATTTTTAACATTCATTAAAAAAAAATATAAAGATCTGAATATTCACAATGAGAAAAAATATAAATTATTTCTTAAAAAATAATTTTATTTTATTCTATTGTTAAGTTAATAATTTTTTTTTTTTTTTTATGAAAATGTGGGTGTAAAACCGGTAAAAGTCCTTATAAGGAAATGTACTACATTTAGTGAAGGACTCACCTTTCCAGCTTGTATATTTTCCTTCTGAACTTTTTTTCCAGAATCTCTTTTTGTGTTCTCACCTGCAATTATGAAAGTAGATGACATAATTGAAATTCTATTGAATTTATTTCCTTAATACATATATATTAACTAATGATGCTTAAGACTATAAAAAACAAAACTATAACGATTTCATATTTTAATATTTTTTCAACTTACTGAGAACAACGATTGGGGCAGAGCCCGGAAACATGTTTGTGTTTTGTTTTTTAAAAAAAATTCCAAAACTTGAAGAAAAATAATTTATTGATTGACAAATTTATTTACACTTATTTTAATTAAAAAATGAAATGACAATTTTCAGTCAACCACGAGGAGAAAAAAAGTCTTAGCGCAGAACATGGGATGAGTGCAAACTAACCACAAAGCATTTCTTTTCCTTTTGCGCAAGCGCAACGAATCTTCTTTCATTGGTTTGACGATTTTAAACGCAATTATTCAAATCTATTAAAAAAAAAAAATTATAATTTGTTTTGGTTATTTATTATGATTATTATTTTAGTATAAATTATTTATTTATTAATATGTGACATTTGCACTAAAATTAAAATTTAAAAAGTAGTATATATATATATAATAAATGTAAATTCAATTTTTTTAAATTTATAATTTACTTGGATATTCAATTTTAAAAACTATTTTTAAATAATTTCTAAAATATTATCTTTTGAAGAAATGAAAAAAATAACATTTTCATTTTAATAAATATTAAATATTTTATTTATGGTTACAAAAACTTTGAATAAAATCAATGAATATAAACTATTTGATATTTTTTTTTTCATGTTGATATGTAATTCTACAGAAAAAAATTTAGTTAATATTTTGCAGTAGAGGCTATAAATTATTAAAAATAGCTCAAAACAAATATAATAATTATACATATAATTATTATCAATGATGATGATGATGATACAGACTTCAAAGTGTAGTAAGAGATTAAGAAAATTATGAAAAAGTATCATTTTTTTAAAAAAAAGTTATCCCCAAAATTGAAAAATTATCAAAAAAGTGCGGCATCTTTAAAATGAAGTAAAATTAGTTTTCTAAGTTTAACGTTAAAGTGTAAATATTTTTTTGTCTAAAAAAAATTAAAAGAAAAATTCTGAAGAATAAAATTAACATCATTTTTCTCTTGATTATTTTCAAAAAAAAAAATATCTTTTTTTTTAAATTTTGATTAAATTTTTGTTTTTGGCACAACGGTAGGAACGTACGATTTTTCCATAAAAATGATTTTTCAAATAAATTTTTATTTTACAAAATAGCATTTAATATACAGAATTTATTTTAAACGAATGTTTACTCAAAAGAATTTTCAAAGTACTGAATTTTTATTTTACAAAATTTTTCTTTATCCAACTGTTTCTTGAAAAGAATTCTAATTTTTAAATCCTAGAACTTGGAATCGGAAGCTTATAAAAAAAATATTTAGTATTTTGAAACAACAATTTTAATTTTAAAAATCTTAAAAAAATTTAATTATTTCTAAAAATATTAACAATTTTATTTCAATAAATTTTATTCATTTATTTAAAAATTCAATTAAATAAAACATTTTTTAATTAAAAATTCTTTCAAATTCAATAACTGTTTGAAACTTTGTTAATAATTTTTAGCAATTCTAATTTACAAAAATTTTCATTCAAAATCTCATGAAATTCAATTATTATTAAGAATTTTGATTCAAATTTTTTGTTGAAATAATTATATTTAATAACTTTAATCAAAATCTTGTGATTTCAATTATTTAAAACATTTTTCAATTCAAAATACTCTAAAATTCAATTATTGTCTGAATTTCGGTTAAATTAGAATTATTTGAAAAAAAAAAAACAGTTGAGTAAAGAGAAATTTTGTAAAATAAAAATTCTGTCAAAAAAAAATTTAACAAATTGAAAATTCTATTGAGTTAAAGGTCGTTTAAAAAGAAATTATGTTAAATGCTATTTTGAAAAATAAAAATTTGTGTAAAAAATAATTATATAAAGAAGTAGTTTACGCGGACAATAATAAATCATCAACTTAACGAGCTTTTAGGAATCAAAAAATTCTTGAAATTTTTGATTTTTAAAATTATTTTTTGAAAAAAGTAGCACTTAATGGCTTTTGGACAAAATTAGTAGTAAAAATGTAGCCTTGTCGAAAAAAAAAATATTAAAAAAGTAAAAAAGTGTTTCACTTCGAAGCCTGTGATATAATAATAATAGGGTGAAAATAAATGAAAACAGACAATTGAAATACTTTCGTTTCCGATTTTCAATTCTGATTGTTGTAAAAGAAAAATTCTAATTGTTACTAAAAAATTAAATTAAAAAAAGAAAACAGATAAATTGAATATATGAGACCAAAGTGTTTCAAGTGGCTGTTTTTATTTATTTTTACCCAATAATAAATAATATTACTATTAATAATAATAATAATTTATAAATAGTGTAAATATAAATAATTAACATACCTATATAACTATTAAATAAAAAATCAAACCAACGGATCGTAAAAGCACCTAATTCGCTTCCTATTAAATAGAAATTGTAATTTTTATTAAAATACAACTTCAAAATATTAAAAATTTAATTATTTACACTTGCCCTATGCAAATTTTAAAATATAAATTGTTTTTTTATTTCGAGAAAAGAAAATATAAAGTTAAAGTAACTTTTGTTTTGATTTTTTCTTAAAGTACATATAAAAAGCATTTTTGTTTTAAAAAAAAATACTAATCTTATTTTTCTTTAACTCGTAATAAATCCAAGTTTTTTTTTACACATATCACTTCAAATTTGGAGGATTTAACATTTCAAAGTGTCAAGAAAATGTTATGCTGATAAAAATGAATTTTTCAATTTAATCCTTTGAGGAGGAAATTTTTTTCTTAAAAAATCACATTTAATGTTTTAACAAGTTTTTCAGCGAAAAAAATCTAAAAACAAGTTTGGAATTGGAAATTTATTAAACTAAATAAAAAATATTGCTGTAATATTCAGTTTTAAAAAATCAAGGATCTTGTGTATAAGATAAAAAATTGTCATGAAAGCAACACTGGTTCTGAACGAATTAAACAATTTTAATTATTTATTTATAAAAAAAAAACTTTTTTAATTTTTTAAAAATATTTTTAAAAAAATTCCCACGTAACTTTAAATGAAGGAAAACTTCAAGAATGTTACTTCAAAAATATTAAATCTTAAATTAATCATTAAAAAAAAAAAAAAAAAAAAATGAAATATTTCCCTAATTTTTTAATGATTAATTCAGAAAATAGCGTCTACGATCCGTCGGTTCATAATTTAAATTTTTATAAAAAAAAATTGTTCCTGTTTCAAAATAAATTACACATGTCGAACGTGAAAACTGACAATATATTCTGCATTGGTTCTTTGGACTGAAATTGCAAAAGGATCAGTTGGATGGAAAGTGAAGGCCACTAATCTTCTTGCAACAACTGGCGGTGTTCTTCCCAACATTCCCGCGTACATTCGAAACTTTAAAAGTCCAGAATCACGTGCGTAGAATCTAAAATGGTTGCAATTTTTATTTTTAAATTAGCTTAATATATTTTTTATTTATTTATTATTTTGAATATTAATTGGAAATTATTATATAAATTACCGAATGGGATGTTCGCCACAAGCCTTTGGACGTTCCATCATTGACACCCATTTATCATCATATGAAAATAATGAAAGATCAAGATACGGTGAACTTGAATACGATTGTGCACAAATTGGCAATTGAGCAAGTAATCTTTTTGTTGCTTCCGTTATACCCCCATATCTGGCACTGACAATTGTCTGTTTAAATCTCTGCTGCATTATTCTAATTAAAAAAAAACATATATTAATTATAATTTTAAGAATAATTTAACTCTCCTGTTAAAATCTGACGAAAATATTTTATTATATTTGTGGAAATATTAAATTTGAAAATTTTTTTTTACTTAAAAGGCTTTAATTTTAGGACTTCAAAAATTTTACATCTCTCTAATGTCAAGAATAGAGGAATGTGAAATTGTTTTGTTAACTTTAAGTCTTAGAATTAACCTTTTAAAATAAAAAAAAATTCAAATTTAAGATTTCCGAAATGGAGCAAAATACCTTCGTCCAATTTTAAGAATAATAATAATAATTTTAATCATTGTGACTTTTGGACAAAATTAGTAGTAAAAAAAAAAGTAGTCTTGTCGAAAAAAAAAATATCAAAAAAGTAAAAAAAACAGTGTGTCACTTCAAAGCATGAATTTTTAAAAAGAAAGAAAAGATAAAATATTTACCTTGCATAAATATTATTTGAAGGCGAGCACATAAATTGACAATCGGAACTCACTCGGGCATTTCGGAAAAAATCACTAAAATTTTCAAATTGAGTCAACAGCTGAGTGGAAGCATTATCGTAAGCCGCTAAAACTTTAGCAGTTACCATATTATAAACAACTAGCAGTGCTGGTTGAGCATTTGGCTCGCTTGCCTGTAATGTTGCTACATCTTCAGTTGCATATCTAACAAGAATGTGATTTGTGTCCAATAATTGCATTTTCCACATTCTCAATGCATTGTACTAAAAAAAAAAATCCAAAATTGTAAATACATAAACAATAATAATAAATAAATAAATTCATCTGTAAATAATAAAGGATAGAATATATTATCCCAATTTTTATGAAAATATAATTTAATTAAATATATTATTACAGAGTGTCTAAGTAACAACTGCTAGGAAAAAAATTCCCTGACTTTTCTCTGACCTAAATTACACTAAAAAATTTTTATTTTGATCAAATAAAATTTATTTTGATACAATTAAATCATTTACCTATCTATTATCCAGTAATTTCATATGTATTTGAAACAAATAAATAATGTTTCGTAAAAAATAAAATATTTAAATGAAATAAATAAACTAATTGGGGACGTATAAATATTTTCAGCATTTAACATAAAAGAATATTTACGGCGTCAAATTTTAAATTATTAAATTTTTATTTAGTAAAATTATATAAAGCAGATTTTCTAGTAAATTGAATTTAAAAATTATACAATAATTTTAATTTAACGGAATTTATGTCAAGAAAAATTGCATAATGAACAATTTTTTTAACAGAATTGTTATTTTAGTAAATTTCGATTTATCAAATTATTTACTTAACAGAATTGTCATTGAATAAATCCACAATTAACAGAATTTCTAATTAACAAAATTCTTAATTAACAAATTTTTTATTAAAGAAAATTTTCATTCCAACTAATTCTTATTTAACAGAATTCACATTTAAGAAAAATTCTACTTAGTTCTTTTGTTGTCAATTTTTACAGACATAAATTTCGTTAAATTGAAATTATATAATAATTTAAAATTTTTAAAAAGTATTTAAAAAAATGCTTTATAAAAATTCTGCTAAATAGAAATTCATTTGAATCGAATTTTAGTTAAATGTAAATTGAAAATTTTGCATAATATAAAATCCACTTTATACAATTTTGCTAAATAGAAATTCGATAATTTAATATTCGACGCCGTAAAAATTTTTTATAAGTTAAATGTGGATATTAGCATTAAATAATAAATTATTCGTATATTAATGAATAATTTACTTTATTTGAAGTTGAACCGATAAAATAAAATTGTATCAAATAATTTTTATTTATATTAAAAAACCAAATATTTCACTGAAAAAAAATTAATTAATTCTTATCCAAGTTTAAAAAATCATTTATTAGATTCAACAAATAGTGGTAAATAATTATTTACTAAATGAATATGATATATCACATGCTTAATAAATGAGTGTGAAGATCAACTTTTTAATTTGCATTTGCTTTGGGAAAAAAGTAAAAAAAAATTTGAGTAACTTTAATTTATTTATAAAAAATTCCAGAAAATTTTTAATTATAAACAAACAAAAATTATGAGTTACTTTGAGAAAGTCATATTTTTTTTGTAAACAAAATTTTTCCTTTAACTATTTCCTGTATTAATTTTCAATTTGACCCAAACGTTTTTAAGCTTTTTTTTTAATTTTGTTTTTTTTTGGAGGGGGGTTTTATGAAAAAATATAAACTCACCACGTCAAAATATTGATAAAATCGTCTCAATTCATAAGGATCACGATTGGTGTAACTTATGTAATCTGCTCGTTTATAAAGATAAACCAAAAGTTTGTGTTTGAGACTATTGATTGTGGCATCTCTAAATGGTCTGGAATTAATTCCATGCCAGGCACTTGTGACTAAATATGCTTCATCCTCGAGACAAAACCTAAATGAAAACAAAAAATTATCCATTAAATATTATTAAAAATTAAATTTAACAAAAAATATTAAGGGTATGTGGGAACCTCCCACGTGACCTAGTATGGGAAAATGTGTTTTGATAGTATACATCTTACTCTAAAACGAGAAAAGATTTTTGTCTAAAATTTTGAGAGATGATAGATTTTGGTACAAGGAGTCTTCGCTGTTCTCCGAAAAATACATAATTTTGCGTTAAATTATTAAAAAATAAAGTTTAAAAAGTGGCATTTTTAAACGAAAATGAAAAGAAACATGACGGCGCATACACAGATACATATTCATTTTTTATTCTATTCAATGATAGGTAATAATTGCCATTATATATTTATTTAAAAATTCTTAATTTTTCTTTACCTGCCAATGGTTCTCACATTTATAAACATTCCATCCAATAATTGAAAAATGTGTATCGTTTGATGTTGAACAGATAATACTGCTAAAATATCTTTATAAAGATAAAGGCCTAAAAAAGAAGTGATTTTTAAATTTCATTTACTTTTTTTTTTATTTAATATAAATAAAAGATTTCCCCTCCTCCCTTCAAATAGAAAATAATTTCTAAAAATAAAAAAATTGTAATTAAAAAAGAAATTCTAGTAGTAAAAATATTTTATTTTCGATATAGAAAAATAAAATATATATGATTTAATATTGGTGAAAAAATTTTACCTTGATTATGGGACAAATAAATTTTATCCACTTTAAAATGTCGCGTATCACAAAGTTTACCACAACGCAAATCAACGAGATGTAAACTATAATCTTCAAGTGGAGATCTTGGATTTGGCGTGAGTGCTTCGTTATTCGAGTAAATCTTTAAAAATAAAAAAAAAATTTCAATCGTATTTTTAATAAAGAAATTAATTTCTTATATTTAATTTTTTCTTAATCGTCATGTTTTTTCTTTCATTAAAACAGTGAGAAAAAAATGACCATTGAGAAGAGAAAAAATTCCTGTTAATATTTCTTGTCTATTTAAAATATAAAAATGAAAAAAAAATCCAAAGATTATAAAACTTCTTTTCATTTACTTTATTTTGGATAAGTTGAAATTTATTTTAATTACTTTATTCTTTTTACAAATAATTATCGAAATTCGCAAAATTAGATTATTTGACAGAAAGAAAGGTAATAAAAATAGTAAAAATAATGTATTTATTAAAAAATGTTATTCAAGACATTATATATATATAATTAAATAAATAAATAATGTAAATTTTCATGTATACTATAAAAATGCATTTTTTTTTTGACAATTTCTTCAAATTAACAACAAACAATTATTTTATATGATATTTTTTTTAAATACCTGATAAAAATGAGGTCTAAGATCGTCTGGAATATGAGCAGCGGAACCAACAATAACATATCGTTCATCGTCAGTAAATAAACTACATTCTCTATTCAATTGTTCATTACTTTGTACAACATTAACAATCCATTTGATCTGGAACAATTAATTATAATATAATTAATTAATATACATCTAAATTATTAATAACATTAATAACTTGATTATTGATTTTTAAAATTAATTAATTAATTATTACAGCTGGTTGTTATACAATTTTCATTATAATTTTCCCTGACATTTTTTAAATTTTGTTCTTTTTTTTCATCAAACGTGAATTCTATTAAAAAAAAAATTGTGATAAATGAAAATTTGATCAAATGAAAATTATGTTAAACAAACATTGTATAAAGAATAATTAAAATTAAAAAAAAAAAATTCAATTACATACCTATTTTCAAAAGTTTTAATGAAATTTTTTTTAAAAATTCAATTATTTTCAAGGCTATTCATCAATTTTTGTGAAATTTCAATTTCTTACAATTCTTTTAATTCAATATATTCGAGAATTTAATTATTTTCAATAATATAATTGAAATTATTGTTATAAAAAAAAATAATTAGGTATTTCAACATTTTTTAATAAAATATTCGATGTCAAATTGAATTATATTTGAAATTTTTAGTTTAGATTCTTTTTAAAAATAAAAAAATTCAAAACTTTTAATTGCAACTCCTTCAATATTAATTAAATTTATCTCTATTAAATCCATATAATTATTTTATTTATATAAAAAAAGTGTTAATTAAAATTCTAAATTATTATTCAAGCAATCACAAAATTAAAGTGATTGCTTTTAATAAATTCATTTTAATTTCAATAAAATTTATTTATTTTTAAAAAAGTTACTTTATAAATTAATTTTTAAAAATTTCACTATATTTTTTAAAACTTCAAGATATCAATAATTTCCATGCAAATATTGAAATTTAATTTTTACAAATAATTGAGGAGCCGGATCGTAGAACCGATTCTTCGCTCGAACTCACGCAGAAGTATTGTCCGCCCCTCCACTATACCATCAAATTTTAAAACTCATAAATAAAATATTTAAAAAATATTAGGTTATGCAGAAGAAAAAAATACATATTTTATCTATTTGAAACTTTTTTCTAAAATGTAATTTATTAGTACTAAAAAATGAAAACTGAAAAATTTTTTTTTCGAAAATAAATTACTTTTTAATAAATATATCGTCCTTTTTCGGTCAAATATTGACGAAATTTTGTGAAATTTTGTAAGCATACACAATATACACAACAGAAGCCTACAAGCTATAAAAAATAAGAAAAATCACATTATTTATTTATTAAAAAATTTTAAAAGACGTCATTTACAAATAGAGGAATTTCACTTTTCAACACAAAAAAGTATGCGATGAATTTTCAAATTATGAAAACTTCTCGCGAGAAAGTTTTTCCTTTACTAATCAGGAAGTTTTTCCCACAATTTCAAACTGATTCGAATATAAATAAAGAAAATACGAGGAAAATAGCGAAACCGTACTTTCGTTCGCAACGAGAATGTAAAAAGGCAGCCATGTTTGTCGTCGCAATGACACGCGCGCACACACACACACACATATATGTAAACAACTTGAGGAAGCCTTAGTTGCTGCTGTGTGTGTGTGTGTGCGCGCGTGTCATTGCGACGACAAACATGGCTGCCTTTTTACATTCTCGTTGCGAACGAAAGTACGGTTTCGCTATTTTCCTCGTATTTTCTTTATTTATATTCGAATCAGTTTGAAATTGTGGGAAAAACTTCCTGATTAGTAAAGGAAAAACTTTCTCGCGAGAAGTTTTCATAATTTGAAAATTCATCGCATACTTTTTTGTGTTGAAAAGTGAAATTCCTCTATTTGTAAATGACGTCTTTTAAAATTTTTTAATAAATAAATAATGTGATTTTTCTTATTTTTTATAGCTTGTAGGCTTCTGTTGTGTATATTGTGTATGCTTACAAAATTTCACAAAATTTCGTCAATATTTGACCGAAAAAGGACGATATATTTATTAAAAAGTAATTTATTTTCGAAAAAAAAATTTTTCAGTTTTCATTTTTTAGTACTAATAAATTACATTTTAGAAAAAAGTTTCAAATAGATAAAATATGTATTTTTTTCTTCTGCATAACCTAATATTTTTTAAATATTTTATTTATGAGTTTTAAAATTTGATGGTATAGTGGAGGGGCGGACAATACTTCTGCGTGAGTTCGAGCGAAGAATCGGTTCTACGATCCGGCTCCTCAATTTTGATTTAGTTCTGAGTTAGAGGAAACAAGAATTTTCGAATTTGCTTCATAATTATTATTTTTCATCCACAATTTTTTAAAATGCTTGTTTCAGTGATTCTGAACAAGCAATTGTATAAATTTAAAAAAATTTCTAAAAATTATTTATTTTTAAATAAAATTTTTAAAAAATAAAAAAATTTTGTAGTATCGTAAATAATTTTTCTTCAATTTTTCATAATGGAATATGATTATAGTTTCAAAAGATAGAAAAAAATGTACATTTTTACATAACGTAAAATTTGAATAGGTAATTGAAATTTTAATAATTTTGATTGAGTTCGAAGTGAGAGGAAACAAGAATTTTCGAATTTGCTTCATAATTGTGGTCAAAAAATTAATTTGTGATAAAATATTAAATTAAAATATTGAATATTCAAAGGAAAATGTAAGGAGAGATAACAACAATAGAATCGACTGGAAGTCTAGTCATAATAAACCATTTATGACACTCTATTATATTAATTGTCCTTCTATACCTGAATATTGAAATTATAATAGTAATATTAATTAAAGTATTGTTTATGTTTCGTTGCGTTCTGTCGCCGTCAGATGGCAGAAGCACGCAGGGAGGACAAAATCGCAGTTAATATATTACTTTTCTACTTTTACTTTCAATATATATTGATATAGGATTCATATAATATAGGAGAAGCAAGTTTTCAAGTTAATAAATAGAATAATAAATAGAAGCAAGTTAATAAATATTTTACTTTAAATAAATAATGTTATTAGATATTAAATTCATTTTATTAATTCTATAATGAGAATAATTCTATAAGAATATTATTAAGAAAATTTATTTCGAATATTTCAGAATCTGACTGATTGTAAAACAAATTTTCACAAATTTTATGTAAGTAGGGCAAATTTCTAGAAAAAAATTCTTAAAGTTCCATTTTTAAAATTTTTTCAAGTCTTAATTTAAGCAATTTATTCGAATTCAAAATTTTGTCAAAGTTTTTAGTTTTGATGGTCAAAATAATTTTAGGCACAACTTAATCAAGTTTTACAGATTTTTAAATAATAATTTTGTAATTGTTAAAAGTTGAAATTTTTTTTTGAAATAATTGAATTTCAAAAGATTTTATTAATTTTCAGACTATAATTAAATTTTACAGAACTAAAAATAATTTATCAAATAATTTTAAGATAACATTTCTTAAAAGTAATTGAATTTTCAAAGATTTACAATTTAGATTTTTGAAATTAATTGAACTTCAAGTGATTTTTAAATTAAAATTTTTTGGTAATTTTATTTGCTAATTTTTTAAAAATTATAAACAATTATTCAATTTCATAAAAATTTTAATTTGAAAAATAGTGTAAGATAATTGAATTTGTGAAGAATTTCATTAAAATTATAAAAAAAAATTTTTTTAGTAAAGATCTGAGGAGTAAATTTTCAAAATCTGATAAATCCATTTTTCAAAAAAATGGAGATAAACATAAATTTAATATTTTAAGGACCTCACAAATCTTCCTGTCGCTGTTAAATTTAAGAATAAAAAATTTGTTAACAACGAATTTTCAATTCAAAAACTTTTGTACATAACCAAGATGAGTTATAATTTTTATGTTTTTTATTAGAAAAAATTACCAATACCTGTAAATCATTAAATTATGATAAAGTTTAATTAAAAACAGAACGTCTTGAATATAAAAACATTGTTATAGAATTAAACTATTACAAATTTTATATTTTAAAATTAACTGCAGTGGTTATGTGAGAAAAGTCATTTGTTTCAATTTCTCGAAATAAGAAAATATGGATTTATCAGGTTTTGAAAATTTGCTCCTCATCTGCATTGTATACAAAAAAAAAAACGTATTTTGTTTAAAAATTTTGGAAAAAAAAATGTAAAAAAAAAGTCGAAAAAGTCGCATTTTATTAAAATCAGTCAAAAAAAAAGTCATATAATCCGAGGCCTGAGTGATTGAATTATTTTCAAAGGTAAAAAAAATAAATTCAAGAAGAATACAAAATATATTTAAGGATCAATGGACTACTTTGATTTTTAATACATATTTAAATATGTTAGGTACTTTATAATATATTATTTGTAAATTACCTTAAAAAAACGTTTGAAAATATCCCTTCTGATATGAAAAGTCTCTTCATTTTTTTGTCCAATATATTCGCCCTCACAACCATCCAAAAGATCAGCAGCAGCCGATGCACCTTGATATTCATAAATTTCAATTGACGTTTGATCTAAACTAAATGCAACCAAATATCTTCCGTCTGGACTAAATTTTCTTAAAAAACACGGTGGTTTCTCAACATTTACAACGGTAAAATTTGGAAAGACATTTTGATAAAATTGTCGTGCTACCAACACTTGAGTTCCTGGATATAAACATCCTAATGTTTCTCTTCTACGTAAACGAATTGCAATATTTTGTGGGCCTAATTTTCGTGGTGTTATTAAACAAGTGTCCGTTCCAAATTCGTTTTCTTCTTCCATTACGGATATTTTTTATTATACTACACAATTTATTCATAACAAATTCATATAAAGGTATATAAATATTTGTCAAATATTGTGCGTTTTTTTTTTTTTTTTTTTTGAGGTTAGATTTATTTTACTTATGCGCAATAATTTTCCTTCTTTTAACAATAAAATTTAACTAAAACAGTCAATAATATTTGATGCAAAAAATATAAATTTAATATATTTACATATATAGGAAATAAAAACTACCTAACCTCAACATGACAGTTTTTTAAAAATACACTCACATTCATTCGACTTAATTGTTTTTTTTATTTTTATAAAAATATATAAACGTATCAAATATATGTGAAAAAGTTCATTTACAATAAAATGTTAATAATTTGTTTGTTGAATTTTATAAAAATTATTGCAATACGTGCATGGGACTTGTTTTGTTTTTTAATTTTGGACTATCGATATCCATTACGATTATCGATATTAACTTTCGATATATCGTGAAATATCGATACCAAATTCCCTCGATATATCGCTTGTACACAAAGTGACAAAACACGTGTTCTGATTTTTGCGATTTTCGTTACAAACATTTTCAATTTGAAATAAATTTTGTTCGTTTAAATTTTGTAATGAATAAAAGAAAGTGTCAATTGTGGATAAAATATTTAAGTTCAAAGTTGTTGTATTTTATTTTAAAAACATAGAAAATACGTCTTGTCTTATTATGATGTACGATATTTAAAGGTTAGTTTCACATGTGTTATTTTTTTTAATTATTATAATAAAAGTAAGATTAATTTCTATATTCATAGTGCTATTCATTTTTTAAAAATTACAATTTAAAAAATATTACTAATTATAATTATTGTTATTGGTATTTTTATTATTGTATTCTTATTATTATCATTTAAATTTTAAATGAATTTTGAAAAGTAAATATTTTGTCCCATAGGTATAAATATAGGGAAATTTGACATTTTTAATTTGGCTAAAAGTTTTTGTTTTTTTGTATATTTTTCAAAAATGGAATCAATGATATTTTTCAAATTTTGTTATATTAAGCCTTTTACGTGATATGAATTTTTAAGTAAACTATTTTCAAAAAATTTGATACAAAAAATGACTGCAAAAATAATTTTCAAAATTTTTTTGCAATTTAATGATTAAAATATCTTATTTTTAAAATTGTATCCCTTGATTTTTTTTTAATTTTCAAAAAATCTATTTCTTTTTTAAAAAAAATTTTAAACCGGTTCTCGTTGTGTGGAGAAACAATTTTCTCAATTTTTTTGTAATTTTTTAAAAAATTTTCGTAAATTAGATTTTTTTTTTTATTATAAATTATAAATAATTATTTATTATTATTTATAATTATAAATAAATGAAAATTATAAAAATAACATCGAAAATTTAATATTTAAATTGCAAAAAATCTAGTAAATTTTTTTTCTATCAACTTAACACACAGATTCAAAATAAAACTTTTATGCATTTTTAAAAAAAATTTCGTGTAATCAAAAAGAAAAATTATTTTAAACAATAATAATTATTATATTATATTATTATACAGTGTTTTTTTTAAAAATAATTAATAAAGCAATCAATAAATATAAAGATATATATTAATAAATGTATTTGATTGGAAAAAAAATCAAATATTAATTTTAAAAATGAATATCCGAACACCACAAAAATCACCATTAAAATGTAAAATTGAAAATGTGAAAAATGAAATTAAATCTGATAATGAAACGGAAACTATTCACATGAATTTGGATGATAATAATTTTTTCACACCATCAAAATTAAATAATGATCTCTTTGATACATCATTATTGGATGAGAATGAAATTGTAAAAATGGTTCATAATACAGACAATATACTTGATTTTGATAGTATACAACTTCCAAATAATTCAACAATTTTAAATTATTCTTCATCTTTTGATGAGAATTTTAATAATGAAAATTCAATGAAAATATCACCTGTAGATCCTTTATCACTTGACAATGAAAATATAATTGAATCGAAAGAAATATTTGTCAATAGATCAAGGCCAAGAAAAAAAATAAATTATAATGATTGTTATACTGAATCTGATGAAGATTCTTCATTATCAGAGAAAGAAAGTGAACAAGATAATTATCATGATAATGATAAAGAAGAAGATGAAGAAGAAGCTGAAGAACTTTTAAACAAACTTTTCAAAGCTCGAGAGAAAAATTTAGAAAAAGAAATTTTATCATCTGAAACAATTGAAGTATGTTTAATATAATAATTAATTTAAAAAAAAAAATAAATTTATTTTTCAATGAATTAAAATTAAATTAAAATTTTTTTTTTGCCATGAAACCTAAAGTAATTTTTAAAAAATATAAATTCAATGTTTAGTTAAATTATTCTTATCAAAGAAAATTTTTTTAAATTCAAAATTTTATCCATTTTATGAAATCATAAAAATAAAAAAGTACATTGCAAATATATTTAAATTTTTTTTTCAAATTATTTATAATAAAATTTGATGAGCCAAAAGTTTTGAACGTTCAAATGAATAAAATTTATTTTGCAACTTCTTTAAGTACGAATTTTATTAAAAAATATTGTTTTAAATATCTAAATGGAAATTATTAATTTAATATTTATTTAATTTACTATTTTATTTTACATTGACATTATAATTTTTAATAATTTATACATTGAAAAAAATATTTTATTCATTTGAACGTTCAAAACTTTTGGCACATTAAAATTGAATAATTTTTCAAACGAGTAAAATTTTAGTTTTTTTTCCCCACTTTTATAGAGATTAAACAATTTAGTGATCAGATTAAAACATGTTGTTCCTCCACAACATAAAGTGGAAAATTCAGCTGGCTCAAGAACACTTAGTATAAAAGAATGTAAGGAATTTGATAAATATTCTAAAAGAATAAAAACTAAATTTTCTGTAAAGGAAGATGTAATTATTAAAAAAAATTGGAAAGAATTTTGCAAGGTAAGTGTATTTTAATAAAATCAAAGAAAAATTCAATTTATAGAATTAATTAATTAGTATAATTAAATATGTAAAATTAATGTCATTAATTTTTCATTCCTACTTTTAATTGTTTATTTCTTTTTAAGTATAAACGTGAATTAAATCAATTATTATCAATTTGTGTAAATTTAACAAAAATTATTTAAATTAAATGAATTTTTACATATAGTTTAAAAATTATTAAAATTATTCACACTAATACTAATTATTAATAAAAAAAAATATTTAAAAATTCATTTATTTAAATGTTTTCACTGTATTGTAATACCTATACAATTATATAACAATTTAATTATTTTTAAAATTAATTATTATAGTAAAGTTCAAAGTTTTTTTCAACTCAGGTTATTTTTAGATTTTATTATTATTTTTTTTTTTTAACCAAATAATTTTCATCAGTAAAAATAATGGTTAAATTTGACTAAAAATAAATTTTACAGTAATTAAATTTTAAAAATTCGATTTTTTAAAATAATTAAGAAATTTGCAACAAATAGAAAAATACATTAATATAATTGAATTCACATAATAATTGCGAGTATGACATTAATTAAATTTTAACAACAACATCAACAAAATCAAAGTTAAAAATAGTAAAACTATAAAATTCTAATTAAATTTAACATTGAAAAAAATTAATTTTTTAAAAACAATAAAAATTTTAATATTATGTGAATTTTTTACAAAAAAACTAAAGTTAATTGTTAATTAATTAATAATGTAAATTAATTTTTCAACTTTTTAAAAGTTTATTGACTCTGAAAAAAAGTGATGAGCTTTTTAATATTTTTATATTTATTTTTTAATTGCGCGAGAGAAGAATTTAAAAAAATTTTTTTTTTTGTTTTGATTAAAGATTCATGACTGGGATGAAAATGATGTACAACCTTTTTTGCTTCTGAAACATCAGGGCAAAATATATATATCCAGTTATCTGGAGAGAAAAAAATTCGTTCAATTTTTAGCCAAAGGATTACCATATCGAACTTTGTTTAGTGTTTACAAAAGGTTTCGATATTTATTTAGTAATCGTAATTTGTAAGTAAATTATTAACTATAATATTAATAATTATTATACCCATTACAGGTTTTTTTTTTTTTACAAATTTTTCACTTCGTTAATCATTATTAATTATTTTAAATAACAATACTTTCCAGTCAGTTTGATAAAATTTTTATTTTGAATCCTTTAGAAAAGGACGATTCACACCTGAAGTGGATAAAAAAATAATGATTTTCATGAACTGTCCGAAAACTGATAAGAATAAAAAAATTACTCAACTCTCGAAAATTTTAAGTCGAACTCACGAGTCGATTTTTCGAAGGTTTAAACATTTATTGAAACTCAAAAATGACATTAAAAGTGGAAATAAGAAAAAATGTAAGTTTTTTTTTCCAAAATTATTTATTTTTTCAAATGAAAAATAAAAATGATTTAAAAATAAATTTTTTGTACATTTGATAAGTTTTTATTATTTTTTTTTAATTTTACGCAGTTCAGCAAAAAGTTGAGTGGACATTGGAATTAACAGAATGTTTTTTAGAGAATTTAATGAAGTTTACTTTAAGTAAAAATATTAAAGAACTGAAAAATCAAAAAATTCCTCAAGTTATTTGGAATGAATTAAAAAAAAAGATGAGAATTGAAGTAAGTGCTTTAAAAAATTTTTGGTTCAGGAAATTACATGTGCAACTATTTTCAACAGATCCAATTTATTTGACCAACATAAAAGTAAAATTAATTGAAATGTAAGTTATTCTTTGTATTCAACAATTATTTTAATGATTTTCAATTATTAGGTAAATAATTTATTTTTAAATAAGAGAAAAATTAATTAATTTTTTTTTTCAAAAATAAGAGAAATTTAAATTAATTTTTTTTATCTTTTAGCTTACATTCATCTGATATAACGAATGTTAAAGAAATTGATTGGAACGAAATGTTAAATTATTTTGATGGTTTGACTATAAATTTTCTTTGTGACATCACTTATCGAATGCTTAAGCAAACTAAAAAAGAATTAGAATCATCAAATTTTGTCGGTACGTAATTATTAACTGTATAGAAGTTATAATTTTTATAATTAATAATTACAAGTGTTATTAATTTATAAAAAAATAATTTTTTTTTTGCAGAATGTGTAAATTACCTGTACGAGATAAAAATTCCTCAACTAAAAAATAATTTTAAAGATAAATGTTTACCTCGACTGTGTTATAAGAAGAAAAAATTGACAATTTTCGATGATATCGAAGAAATTGAATCTAACAATAATGAGCTATCAAAAGATGACTCAAGAAGATCGTTGAAAAATTTTAAAGAGAAAAAAATTAATTATCCAAAAAATAAAAATCTAAATTGGACATTATTATTACGTGAAAAATTTTTAAAAATGCTTCTCAAATTAATGATTATCAATGATATTGAAGAATTAAAAGACGCTTTAATTCCTGCGATTATTTGGGAAAAAATGTCAAAAAATTTTCACGTTCATCATAAGAAATTAGAGAATTTGTGGTACAATGAAATGCACATGCAACTTTATTCTCCAAATCCAATTTATTTGAACGATTTAAAAATAACACTGATAAAATTGTGAGTTCAGAAAAAAAATATTTTTATTAAATAAATACTAAGATTTTGATTTTATATTTTTTCTAATTAATTTATTTATGAAAACAAATGAAATAATTACAAAAAAATTGAATTTTGTCATTAACTGTTAATTTTGAGAAAATATATATTTTTTGTTTGCAGAATCCACGGGAAAAATATTAAAAATAAAAAAGAAATAAATTGGAATGAAATTGTTACTTCTTTTAATGGATACACGACAAATTTTCTTTCTCAAGTTTTCAATGATCTCGTTGATGCTGCAGTTGAAGAAATCGAAACCTCAAATTTTTCAGGTACATACAATTTAATAATCAAAAGCAAATTTACTTAAACAAAATTTTTTTTTATTTTACCACAAACAGCCTTAAAGGGCAATTGTTATATAATTTGTTTATAATAATTTTTGAATGTAAAAACTTTTTTTTACTACTTGTCTACCCCTAAACACTAGGGGTAACTGCAAGTCTTTCATTTTTTTTATTTGCAGTCTATTTAAATAATTTTAAACTAAATTTGAATACACCTACAATCTTTACATTAAATATCAAAGAATACATTATTAATTGTAGTTATTTTATTTCAAATTGTTATTATTTAGATGAAAAAATAATAATATCCAGGTGACTGTTTTAGAAACATTTTCCCTACTTCCAGTAAAATTACTATATAATTTCAATATATATTGAAAGTAAATGTAGAAAAGTAATATAATAACTGCGATTTTGTCCTCCCTGCATGCTTCTGCCATCTGACGGCGACAGAACGCAACGAAACATAAACAAATGCTTTAATTAATATTACTATTATAATTTCAATATTCAGGTATAGAAGGACAATTAATATAATAGAGTGTCATAAATGGTTTATTATGACTAGACTTCCAGTCGATTCTATTGTTGTTATCTCTCCTTACATTTTCCTTTGAATATTCAATATTTTAATTTAATATTTTATCACAAATTAATTTTTTGACCACAATTATGAAGCAAATTCGAAAATTCTTGTTTCCTCTCACTTCGAACTCAATCAAAATTATTAAAATTTCAATTACCTATTCAAATTTTACGTTATGTAAAAATGTACATTTTTTTCTACCTTTTGAAACTATAATCATATTCCATTATGAAAAATTGAAGAAAAATTATTTACGATACTACAAAATTTTTTTATTTTTTAAAAATTTTATTTAAAAATAAATAATTTTTAGAAATTTTTTTAAATTCATACAATTGCTTGTTCAGAATCACTGAAACAAGCATTTTAAAAAATTGTGGATGAAAAATAATAAAGAAGTTTAAATTTTAGTTTTTTTAGTTTCAGACCTCTTATTATACAGCTTTTTCGACTTTTTATCTAAAATACGACTCTTTTTTCTAATTATTTTAATAAAATGCTACTTTTTCGACTTCTTTTTTACATTTTTTTTCCAAAATTTAAAAAAAATACGCTTTTTTTAGTATATGATGCAAATATTCTTCAGATGTTCTTTATTTTAATTATTTAACAAATTTTTCACTAAAATTCTTTACTAAAAAAATTATTTTTAATAATTTTAATGAAATTCTTCACAAATTCAATTATCTTAAACTGTTTTTCAATAAAAATTTTTATGAAATTTAATAATTGTATATAATTTTAAAAAAATTAGCAAATAAAATTGCCAAAAATTTTTAATTCAAAATCACTTGAAATTTAATTATTTGCAAAAATTTTAATTTTTTAAAATGATTTTTATAATATTCTTCGAAAATTCAATTATCTAAAAGCATTTTTCATTTAAAAAAAATCTTTGAATTAAATATCAAAGAATACATTATTAATTGTAGTTATTTTATTTCAAATTATTATTATTTAGATGAAAAAATAATAACTTTTGTGCTTCCTGCATGCTTCTGCCATCTGACGGCGACATGACGTAACGAAACGTAAATAAATACTTCAAGTAAAATGACTATTATAATTTCAATATTCAGGTATAGAAGGACAATTAATACAATAAGGTGTCATAAATGGTTTATTATGACTAGACTTCCAGTCGGCTCTATTGTTGTTATCTCTTCTTATTTATCTTTCAAATATTTAATATTTTAATATAATATTTTAACAAAAATTAACTTTTAGACCACAATTATTAAATTCGAAAATTCTTTTTTTTTTATCTATTTATTTCAGGTCGAAATTTTAATGTTTTAATTTAATATTTCAACACAAATTGTGCTCCCTGTACGCTTCTGCCATCTGACGGTGACAGGACGTAACGAAACATAAACAAATATTTCAAGTAATATTACTATTATAATTTCAATATTCAGGTATAGAAGGACAATTAATACAATAGGGTGTCATAAATGGTTTATTATGACTAGACTTCCAGTCGACTCTATTGTTGTTATCTCTCCTTACATTTTCCTTCGAATATTTAATATTTTATCAATAATTAACTTTTAAGACCAGAATTATGAACTAAATTTGAAAATTCTTGTTTCCTTTAATTTAGAATTAAATTTTGAACAATTAATTAATAAATGGGAAATTTACGCACAAAATTCTAAAGCAAATTTATTAGAAAAAAAATTGAATTAAAAAAATTTAAATAGCTAAATGATAGAACATCTAATTAATTTACTTTTTTATACCATAGATTTGTATTGTAAATAAATTAATAGTATAAATTGATTTAAAAATGTTCTTTAAATATTTTTTGAGAATGAAAGAAATAATAGATATTTGATTTAAAATCTTTTATTCAATTGATAATTCTTTAGTTTATTTTCGAAAATTTTTTTTTTTAAGAAGCTGCGAATTTGTGCTCCCTGCATGCTTCTGCCATCTGACAGCGACAGGACGTAACGAAACATAAACAAATACTTTAAGTAATATTACTATATAATTTTAATATTCAGGTATAAAAGGACAATTATTAATACAATAAGGTGTCATAAATGGTTTATTATGACTAGACCTCCAGTCGACTCTATTGTTGTTATCTCTTTTTATTTTTCTTTTGATTATTTAATATTTTATCATAAATTAACTTTTTGACCACAATTATGAAGCAAATTCGAAAATTCTTGTTTCCTCTCACTCAGAACTAAATCAAATTATTAAAATTTCAATTACCTATTCAAATTTTACGTTATTTAAAAATGTACATTTTTTTCCACCTTTTTTTGAAACTATAATCATATTCCATTATGAAAAATTTTTTACGATCGTCTTTCTTAAGAAATTTTTCCTACTTAAATAAAATTTTTAAAATTTTGTCTTACAATTAGTTCGATTCTGAAATATTCAAAATAAATTTTCTTGATAATATTCTTATAGAATTATTCTCATTACAGAATTAATAAAAGAAATTTAATATTTAATAACATTAGTTATTTAAATTAAAATATTCATAAACCAATTAAATTTTGTTAAAATAAAAAAATCGACTTTTTCGACTTTTTTTTAAATGTAAAACTAAAACGACTATTTTTGTAAGTCGATAAGAGGCCTGCAATCATTAAAATATATTAAAAAACTAATAATATTAATTTCAGATGTTATGAAATATTTGTATGAAACAACATTGATGAAAATAATAGAAGAACCAAATGATAAATTTTTGCCTCGAATAATTTTTGAGAATGAAAAAATTCAAGTGATAGACGAGAATCTTGAAAATAATGAGGCTTATACGAGAGAAGAATATTATAAAAATGAAATTACTGATAAATCAGAAATTGATTTATCGATGAGAGAAGATTTTTTAAAAGTATTACTTCATTTAAATTTAGATACAAGAATAGAGAAACTTAAAGATGCTGTGATTCCAATGGTTGTTTGGGAAGAAATGGAAAATCAACTTAAAATTGATAAAAACATTTTACAAGATTTGTGGTACAATGAATTACATTTGCAATTTTTTTCCCCAAGTTTCATTTATTTGAATGACATAAAAATTAATTTAATAGAATTGTAAGTTATTAATTATTATTATTATTAACAACTAATCATTACGTTTCTGTATATTTTTCTAATATTGTTCTTTTTCAGAATCTACAAAAGGAATTTAACTGATGAGAAGAAAATTAATTGGAATGAAATTTGTTCTCATTTCGCTGGAATGACGATTGTTTTTCTTTCTGAAATTTTTCATGAACTTGTTAATTTTGCTTCTGAAGAAATCAAGTCTTCAAATTTCTCTGGTAATTTATTTTCTATTTTCTTTAAAACAGTTTTCTTAAAAGTCTATTAAATATTTATTATTTGTTCTATTACTTACTACAAAAAAAAACTTTTTTTAATTTTTTGTTTCAAAAATTAAAAAAAAATAAACAAAAATGAAAAAAGAAACTTTTTTTTTACAAAATATAACAAAATAAATTTAAAATTAAAGTTTATATTTTTTTTAAAAAGAAAATTATAATTAGAAAACAAATTTTTTAATAATTATTGTTTTCAGACATTATGAGATATTTGTATGAAATAATGTTGTTGAAATTAAAAGAGGGAAAATTTGACAAATTTTTACCTCGAATAAAATTTGAGAATGACACGATTAAAGTAATTGATGAGAATTTTAAAAATAATGTAATTTGCAAGAATGAGACAAATATTGAAACGACAATTGCAAATAAATCAGAAATAGATTTAACGGCGAGGGAAAATATTTTAAAAACATTAATTCAATTAACAGTAAACACAAAAATAGAAGATTTAAAAGATGCTGTGATTCCAACGGTTGTTTGGAAGGAAATGGAAAATCAACTTAAAATTGATAAAAACATTTTACAAGATTTGTGGTTTACTGAATTATATTTGCAACTTTTCTCACCGAATCCAATTTATTTAAATGACATAAAAATGAGTTTGATAGAATTGTAAGTTTTTGTTTTAACAAAATAATTAGAAAACTAAAAAAATTAGTTTTACAATTTTTAAAATGTAAAATTAAATTTAAAAATAATATATATACTTAAATATTTTCTAATAAGTTTTAATAAAAAAAAACTTTCCAGAATCTGCAAAAGACAAATAACGGATGAAAACAAAATAAATTGGAATGAAATTTCTTCTCATTTCAATGGAATGACGACAATTTTTCTCTCCAAAGTTTTTCATGATCTCGTTGATACGATAACAAAAATAATAGATTCAAAAAAATTTTGTGGTATATTTTTATGTTTTATTCTAAATATTTTAAATATTATTTTAAATAAGTATATTTTAAAAGCATGTATGTATTTTAATTTTTGTCTAATTCAAATTTTCGTTTTAATTGTTTATTATTAATTTTCTTAATATTTACAAAACTAAAATAATAATCATAATATAATTTTTTATTTTCAGATATTCTAGATTATTTACAAGAAATAACGTTTGATGAATTAAAAAATGTTGCTTTCGATCAACAATTACCTCGAATAATTTTCAAGAATGAAAGAATAATCATTCTAACCGAAGAAATGAAAAATGTTCTGAATTGAGAGAAATAAATAATAAGTAAGTTAAAAAATTCTTTTAAAGGTTAAAAATTTAATGACAAAAGCTGCTAAAACATATAGTGAAAAATAATTTAATTTTTGTTTTTTTTAAATCCATTTACAAAATTCTAAGTAAATGTTACTTTATTATTTTTAAAAATTGTATTTAATATTATTGTTTTCTTCACAAAATTCATAATAAAAATATTTTTTTGTAATTTGAAGTAAATTTATTAACATTTTATCATATGATTTAACAGTTTTTATATAATTTATAATCATCAAGAAATTAAACAAATAATTACAAACTGTTATAAAAAAAAAAATCAAAAATATCTCCATTTATCATCCGATTTGTGTTATTTGTCTCAGGATACTTTCATAATCTTTACTAGTACTGGATTTAAAAATTAATTCCACTAAGAAATAGACACCTATTTTTTCATCAGGGCATATCGCTATTTTTTCAATTTTAAATTCACTACCAGGTAAAAGAATGACTTTTTTTTCCCTAAAAACTTGTTTATCATTGACATCTACGTTAATTTTTGCCCTTACATAAGAATTTTCAAATTTTATTTCATATAAAATATTTCTGTATCCAGATAATGGACGTGCCGAAAATCTTGTGGCAGATATATTTTTTGTTGATGTTAATGTAAATTTTCGTAAAGTAAATAATTTTCCTATATAAACCTCATTCTTAAATGTATCTTCAGGTATTGAATCAAAATAAAATAATGTTGTATCAAATTCCTCTTTTCGATATAGCTCGCGGGTTTGTCTTATTGCTAATTTATATAAAGCAAGTTTCATTTTTTTTGCTTCATTTGTATCACCAGTTATTCTCTCGTGTCCAGTTGTAGCAAAATTTCGTATGGCATAATAATCTTCAAATGTCATCGAATAACCTGCATTTTGTTCATTAAAATTATTAATCATATTTTCAATTAATATTCCCTTTTCAATTTTATATCGTTCTCTAAATGTGTAAATTGAAGTTATTCTATTTTTACCTTCTTCAATTAATATATCTTTATATTCAAAACGTACATAGTACAATAATAAATTTAATAAACCGGATTTATCTAAAACATCGATTTTACTCCAAGATGATTCTTCACCGATTGCATTTTTGAACCAATTTTCAAAAACAGATATTAGTGGTAAATCATCTGGAAAATTATATATTTTCAACATATTTCGCATTTTATTTTCCATAATAGTTTTATTATGACCAAGATTTTTTTTATTTTTAAAAAAATGTCTTACTCGCATCTCATTTTTATTAGTCCAATTATAATAACGCCAATGTCTTAAGCAAAGTTTAGTGTCTATCGTTTTTTTAAAATATTTGTCATTATTACATTTTTCATCATGAATATAATTAATAATACCATGAAATGAAATATTAATAAATTTATTTCGAAGCTGATTATTAATATCATATATAAAATAATTAGGTTCATTGTCACGAATATAAGTTCCATTTTTCAATTTAACAAGAAATACTTCCTCATATTTTGTGGAATTCTGAATAGGTGACATAAATATTTGATGATTTTCATTTTCATAAATTTCATTTATCAAATTAATATAAATTTTTTGATTTTTCGATGAATTCTTATAAGGTGAAATATATATTTTATCTTTTAATTTATAACCAGTTCTTAATTGTGCTTTTATTGTTTCATTAATAGATAATTTAATATTTAGAAACTTGTACCCAAAACCAGTCACTTTATCCAATGTTTTTACGTATAAAGAATAATTTAATTTACCATTAATATTACCAATCTTCATACTATAAGTGTTATGTAACTGATTTATTTTATTTAATGTTATGTTGACGTTAGTAAATGATTGATTAATTTTATTTTCTAAATAATAAATTATATTTGATAAAAATTTTATTCCTTCTTGAGTAATGCATGAAATCTCAATTTCAGGCTTTTCTATTTGCAAGGATAATATCTCGTAAACTGCATGCTTTACTGTATAAAAATTTGACAATTTAGATTTGTTAACTATTATATCTATTACATGTTCATTTATAAAGTTGTTGATAAATACTTTTTTGATAGTTGTACCCAATGAGGACACAAGAGTTTGTGTCTTTTTTTCTATTAATTGTGAAGTTATATCATAAGAAAATTTGTTGTAAAATTTTATAATTTTCTTTTCACAAAATTTTGTCTCGTTATTTTTTACTGATAAACATGGATAAAATGGTACCAATGATAATCCAAATTCTTTCCACCATTCATTTTCCGTTAGATTATTATTTTCATAATTTGTTAAATATGATTTAAATTGTTGTTTCTTGTATCTCATTAATTCTTCCCAAGGTTGATCTGTATTTTCATTGGCAAACTTTAAAACTTTTTTCTTCCCAAATCGTTTTAATTTATCGAGCGATGGACCAGTTATATGTTCGAAATATAAAGGATCATCAGTCTCTTTCATGAATGTAGCAGTGTAATTTTGACGTATTAAAGCATAGTAATTAGAAGTTTTGTTGTTAGTGTAATAGAATTCAACTAAGTCATAGAATAAATGCTGCGAGTTGTTAAAACTATCATTCACTAGTCTATCATCAGTAACTATCAAATTTACTTCAACGCCACGAAGATCTCCTATTAATGATTCATTAAATAATTGCTGTGTTATTGCTAAATCAAATTTTTCATATACTTCACCAAAATCATGAATAAGATCCTTGAACAAACCGTTTATATTTGATAAACCTAATTTACTCCAATAAGCATGACTATGAAAGTTTGAAAAGGCGTTGTGAATTTGATATATAGAATCATTTTTTAATTGATTTTCAATTTTAATAGAAGCATTGGTTATGTATTCAAAAAAATTATGATAAGCTTTAACCCAATGATCTGGATTGAAAATTACATTTGTTATGCTTTCATATTTTAATTTATCTTCAGTCAGTATATAATAAAAAAGAGCTGGTAGAGCAAAACTTTTTAATGACAATGGATCTACTTGTTTATGATAAAGTAAACTTTCTATTATGTATCCTACCAATATATATTCGTCAAATAAATTTCCATGAGAATTATTAAAAGTAGAATTTCTGAAATTATAATAGGTATTATTTAATCGACCAAGTCGAAGATATGTCCAACCAGCTTGTTCAAAAATATAATCAAGAGACAATAAATTGAGATTAGTCATCATGGGCTTAGGAAATAGTGGCAATATTATTTCATTGAATATTTTATTCACAGATAATTCAGTAAGTTTTGAATTAGATCCAAATTCATTTTCAAATGTTGCATTTTGAAGTGTTTCTTTTATTATTATTAAAAAATAATCAAATTGTAAATTTTTTTCCTTACGAATTGTGTCTGCTAAAAAGCCATAAATATTTCCATATTTATCAAATACAAGAGAACTAATGATGTAGTCAAACATTGTGTTGATAAATATTAAATCAATTTGTTCATTATTTTCTTCTCCATATAAATCACTGCCTCGTAACAAATATCTAATTAATTTTAATTGCATAGTTTCATCATTATGATTCTCTTCGAAATAATCGTAAAATGCATTTACAACTGGAATTTGTTTATTTTGATTAACTTCTGCCAAATAATTTTCAGTGTATAAAAAATCACTAAGTAGGTTAAAGTAATTGAAGATAAGTATAAGTTGTACGGCTGCTAAAGGATTGCTTACAATGAATGTATCCATTTTAGTTACTTTTTCTTATTTTTTCACTTTTTGAACATTAAAAATTTCAGATATATATTATTGACCATTCAAATTGCTTTTTGTCTTCGGCAACCTGTGAATAATAAAACTCTCTTAAATAATAATAATAATTAAAGAATATGACAATAATATATGGTCGGTTGGGTACATAATAAAGGCAGACTAGTCGTATTTATACACTTTAAATTCATAATATTTCACAATAAAAAAATTTTATTTTTTTGAACATTATATATTGTTTTATTAAAAATTTTTTTTTATTAAACTTTAATGTTTTTGACGTAAAAAAGGTTCTTAACATATTTTAAAAATTTTGAAAAATAAAGGAGTTGTGATCATGTGAAAAAAATGTCATGAAATTTGCAATGCAAATATTTTGAAACATAATAATATCTAATTCATAATTGGTACAAAAAATAAGAAAAATCTGAAGTATGATCCTTAAATGTCCAACGAAATTACCCTCATTCTGGTTATAGTTATAAAAATTTTAAGTACGACGCAAAGAATATAATATTCTTACGAATATAGGAAATACAATTTTCAAATTCACTTTTTCTCTATTTAATCCAAAAAAATTTAACATTTTTCATAAAAATTAATAAATGTTAAAAATTTTAAAGCAATAAAAAGGCACGTATAAAAAACTGAATCCTTAAAAAAAAGAATATAATTATGTTTTTCGAACAATAAAAAAAAAATTATCATTTAACAATTCTGAATATATAAAAAGTAATAAAATTTCATTTGATAAACGGGACGCATGAAAAAGCTAAAAAACAAATCTTTTGAGACGCATGACTATGTACTAAAGCTAATTTTTTAGAATTATGGTTTAATCGAATTTTATTTTGTAGAATATTATTTTTTGCAGAATAGTATAATTTAAAAAAATCTTAATTTAGCAGAAAAATAATTGTAAAGAATTTTAATTTTGCAGAATATTCATTTGTTCGAACTTTCATTTTATAGAATAAATTATTAACCGATTATCAATGTTGTCGAATTTTTATTTAGACGAAAATTAATTACATTACCAGAAATTCAATTTGATCGAATCTCAATTTGTGAGAAACAAATTAAATTTTCTATAAAATTAATATTCTGCAAAATTAATATTTTCTCTAAATATTTTTCTACAAAATTAATATTCTACGAGACAATGTTTCGTACAATTTAAGATTTGATCAAATTTAATTTCTGGCAAATTAATTTTCGTCTAAATAAAATTTTTGCAATATTGATAATCGATTTAATGAAAATTCTTCAAAATTAATATTTTAA